ACATATCGATCGATGTGGTATAATGCTTGCATTGTACCATGCAGGGAAGTGTATGAATGTGATTGGTTGCCTGCCGTATGTGTGTTATGCTATGCTGATGAACTGTATGACTTGAGTGTACATAAATAGGTGATTGAGTTATATTGTTGAATCAGTTCCTGTTAGTTGATACCATTGAGAGTTGGGCCTTGTATGTGAATATTTTACTTATATTAATTTAGAGATTTAGTGTGGCGGGAAATACTCACCCTTACATTTACCTTTCAGGTAACCAAGACAATCAGCATCAGACCCATTGAAGGAAGGATGAAACTGCTATAGGACTTAGGAATTCATTTTTGAACATTTGATGTATTAATTGAGTCCTGTAGCAAGTCATGATACAGATTTGTAAACCTTTTTCATTAAGAACCGTTTTATGAAATCGTGTTCTGAACTACTGTTTGAATTAAAATAGTTGTTTTCTTTAAAATTCTGAATTTTGTGAAATTATCTATTTAGTGAATTAATTTAAGGTGTTACAAAAAACACTAAAGTTAAATTCAATTCCAAACCAAAGAAAGCTGAACCTGATAAAGCTAAAGTGCTACAGGCTAAAACCATTAGTGATCATAAAAGTCATCTAGATATACACAATATTTGTCCGTAGCATGAAAGTAAAGATGTTCTAAAATTAATGTCATATTTTCAGGATAATATCACTAAAAACTGTTAGGGTAGTTGTAGTATTCAAGACCTTCTAGGTCTTTCCTCTACTACATTATGGAAAACCCAGTCTGTGCCTGTAATCCCTTTTGATAGACCCCCTGGGCAATCTATAGAAATGGAGGTGGATAAGACTGGTCCAAGAATTTTAGATGAGCATGTTGATAGCCTAGATATTGATAGCCTAGATAATGTTAGTGACCCCAAGTATATGGGTATTGTGTCAAAACTAAGGTAATTTGTTATGAATTGCTTATTTTGGAATTGTAGGGGTGCTGGGGGTAAAACATTCCCTAGACTCATAAATGACCTAATCAGTATCCATCATCTTGATTTTATTTCAATTTTTGAACCTAGAATCCCTACTAATAAAGCGGTTTTGGTTACTAAGAAGTTTAATTTAGATAGTTCTGTCAGGTTTGATGCTATAGGTTTTTCTGGGGGAATTTGGTGCTGTTGGAACTCTAGGAAGGTTCAAGTGGATATTCTAGATAAAAACAAGTATTTAATTCATCTTAAAATTAGTAATGGCCCGAAAACTTGGATCCTTTCATCCATTTATGCTAGTCCTAAAGAAAACCAGACGGCTGAAGTGTGGAAGCTTCTTATTGACTTTAGTTTATCTGTTAAAGGTCCTTGGTGTGTTGTTGGTGATTTTAATTCAATTTTGTTTGAGAAAGATAAGTTGGGAGGTAGACCTCATAATCTGACTCTGATTAATCAATTTGCTGATTATTTGAATAGTTATGGCCTTCAAGATTTGGGTTTTAAAGGGAATCCCTTTACTTGGCAAAGAGGTAGTATAAAGGAATGAATTAACAGGGTAGTTGCTAATGATCTTTGGAGAATGAATTTTTCTAATAGCTTCCTTATTCATATTCCCCTCCTCAAATCTGATCATATGGGTCTGTGGTTAAAAGTTAGATCTGAGGACTATTTTAGACCTCATCATAAGAATTTTAAATTTTTAGCTCCTTGGCTGCTCATAAAGATTCCTATAACCAAGTTAGTAAAGCTTGGCTAGTTTCTAGATCCTGGAATGATAATATTGTTGATTTCCAGAATAGCATTTCTAGCTGGAATATAAATATTTTTGGGGATATTTTTAAAAGGAAGAGAAGATTACTTAATAAAATCAGGGGTATATCCTGCAATTAGGTTCAAAAGATAATCATTTTCTTAACCAGCTCATGAAAACTTTGTGGAAGGATTACCAAAATATCCTGGACCAGGAGGAAATTTACTGGTTCACCAGTACAAGTCTAGCTGGATTAATTTAGGTAATAGGAATAATAAATTTTTTCATAAATCTGTGATCATTCGCAGACAACATAAGATAATTGAGGCTCTAAAAGATGACAATAATAACTGGGAATATGATCTCATTAACCTCCAACACCTTGCTGTGAGCTATTTTAAAAATTTATTTTTTGATCCTTGTCCTTCTGGTCAGCCCCTTGTCACTGTCTCTTCCTTTCCTCCTCTTAGGGATTCTGATTGGTCTGTCATTGAGTCTACTCTGTCTTTAGAGGAAATTAAGGTTTCCCTATTTAGCATTGGCAGTTTCAAATCCCCTGGTCCTAATAGGTTTCATTCTCTGTTTTTTAAAAGTCAATGGGATTTGTTAGGTTCCCATATTTTTAAGTTAGTCTCTGCCATTTTCAGCAATCCTGAAGAGGTGGCTGCTATCAATGATACTACTATTACTCTCATTCCTAAAATTGATAATCTTGAGCATATTAAGCAATTCAGACCTTTTTCTCTCTGTAATGTTAGCTACAAAATTGTTACCAAAATTCTAGCTAATAGGATTAAGGGGTCTTTGCCTTATCTCTCCCAATCAAACCAGTTTTATTCTTGGAAGACAGGGTATAGATAACATCATGGTCCTTCAGGAACTAATTCATTCTTTTGATAAAGGTAGGAATAAGTCTGGTTATATGATTATTAAGCTTGATTTGGAGAAGGCTTATGATAAAATTAGATGGAGTTTTATCTCTGAAACTATTCATTTAATTGGTTTTAACCATCAGTTTTCTGATCTTATATTTCAATGTATATCCACTTCCTCCATGTCCTTAAATTAGAACAATAACAGATCTGAGAGTTTTAATCCTTCTAGGGGAATTAGGCAAGGAGATCCAATTTCTCCTTACATCTTTGTTTTTTGTTTAGAAAGACTCCTCATTTAATTCAGGACCATGTTAATAGTCAAAATTGGATTCCTTTTTCTTTTAATAATGTTGCGCCAAAAATCTCCCATCTCTTTTTTGCGGATGATATTGTTCTAGTGGCTAAAGCTGATCTGTATAATGCTGAGACTATTCTTTCCAGTTTATATAATTTTGAACAGGCTTTTGGCCTATCTGTGAATAAAGAGAAATCTTCCATTTATTTTTCCAAAAATTGTGACCCTATTGTTAGAAATGATATAGCTACCATCCTTGGCATTAATAGCTCTTCTAACTTTGGCAAATACCTGGGGGTACCTATTAGTAATTCTAAGCCCACTAGGAAGGATTTTGTTTTCATAATTGATAAAATTAAAAAGAAGCTGTTTTCTTGGAAAATGAACTCTCTTTCCTTTGCTGGTAGAGTCACCCTTGCTCAAGCTTGCATTATGAACATTCCTAATTACTTTATGCAAGCTATGCTTATTCCTAAATCTGTTTGTAATTATATTAACTCAATTTGTAAGAGATTTATTTGGAGGTCTTTGAATAATAGAAAATGTCATCTTATAGGTTGGGATAAGATTTGTAAACCTAAGAGTGAAGGGGGTTTAGGATTTAGAGATTTAAATCTGGTTAATAAATCTTTTATTATGAAACTTTGTTGGAGACTGATTTCTTCCCCAAATGAATTATGGGCTAAGGTCTTGCATGCTAAATATAGGTTTTCTCTTGGGAAAGACCCTATGATTAATTCTGGTCTAAATACTTCAGCTATATGGAAGATTGTTTCTATTTGGGAGTCTTTTTATGTTGGTCTGGGCTGGTGTTTAGGGAATGGTTTAATTACTAGATTCTGGAAAGATAACTGGGTCCCTGATTTTCCTGCTCTATCCAGCTGTGTCACCAGTTCTATTCCTGAAGAAGATCTCAATATCCCTGTGGCTCTTTTCACTAATCAGGGAAATTGGGATTGGGATAAATTGAGGGATTTGCTTCCTAGGCCTATTTGTTTTGTTCTGTCCTCTATTAATCTCCCTAGAATTTTTGATAGTCAAGATAAGTTCTTTTGGAATTTAACTAATTCGGGGTGTTTTTCAATCAAATCTTCCTATGATTTAGTGTCTAATCCTAGTCAAGATCCGCTTGCTCATAATAAGATTTTTAAGATGGTCTGGGACTAGAAGGGCCCTCCTACGATTTCTATGTTTTTATGGAAAATTGCCAATGGTAGGCTTCTAACTAATGAGGAAAGATTTTCCTATAATATGGCTGTCTCTCCTTTGTGTCCTAGATGCATGGAGGCCCCTGAAACTATCATTCATGTCCTTAGGGATTGCTGGGCAGCCAATAGTATTTGGAGTAATTTTCTCCCTCCTGATAACTGGGTGCAATTTTTCAGCCTAGGTTTATCCAGTTGGCTGGAATTTAATATCTCCAAACATAACTTTCCATCCAAATTGGAGCATCATCTTTGGCTTTGTTGCTTGGAATTTGTGGATTTCTAGAAATAATTTTGTTTTTTAGAATAAGTATCTTAATGACCATGACCTTTCTAGAAAAATCTATCTTGATGTTGATTACTTTCTTTCTTGTTGCAGGTCTGGGCAGAAGCAAAATGTTGATGTTTGGGGAACCAATTGCTTGGTGAAGTGGCTGCCTGCCCTTCCTGGATTTTTTAAGCTTAATACAGACGGTTCTATGTCTCAGTCTTTGGGTGCTAGTTGTGGGGGATTAATCTGAGACTCTGCTGGTGCGTTTATTGTGGGTTTCTGTAGAAATCTTGATCCCTGCCATCCTACTGTTGCAGAACTTTGAGGTAATTTTTGGAGCCTCCATTTGGTTTTTGAGAAAAATTTTCAGGCCATTTGGGTGAAATTTAATTCTAAAATTGCCTTATCTTTGATTGTAAATGTTCAGAATAGTAATTATCCCTTTTATTTTGTTATTAGTAAAATAAGAGAGTTGATTACAAGGATTAAGATTACAAGGTTTAGTCATGTGTTTAGGGAAGCTAACCAAAGTGCTAATTGGTTGGCTAAATTAGGCCATGATTTTGGAGTGTTTTTCTCTTGTTTTGATAAGACTCTTCTATCTCTTGAGCCTTTTTTGCACATGGATTCTTTAGGGATCTTGAGGTCTAGGCTGGTAGCCTAGTTTTGTTTTGTTTCTTGGACTTCTGCCTCATTTATTAGCAAAATAAAAATAAAAATTAAGTAATGTAAATTTTTATAATAAATTTTATTTTATATAAAAAAGATTATTATAAATAAAAATTTACAAATTAAAATATATAATAATATTATTTAAATTTTAAAAAATCTATCTATTAAAAAAATAAAATAATAAAACTTAATAAATATTCTCGTGCGGAGTCATCTTTCTCGGATCCTTCCAAATCCCATCTGCGTCCAGATCCTCCTGCTTCATCATTTTTCAATATTCTTCCACCTTTATCATCTCTGTTCCTTTTATCATCACTAGACCCTCTATGACCATGCCCAGCATTGCTGGGGTCATATGCTTGGTTGGCCAGATATGAGAGGGCTGTCACCACATCTCCAATCAGAGGACGAGTGGCAGCCGATTCTTGAATGCACATTGAAGCCACAGCCAGAGCCTGGTAAAGACCCCGCATGGGAAACCGTCCCTGCATATTTGGATCAGCCAACTTTGAAAACTTCCTGCGGTCATTAAACAATGGACGTGCCTGCACAAACATCATAAAATCACCATTACCTCTCCATTTTTATGTACAAGAGCCTACACATGCCAAACTAACTAAGATGACAAGAAAAATAGAGGGCAACCCATGTGACAAGGTTTTGTTCTCCATGGGGCTGGCTGCTGTCAATTGCTTTACGGCCAGTGATCAGCTCTAAGAAGACCACCCCAAAACTATATACATCTGACTTCACAGTTAGTTGACCAGTCATTGCGTACTCAGGAGCACAGTAACCATAAGTTCCCATGACACGTGTAGAAACATGTGATTTGTCACCAACAGGACCAAGTTTTGCAAGACCAAAGTCAGAAAGCTTTGGGTGGTATCCTTCATCAAGTAATATGTTAGATGACTTGAAGTCTCTATAAATGACAGGAGGATTTGCCTTATCATGCAGGTATTCTAATCCTTTTGCAGCACCCGCAGCTATTTTCATCCTAGTGTTCCAATCTAGTGGTTCCTTATCAGGGGGAAGATCTGCACAGTAGTCAATAAATAATGTTAAAGCATCAGTTGTTATCATGACAATTGCATTTTGTTCAAGAAGGCATTAGTTTTGACGTGTAATATGCTGTTTAAAATATACATAATTTCTACTATTAAATTAAGTACGTAAGAATCTCTAAATCATTTTAAATTCAGAATATATATTATCAGGATAATATCACAAGATTTCACTGTTGAATTCATAAAATTTAATGTTTGTAAAATGTTATTGAAGGTGTAAATTTGCCAAGTTTGACACCAAGGTCAGTTGATCCAATGTATATAATCTTTTTAATAACAAAATCTCTTATCTCACTGTTATACCGTGCTTTTTGGCAACCTAAACTGCAAAATAGTGTTTTAAAATATATTGTTGTGTAAAAGAAGTCTTCATTTTTGTTTATTTGAATTCCTGTTTATGGAATTTTGAGCTGAGCTTTAGGCATTCCCATTTTAGTTCTAGCAGGCCATATGTATTGTATCCATAACCTGAAACTCAACCCAATGGTTACCTCTAGTTCATTGCATTATACATGGTGGAAAGACTGCCCACACATAAGAGAGAGTTTGCAGCTATCAATCAATTGGTGCTACCATGCAAAGACTAAGAAGAACATATTTCACAAAGAAATCTACGAGAAAACATCCTGATTATAGCTGGTGATGATTTTATTGAGGAAGTTGCAATCTAATGTTATGTTCATGCCATCCTATGCACAAAATTTTATAGCATCTATGCAACACACTCAAAATTATGTTAAGAAACTTAAATTGCAACCTGCAATCTAAGCGCATGTTTGGAAAAATGGAACTGTGAAAGGTTGTTACAGATTTACAGCTGCTATAAGTAAAAAGAATTTATGAGGAAAAGTCAGTTATGGAGTTGTAGAGACCAGAGTCTCAAACAACATGGATCATCGTATCTTTGATTCTTCCTCTATCTTTTCTGGGAAGCTAACATCCAGAGGAATAGAGTTCAGTAATAAAGCATCTTGTTCTTATTTTCCATATTGGTTTTGGTGTTCAGGATATTAATAGAAGAGAATAGGAATTCCCAGTTTCTTTATATCTGAGAAACATTAACCTAAAAGAAATTATAATCAAAGGATTAGATATAAAGAGCAACACAACCATACAGTGAAGGTGATCTTCCAATGATCCCAATGGCATAAATTCATAAACAAGGAGGCGCTGATCCCCATCTGCACAGTATCCGATGAGATTCACAAGGTTAGGGTGATGTAGAAGACTGAGCATGAGAACCTCCACAAGGAATTCTCTATTCCCCTGAAGACCATTTTTGTCTAACTGTTTAACAGCAACTATCTGCAAAGGTAAATGAAGAAATCTTAAGACTCACTAGTCACTAGAGGTCTCAACCACACAAATTCTGAGCATTTAAGATTAAGGATTGCCTTCTCTCATTGAAATATGAAGTTTTTATTCTGCTACCCCTTTTACTCAGGAAACCATATGCATGGCAATATGGCCACAACAAAAAATAAAAAACTCCCAAAATGACATTGAGAGAGAGAGAGGCAGAAGCATTAGGGATGGGTCAATGTCTTAAGATATCTGATCAAGAAGTAACATGAATTTAAATGTATGAACATTAGCTTTTATTTCCTTATCATCCTCCTAGGCATACACAACAGTGAAATACTAACTTGGGAATATAAAGTACTTTGCCCAACACAATAATACATATATGATATAGATATTTAAACACAGACAATTCATCATTTTTAGGATAGTTATGGAATTATAAGTTCGTCAAAATAATCATAAAAGCATAGCTTTTTTTCCCTATTTCACAACTATATCAAGTAATGATAAACACAATACTAATCAGGCCTTATTCCACTACGTGGGGGTATACGATAATACGGATCAGTCACCATGGATCTGTATTCATTGACAATATTGCAAAATTATGGAACATGGCAAAAGCAAATGATTCTAGGAAGAGGAGAGTGATGGCTTGTGGAAGTAAATCAAGGACTCGACGTTGTGTGAATTGGCGATTCCTGGTTCCATCTGCGACACGTAAAACTCTGTTTACAACCATTATTAATATAGATAATGACACAGAGAGTGAGAGAGAAACAGAAAGTATGAATGTTATGTTATAACATCACTTTGCAAACAAATTTACAATATAAGAAAATCCATACGTGAAGTTGTATCATTTTCAATTCATGTTATAAGAAAATGTCATGAGAAGATATCTAACATAAATATTTACTTATGGAAACGAAACCAATGGTGTTTGCTTATTTATACGTCATTGGCGTTCTGTTACAGCATTACTTTTTTTCACAATTGACACAAAGCCTTTGTGTCAAAACATGCACCGAAAAAGGAACGAAACTAAAACAGGAGCAGATAATGAACGAGAAATTTTAAAAGAGAATGTGAAAAATAGAAAATATTGGTGTAACCTTTTGCGAAGCTTGGTGACAGATATAGTGAACTCTTCAGGAATTGTGCCAAATTCAAGAAGCAGCAATTACAAACGCCAATAGTCCTGCCCGGTTGAAACTTTGTAGCTCACAAAGATGCCACGAGTTTTCTCAATCTAAACTCTCATGCAAACAATTTTGCATGCAAGTTTAACTTTCTTTTCTGGATCCACCTACCTGTTACCTCACACACCTATGTTCCTGTCAAAACTTGTATGTTGCCACAAACACTAGTTTTTCATAAATATAGTTGATAAAAAAACCGAGTTAACGTGCATCAAGATTTTATAATAAAACTATAATTAATCATAATTATAGTTTTCATAATAAGAAGACGCTGCACCTTATACATGTTAGCGTAACTATAATTAATCACAATTATAGTTTTCATAATAAGAAGACGCTGCACCTTATACATGTTAGCGTAACTATAATTAATCATAATTGAGACCGTATTAATTATCATCAAAGTTGCACCATGTCTACCCATTAAACTAAGAACATGAAAAATTTCCAATGAAATTATCAAGTTAATAGCGATTGCTAAGAATTACTTCGGCAATTTATTATAAAACACCAGATAATATGAATATAAGAGCGGTTCACACTAGAGCAAAAGAAAGATACACGTCTAAAAGAAAGAAATTGGAAACATGATTCTCATGAAAAAAAATGAATTTTTTTATATAAACAAGTTATTGAATTTTGTTATTTAGTTTTATAATTAAAGTGATTAAGATGATCGGAGCAAATTATAGAGTTAAAAAAAAAAATACTAGATTAAAATAACAGAGCTGTAAGATCACAAATCATATATCATGTGATCAAGTTCCATGAAATGAGGTGCACACATGATGAAATTAATTGCATTTGTGGTGTTATTGATATGTCATGACATGACGTTAATAGATAAAATTTTTGCGGCAGAGAGGACAAGTAGTGTATCCCATCTCCAACCAAGTGCGGATGCAAGAGGAGTGGAATTGATGAACACACACTCTAGAAGGTTGAATGGACTCTCCATTCTGAAGTTGTTCCATGCAAATGGTGCAATCATCTGTGAAGATTGTAGGTGGTGGCAATGTTGGTCTGTATGTTACCCTCTCATCCCTTACACTTTGAAACTGCAGCGTCGTTGTTTCACAGCGGGGTAATTCCCCAGCCCCTCTTACACTTGTTAACTGTATTTCTCTTCGAATACGTGATATTTCCCTCTCATATCGAGCCCTTAAACTTGTTAACTGTGTTGCTCGTTGATTACGTGATATTTCCCTCTCATTCTCAGCCCTTTCAAATTCTGCAAATGCAAGAAACAAGAACACAAGAAATATGGACCAAGAGTACACAATGCATATAACATAATCAACGTTATAAGGACTTTTCTCATATAAGAAAATCGAAGCTCCAACCGCAGTAACTGTAACCCATCCAATAAAGAATTGGAGCACTAACACAGGCGCCTCAGGTGAGATATGGCTAGACCTCCAAATCAAATAAATTAACAGAAGCATCAGTAACCACAGGCAAATAATGCAGATAGCATAAGCAATTTCATGTGTGATCTTTCTCAATAGAAAGATTACACATGTTGGGAACAATACGACTAACGTTATCGTCAGGGCAACACGGTCCCGAGTCACCATAGGAACTAGGGAAGTAGGTTGCAGTGTAGTGAAAAACGTGGGATTACGTGAAAAAACGAAACCAGAGAGGTAAGTTTAATCTAAGTGATTCCTACGGCGTCGTTAAACCTAAGAGGATATTTTATAAGTAAATTACGTGGTACCTTTAAAACTTTAAAATTTTCGCCCGATAATACTTAGAAATAGGTTTAAGAGATAATTTTATTTAATAATAAATTATATAATAATATATATTTTTTATAACTTATGTGTTTTTCTTTTTTAACTAGTACAATTTTTTGAGTATAATATCCGCAAAAACCGAAGGTTGTTACTTTAATCCGTCAATGTTTACAGTAAAAAGAAAATCATCATTTTTAATTTTCAATTTTACTTGATTCTCTTTATTAACATGCAAACTGGAATTGTAAGACCAATTCTAATTCAGATAATATCATTCCTCGTCCTTTAACACGATTCCTGTCCCAATGTCACAGCCAAGTCTTTAACACTGGATGTTGAAAAGCGTAACGAGTAAATGGGTAGGTTTGATCCTTTCTCACAAGCGAGCATGCTTCAAAATTCAGAATCAATAAATAGAAACAAAGAATGCCTACTAAATTCATTTAAATTCACAAAAGCATTTTCAGTGATCCAAAGACTAGCATAACACCAAACCAAAACTGTCATGTTATCAAGAAAGCAATCACCCCATCAATATTTTATAATAGTCTCCAATTGTGCTGGTCATGCTTATGCTGTTGAAAAGTAAAAAAAAAGCACATGCGAATAATAAAGGAAAATGCGTACAATTTAAAAATTTGGTGCCTAACGCGTTTTTGAAAATTGAGCGTTTCATTTGCCTATATAAAGGAAACAATGATAGGCAAAATATGCAGAACAACTGAAAATATTCAGAGAGCAAAAACAGAGAAAATAGTTTAGCTTCTAAGTACAATTGGGTTATGGGTTGTGAATGGTTGTGAGTTATTTTTTAGTGTTTTGTAAACACCGAGTGTATTCCCTTTTTTTAGTAAAATATCTGCAGTAGTCCGGAGACGTAGGCATTATTGGCCGAACTCCGTTATCAATTTTGTGTGTTCAATATTCCACATTTATTTTTCACTTCAACAAATCTGACGTTACAAGAAAGTTCAGCATAATTTTCTCAACAACTGGTATCAGAGCTGGTCCAAAATTCTACAATTTTGTGATTACTATTCATGTGAATAGTAAATTTAATTTTGCAATTACTGTTCATGCGAATAGTATTGTTTGAAAACTTTCGATTTACAAATTGTGATTACTATTCATGTGAATAGTAAATTTAATTTTGCAATGTTCATGTAAATAGTACTGTTCGAAATTTTTTGCAAATTTGTGATTACTATTCATGTGAATAGTAAATTTAATTTTGCAATTATTGTTCATGCGAATAGTACTGTTTAAAAAATTTTGATTTGCAAATTGTGATTACTATTTATGAATAGTGAAATTACTGTTCATGAATAGTTAATCGTGAATAGTAAAAAATTTGTCGGCGTTACAAATTTATTTACAGACATGTTCTAAACACAGTGGTTTACAGAAATTGTCAGAAACGATCCTAAGGAGAAGCCAAATTTGAGTGGAAGTGATGGCCGCAGACGAAAGAAAGGTGAAAATCGATAAGTTCGATGGTGCAGACTTTGGCTTTTGGAAAATGCAAATAGAGGACTATTTTTATCAGAAAGGCATGCATGAACCTCTCACAGGCAAGAAACCAGAGTCTATGAAGGAAGAAGACTGGAAACTTCTGGACAGAAAAGCTCTTGGAGTCATCCGATTAACATTATCCCGTAATGTTGCTTTCAATATAGCAAAAGAAAAGACTACGGCAGATCTTATGAAGGCTCTTGAAAGCATGTACAAAAAGCCATCAGCCTCAAACAAAGTTCATTTGATGAGGCGGTTGTTCAACTTACGGATGGCAGAAGGCGCCTCAACGGCGCAACATCTAAATGAACTCAACACTGTCACAACCCAATTGAGTTCAGTTGGAATCAATTTCGATGATGAAGTACGGGCTTTAATTCTCTTATCTTCCTTGCCTGAGAGTTGGAATGCTACTGTCACAGCTGTGAGTAGCTCATCGGGAAGCAATAAGTTGAAATTTGATGATGTTCGTGATTTGGTTCTCAGTGAAGAGATCCGCCGTAGAGAGTCGGGTGAATCATCAACCTCTTCAGTATTGCATACAGAGTCAAGAGGCAGAAGTTCAACCAGAGGAAGAGGACGCAGTAAATCAAAGGTGAGGCGTTCTAAGTCCAAAAATCATCATAGCTCCAACAACTCAAAGACTATTGAGTGTTGGAATTGCGGGAAGACAGGACACTACAAAAATCAGTGCAGGAGTGCACCGAAGAATCAGGAGGCGAAAGAAGAGGCAAATGTTGCTTCCACCTCTGGAAGAGATGATGCATTGATATGTTCTTTAGAGAGCAAGGAGGAGTCTTAGGTGTTAGACTCTGGAGCATCTTTTCATGCCACTTCGCAGAAAGAATTCTTCAAGAATTATGTTTCCGGAAACCTTGGTAAAGTTTATCTTGGTAATGACCAATCATGTGAGATTGTGGGCAAAGGTATAGTGAAGATTAAGTTGAATGGGTCTGTATGGGAATTGAAAAATGTCAGACATATTCCCGACCTAACGAAAAGCTTAATCTCAGTAAGCCAATTGGCCAGTGAAGGTTACGCAACAGTCTTCTACAGTGATAAAAATCATGCACTCAAACGGAAAACTACCAGGTCTTCAGTCAGTAGAAATTGACATGTGTGAAGACTGTATACTTGGAAAGCAGAAATGAGTCAGCTTTCAAACAAGTGGAAGAACCCCAAAGAAAGAAAGACTTTAGCTTGTTCACTCTGATGTTTGGGGTCCAACAACTGTCCCATCCATTAGTGGAAAACGATACTTTGTGACTTTTATTGATGATCACTCCAGAAAGGTATAGGTATACTTTCTAAAATATAAGTCTGAAGTATTTGAGGCTTTCAAGATGTGGAAAGCTATGGTAGAAACTGAGACAGGATTGAAGATTAAGAAGATCAGAATTGACAATGGTAGTGAATATGAAGACACCAGATTCAAGAAGTTTTACTATGAGCACGGGATCAGAATGAAGAGGACCGTGCCAGGTACGCCTCAACACAATGGTGTAGCTGAGGGTATGAATTGAACATTGACTGAAAGAGCCAGAAGCTTGCGTTTACAGTCAGGCTTACCAAAGAAATTATGGGCAGAAGCAGTCAACACAGCAGCTTACTTGATCAACCGAGGTCAATCGGTACCATTGGAGCACAAAATACCAGAAGAGGTATGGAGCGGAAAAGAGGTAAAACTCTCATATCTTAGAGTTTTTGGCTGCGTAGCATATGTGCACTTTAGTGATCAAGGAAGGAATAAGCTTGATCCCAAATCAAAGAAGTGCACTTTCATCGGTTATGGTGAGGATGAGTTTGGCTACCGCCTATGAGATGATGAAAATAGAAAGATGATCCGTAGCAGAGATGTAATCTTTAATGAAAGAGTGATGTACAAGGACAAGCATAACATGGGTGCTAACAATTCAGAACAAATTGAGCCAGCGCATGTAGAACTTGACGATGTCCTTGAAAGTTCTATAGTTTATAATCCTCAACCAGAGGAATCAACTGGAGAAAGCAGTGAGCAGCAGTCTGAAATATCAGAGCTTCCTACTCCAACTCCTGTATTGAGAAGGTCTTCTCGACCTCATGTTCCTAACAGGAGATACATGCACTACATGTTGTTCACTGATGGAGGAGAGCCTGAAGATTATGAAGAAGCATGTCAAACTATAGATGCCACCAAGTGGGAGCTTGCTATGAAAGATGAGATGAAGTCTTTGATCTCTAATCAGACATGGGAACTAGCTGAGTTACCTATGGGAAAAAAGGTACTTCACAACAAATGGGTGTATCGGGTGAAGGAGGACCATGATGGCTCCAAAAGATACAAAGTCTGGCTAGTTGTCAAAGGATTTCAGCAAAAGGAAAGAGTCGACTACACAGAGATTTTTACACCAGTTGTGAAGCTCAATACTATCAGGTCTGTGTTAAGTATTGTTGCTAGTGAAGAGCTATACTTGGAGCAGTTGGACGTGAAGACTGCATTTCTTCACAGAAATCTAGATGAGATCTACATGCATCAACCTGAAGGCTTCTTAGAGAAAGGGAAGGAGCATATGGTGTGCAGATTAAAGAAGAGTTTGTATGGCCTAAAACAAGCGCCAAGACAGTGGTATATGAAGTTTGAAAGCTTCATGCACAGGGAAGGCTTCAAGAAGTGCAATGCTGACCACTGTTGTTTCTTCAAGAGGTATAACTCCAGTTATATCATTTTGCTATTTTATATTGATGATATGTTAGTAGTAGGTCCAGACATGGCCGAGATCAGAAATTTGAAGATGCAGCTGTCAAAAGAGTTTGACATGAAAGACTTGGGTCCAGCAAAGAAGATCCTTGGAATGCAAATCACGAGAGATAAGCAAAAGGGAACTTTGCAGTTATCTCAAGTGGAGTACATCAACCGTGTTTTGCAAATATTCAACATGAGCAATCCCAAGAAAGGAGTGTTTTGCACAGTGACAGTCAGAGTGCAATACATCTGGCAAAAAATTCAGCATTTCACTCTAGAACCAAGAACATTGACATATGTTACCACTTCATCAGATCTCTGCTTGAGGATGAAGTGCTGACATCGAAAAAGATTATAGGAAGCAAGAACCCAGCAGACATGCTAACAAAGGTGGTGACCATTGACAAACTGAAGTTGTGTTGCATTGATTGAGGTGTGAAGACAGATTGAAATCAGTCTTCAAATGGGAGATTGTTGAAAAGTAAAAAAAAAGCACATGCGAAGAAGAAAGAAAAACGTGTACAATTTGAAAATTCGGTGCCTAACGCGTTTTGAAAATTCGGTGCCTAACGCGTTTTTGAAAATTGAGCGTTTCATTTGCCTATATAAAGGAAACAATGAAAGGCAAAATATGCAGAACAACTGAAAATATTCAGAGAAAAAAAACAGAGAAAATAGTTTAGTTTCTGGGTACAATTGGGTTACGGGTTGTGAATAGTTGTGAGTCATTTTTGAGTGTTTTGTAAACACCGAGTGTATTCCCTTTCTTTAGTAAAATATCTGCAGTAGTCCGGAGACGTAGGCATTATTGGCCGAACTCCGTTATCAATTTTGTGTGTGCAATATTCCGCATTTATTTTTTACTTCCACAAATCTGACGTTACAAGAAAGTTCAGCGTAATTTTCTCAACACATGCAATCACCCCAAATGCCTAGAAAGAAAGAAAATAAAAATTCAAAAACAACTAAATCTCTCAATCAAACTTTATCAATCATTTCATCTTCCTCTTGGCTTCCTTTCTCACCATTCAAGGTTGATGCTCTTGTGCTGTTGAGCACAGAACCAGAGCACAAAGTCAAGAGAAGTTAGCACGGTAAAGAGGAAGAAAAACCTATGTGCCCCATATTCAAGTTATTGGGAATCCATCCTGCTCTCTCTCCCTTGCTGTGATTCCCGTCACCACGTACACTAGCTGACATAGTTTCGAAGAGAAATTGAAGCCATGCAAAAGGAACTTCCAAAGCTTTTTATGCCATGTAGTGTTTGTCCACTAAAGAACTCCAATTGACCGATATACCTGAAAACTTCCCAGCACCAACCAAAACATACATGGATTTACCAAAATATTTCAAAGAATTAACCTTCTCTCCAACTTAACCCGTTTGAGTTTTTCAAGCTCTGTCCCAATAGCACCAGTTGCCAACATAGCTAACATTCCAATAATCAGGCAAACTCTCATTCATTGAAGATCAGTTGATCCCTTAGGTTGCCGGTAAATCTTCCTACCACCGAAACAAGGATTTGAAATAAATTTCTTTGCATGAAAAGGACAAAACAAGAGCATTATTATTTGTTGAGGAAGCAAAATGTGTGTTGAGAATGCTACCAGTTTAGGGAAAGAGTCCATTATGAAAAGGAGGGTTGAAATAGACACATTGATTCCTTTTTGTTTATATGATTTTTAGTGAACTGTATGCATCAAAAGGTGCATGTACAGCTCTTTAAGGTGTAAAATTAAATCCTAATCAATTGACTTTATCGAGAAAGATTACTTTTTTTAGGCCAATAGGTCCATAGTGAACTATCAATCAATTTATTGGCATTCTGCTATTTCTCACAGTAAGGGGAGAGAGCAGGATAGATTCCCAATAACTTGAATATGGGTCACCTGGATTGGTTTTTTTCCTAGTAATGCTAACTTCTCTTGACCTTGTGCTCTACTTGTTTTGTGCTCGGTGGTACAAGAGCATCAACCTTGAAGACGTAAGAAGGGAAGCCAAGAGGAAGATGAAATAATTGATAAAATTAATTATGAACAATGGGGGTGTCTAAAATCATTGGAATGTTAACTATGCTGGCAGAGTTGCAGTGTTACAAAGTTTGAAAGACTCAAACTGGTTAAACATGTGAGAAGGCTAATTAGTTGACTATATTTTAGTAAATCCCACAATATGTTCTTGTTGGTGCTTCAGAATTCTTTAGGTAGGTCAATTGAAATTCTTTAATGGGCACGCCTTAGATGGCCACAACCGCGTGGTTTGAGCAAAGACTGCCAAGATGTCAGCCACAGCAGCCCCAAGCGCTATTCAATGAAATTGAAATGTCTTTCAACATGCATCTTCTAATGCCATCAAATTCAATAGAAAAGAATAGAATAGTATGAATAGAATACCACGACAAAAATGAGCTAAAATATCGAGCATGTTAAATATCGACCCCAGCAAGAACCATTGAGGAAGGCTCCAATGAGTGAGAATATGTAAACGGTTCCCATCCACTTGCTCACATTATTAGCAGCCTCGACACTGTCTTGATCCAGCACTCGGATCAGAAACAGAACCAACTTCACTCCAACTCCAAAGAATGCTAGTGTAGCTAGTGCTTGATTTCCTGCATCCATTTTTCACAACAATATTAAATCACACCCAGTTCACACAAATAAGATGCTTGCATTTGTATGAGTGACTCAATTGATCTTATGGCACACAACAAAAATCAGTGATAAAATATTAAACTGTCAAATTGTTTTTCTATTTAACAGTAACACAGCCCCCCTTTCTGAAAGCAACACTTTTTATCTATTAAGAATAACTGACCTCAACCGCTTCAACATTCAAGGGCTAGACAGTGTGTGAAATGGCATTCCTGGTTCCACCTGCGACACGTAAAACTCTGTTTAAAACCATTGTTGATATAGATAATGACACAGAGTGAGAGAGAAAACACAAAGCATGAATGTTCTGTCATAAAATCACCGTGCAAATATGTTTATATAATAAAATCCATACGGGAGGTTGTATTGTTCTCAATTCATGTGACACGCAAAGGTCATGAGAATATATCTAATATAAATATATACTTATTCAGTTTTAGTAGGTAAGCTAGTCCTTTTTAACAGAGTCATGCCTTTGAGTGTGTTCCTATTTTTACGGTAAGCACCTATATTGTGGTGATGTTAAAAAAGGAACCACTAACATGGAAGCGGAGGCTAAAGATCTGCATAGGAGCAGCACATGAACTACACTACCAGCACATGGCGACATAAATCCGACTAAAAGTCTTTTGGATGGCAACATGGTTCCTAAACTAGCAGACTTTCGGCTTTGTTTAGGTTATTTAACTAATACGATTTGGAGATAGAAAGACATGATTAATCGATATGGGGATAGAAACCGATAAACATATTAAAAAAAAAATACAAATTGGGACATCAAGTTACTTGATTGCAGGAAAATCCCAAGATACGATTTTGTGATGAGTGGACAAAATATTCTCGTGATGAGATGCTTCCCTTCTGACTCGGGAGTGAGAGTGAAGCATTAATAGAAGTGTACACAACTGGGGCTATATATACTATCCCCCAACAGAGTTCCATTTACTGAATTGCATTGCACTATAATTTCTATACTGTGTTGTTCTTCACCACTCAATCATATGTTTGCATTACATAATATAATTATCATAAGAAAAAAAAAAAAAAAAAAAAGCTGCAGCAAATTTTACGGATTTTGGCTTTGGGGTATATTATTAGGAGGTGACGGAGAAAAATGAGGGATCCAAGTTGAAGGGTCTCCTAAATTCAAAGCAGGTGGTGGTGGTGGTGGTGGAGAAAGATGAGAAAGAGAAGGTATATGAGGTACCCAAGTGGTAGGGTCTCCTAATTTGAATGGAGGAGAAGGTGTTGGAGGATATGAAGGGAGTGGTGGAAATGGAAAAGGTAAAGATGGTGGTAAGGTTGGGAATGGCAGTGAGGGAAAGGGAGGGATTGGTAATGATGGAAAAGGAGGCAACGGTAGCTGAGGAATGGGTGGCCATGGGAATCCATAAGGTGGAAGATAAGGGAAATAGAATTTTGAAGAGTTGAAAGAGCTCCTAGTTGTACCACATAAGGTAGTGTTCTTCTTAGGTGGCTTGTACTCAAAGCACTCAAGGTGTACACACACAAGTTGTCTTGTTTTGATTTCACCGATATCTCACGTGTTGTGCTCTTTAGAAAGGGAACGTTGCAAATGGGAGATGAGGTCCTTATCAAGCTTGCTTGGCACATTGACACAATTGCTGAACCATCCATGCAATTAACTCCATCCACTGGTGGTATCTCCAACTTGTACACTCCATATTGGTCTGTGGTTCTGTTCACTGAGAAGCTTATCTGCTCGCTGGTTTTTGGTGAGGTTGCTCTAAATCTGCACTGTATGTGAACCTCAACACCTGATTAATTGGAACAAACCAATGAAACACTGCATTTCAAAATCCCAACTCTACCAAGCTTTCATTGCCTTACCTTGCAAGAAGTAACTCTCTTTAGAAAAACTGCTGCTTGAGCAGGTGTCACAATAAACAACTCCCACTACACTGATCCGTGAGATATTAGGAGATTGCGCAATGACCACAAATGGGCAACTAAAAAGAGATGTGAGAAGAAGAATAAGAAGATGGAAAACAAGTGGATCCATGGAAGGAATTGAAGCAGAAGAGTGAAGGCGAAGAAGCTTCCACAAAACTAAAACATCTTTGTGATGGTTGGCAGTGGCAAGTGAGTGCAAGTGTAACAATATTTTATAGTGAGAGAGTGTGGTGTGTACATAGAAGGAACCCGTGAGTGTGTAGTGGTAGTAGGACCAACTACAATAAGAGAGCTAAAATTGTTAAATGTATTCACTACAAACAAAGACATGTGAAGGTGGTGTTGGCAGAATATGGTTGGCAAGGAAGCAGAGATTTGGAAGGTCATTATACCAAAACATATAGTCAGGTTCATTTGTATTTTTATTTATTATTGATGGGAAGAAAGCGCATTGGGTCACACAGACACATATTTTAGAGCAATTTAATTTCATGCTCTATGCCATTTGTCAAGCGAATATGTTCAACCAGTTAGACTTAGACGTGACTGTAGATAACGGGGAAATCTGTAATGTTAAGTGCAAATTTTAACTTGCTCTTGCCAGATCTGCAGAAGACACGTTGTATTTGGGTGTCTTCAAATTATTGGATAATGGGGATTTTAGACAATAAGCACGTTATGGTGAAAGCTAGCTTGTTAATTTATGGGATCTCTGATAACTAAAGATAACAATAAGCACGTTCTTAATTTTGACCTAACACAATGTGATCACCCATAATTGAAATAGAGGACCTAATTTCTAGTTTTAATAAGATTTTGAATTTTACTTGTCAAAAGAATTATCTTGTGAATTGTTTTGAAGTACCATTTATTCAAATAATCAAACATAACTAATTAAGCATCTGACTGAATATTAATTAATCATAATTCCTATCATATGCCCTCATTAAACCTTTAATTTAATTCAGCATAAATAAAATTGTATAAACAATAAAGCCACAATTTTTTTCTGAAATTATAAAGGTTAAATTGTAGTTTTTTACTATGTAAGTTGTTTTAATTTCATTTTTCTTGCATAATAATAAGTTTGAACGCCATAGTTCGGCCTTATAGTCCACGCATGCGATACACATATTAGTTATGCTATCGAGAGACCAGTTTGCGCACATTAAATAAAATGATACGCTTCTATCATTTTCGTAAACAGTTGTGGATATATAAGACAAGTTGGTACAATCTGTTTTGAAGTAATTTGATTAGAAGCACTGTAATTGATAAGAGACCCTGCATGACGTATTGAGGATGTAATGAATGACTAACCTTAATATTGAGGAAACTTCATTCTAATGTGCTCGACAATAGGGCTTACCTTAACTTTCGCTGAATCAAGTCACATCAGATTTAACTTACATAAAGACACAATATTATTTTATGGTGTTTGGTTTGGTGCTGAGGATTTGAGAGGGCATCTAATGTAGCTTGGAAATTGTTCAGTTTAATGTTATTATAATGACTTTTTTTTAAGGTAATTTCGGTTTAAAGGCATTTTAACATGTAAAATTCATATAATCTGCAATAACATTTACTCACAATGACATTGCAAGTTTTCGTTGACATGTTTGTAAGTGTGTTTTTGTGTCTGTTCTACAAGAAATGGTGCTAATGTACTCTCTAGTGTGATTTTTCTGTGTGTACCGTTACTTCCTTTTCTCGTTTCAATTATCGGTTGAGAAGGAAATCAAGCGACCTAATGCCTGGAAGTTTTGCAATTCAATGTAAAGAAAAATTCATCAAATGAAAAGTAATGATGCAATAACAGAGAGCAAGTCACCAAAGGCACATATCACCTCAAAAAAGAATGTATGGCAATAATTTTCGAAGACAAGCTTCAATATACTTTTGACCAATTTACACTATCACTTGAAAATTGATACATTTACACAAAAAATGTTGTTGAAGTCTCTCACATGATGGAAAGAAAGGCCATACAAATTGATGGCAAGCATAGAGTTGTCATATCTAGATCAATCCATTATCCTAGAAGCACACGAGGCACGTACTTATTGTAGTATTTTATTTGTATATATGCTAATTGTTGACATTAAATTTTCTCAATTTAATCATATATTTAGATCTGACCTGATTTAATCCAAAAAGCCAAAGAAGGACGAGTAGATGCAATCGAAACATATGTTTTTCGGAATACACATGAACCTTCGCGTCATGAGTATGATTTTCCTAGCAGTAATGATCTCATTAGAAATCTCAAGACCATTCAAGAGTAGACTTCATTCTGTTCTTCGCATTAGTCCAATGGATTATTTAGCAATAGCAATAATAATTAGATAGACTCTGAAAGAATTAATGAGCAAATTAAAATTTAATAAGCCTCTAAAGTAAATTTGTTTAGTACACTTATAGAGAAATTTTTAAAACGCGTTAGATTTTACCTTATTTTATTGGCTCAAACTTTATTTGATACCGTGACGCAAGTGGGTAAGCGAGCACTCCTGAAGGAAAAACTACAAATTCTCAACGTGCAAAGGTAAAAAAAAATATAGTCATGTATTTGACAGGAATGAAATTTTTTAACCTTCTCATCTAACTTTTGAATGTCAAAATAGTTTATAATTAAAAAATATCTCTAGGAAACATTCAGAATATTTACCATCGGACATAATTGTTCTATTATAGGTTTTATAATATTATTGAATTCTTAGTTTATTTTGAGACACCAAAGTTTCTTAAGAATGCTTTAACCAAATATGTAACATACTTGGACCGTAAATCTAACCAAACCCTTAGTCTATTTTTAACCCCTAATCACAATCTTGCTGTTTCACTTTCAAGATCGCAACTTAGAGCTTTACAGCAAGGAATATCAGCGTAAGTTCTACAGCCCAAAGGATATATCAGAAATCACTCAACCTATTTTCAATCATCATCATCATCATCGTCAAGCCACCTTAACAAAAAAAAAAGACATTTAGTCAAAAGTTCCAGGATAAGATATTGCGAAAACTTGAGCGAAACTTTTTTACGCGTGTATTAGCCCATCTAGCCTTGTGAATGCATGTATCCGCATTTACCAAGTTTTAGTTTGACAACTGACAAGGAATTGACAGAAAATAGAACGAGGAAAAACAATAATGATAAGCCTCGGTTCAATTTTCACTATGGCAGTTAGAAATGTGAATGAAGTTCAATGGTAAATTTCGAATAACTACTTTTCCTTCTGCTTTTCATTCTTTTTACAAGAGAACTATGAATGACATAAAGCAATAAAGAAACACAAATTAATCATTCACACAAAAGTAGTTATGAAGGCCCGCGAAGAGTTGTCTGTACACCTTCTGTCTTTCCCAACCATGCATCATTTCATACCAAGCTGAGATCATTTCCCAAGTTCCAGTTCAATTTCTTCAATTCTCAAAAGATGAATGTTATTTTTTAAACTTCAGAAGCTTCTGTGGACAAGGATGAGTCTGTGCCATAATTCCAAAGGCTCTTCAGCTCACCTCTTATGTATCCCAATATAATAGTGACACCTGTTGATTTAATCAGACAATAGTCGGGCATGAGATAGATTTAACTTACCACTACACATTTAATTTCAGCCCAAAACCAGTTACCTAGTGTACATGGGACAAGGTAGAGGAGTGCAGGTTGCCCACTTCCGTTCATCAGATATAGCCCCAAATATGTGAAAACGAGACCTAAAACAGTAAAAACACCCATTGTCATGATATAGAAGAATAATAGCATAGAATCCAGATCACGAGTTTATGGAACATCATATGATCTATTAACTAGGAGCATCGGAGGGTGGAACCATACAACTTTTAAAAGCAACTAAAGTAACTTTTGAAAGAACCAAGTCGAAGACCTCCAATTGTTTGTCCCCTGACTTCTGTGATGATCTTATCGAGTTCTGAAACTAGTTCTCATTTGTTTATGCATTTCTCACGTTTCCCTCTTATGGAATAACATGTTTGGTATTTTTAGTGAAGATTGGTTCCAGTAAGGATGCTAGAAGGCTTTGATGCCGCTCTCAGTTTGCAGCACCTCAGTTAGTGTGTCTGGTTAGAAAGAAATTTTAGAATCTTTCATTGGTTGTCAATTGCTGTGAGTTTATTTGGGATTGAGCATTCACCTAGCTTCTTTGCCGTGTTCTGCTAATTGTTTTTTTTTTTAAGGGGGTATATTTATTAGATCTTCAGAGACACAGGCGTGCTGTGTTGCAGGTTACTCTTACCTTTTTTGTCTTTCTCTTTCTTTTCTTGATTTAGTTCATAAGGTTTTCATGTAGCTTTTATACCCCTCTTAATTTTTTTCTAGACAAAACTTGGGTGCAATTTCTTAGGTACTTTTGGCACTGTTTAAAATTAGATTTATCTTGATAAGAGGTCTGCATTTAATATTGTCATGAGATATCAAGGTAAGACTAATTCTAATTGGCAAACACCACTGTACAAGGAAAAAAAGAAGCAACACAGTTTTAGCAAACAGTTTCCATAAAGGGGGAAACTAACAAGTCTTCAATACAAACAAGGAACCAAAGAACTTACCAATGCCATAGCCAATTACCAACCAAAGAAAATATCCATTTGATGCACCCTTCTTATTATCTTTGTCAAATCTAAGACAACCAAAAGACACAATAAAAATGTTAAAACAAAGTATATAAACAAATCTTAAAACAAAGTATTCTGTGCAATGTACACAAATAAAAAATCAACTAAAGCAAATATTAAAAAGAAAAGAATTCTCTAATTGACATCAAATATTCAGACTCTTGATGTGAATTAAATGAGGAAACAAATCTTGAAATATAAAAAAAAAAATATGGAAACTAATCCTACAAGATAATTCTCAAATAGTATAAATTACTTTAAGATAAAAGCTAAATATGATTGAATATAATATAATATGATTGGATATTTATATTATATTCTAACAGACATATCCAAACTGTTAGATATAAAACCATCGATAAGCCTTTGTACAATAGCTTAAGCTTCCAGGAAAGTGGTCAAGAGTTCAATCCTTGTCGCTTCCATTTTATTTTTTAAAACAAAAGCTAAATTTCAGCATAATGTAAACAGGCCAGAGAATTGTCCTCGCTTTAGGGGACATCTTATATCTTATGTAAAGCCATTGATAAGCCTTCACTTACCATAGACCAACACCCCCCCCCCCCAAAAAAAAAAAAAGAAAAAAGAAAAAAATCACTCATCAACTTAAACTATTGGGACTTGGGAGAGTTGGTCCATGACACCATTATAATTTATTGTATGCAGTGAAACATGAATTATATGCTATGTAGTTTTATGAACAATTTCAAAAGCCCACAAGTTACTTAACCAAATAGTGGCTCCCCCAGTGGAATGCAACATGGAAAAGGAAAATTATAAAGTTATGAAACTTTAAAATCACTTAACAAATACCACTGATCCACTACAAATAAGCTTTATTCATGTTTTCACCTTTCTGGTAGGAAAAATATAATTCATTTGAAGCTATATGTATGCATCAATTTTGTAAATCTTGCATTTATATATGACATTGACTAATAAGGAACTCAGTACCTATGAGCGAAGGATACAAGCAAACCAGGAAAGAGAATATCCCCAAATCCAATCATGTCATAACCTCCCCAAGGATCAAAAAGACGAGGAAATCTTAAAAGCATAGGAATTGCTTCCCCACCAGCCTTGTCACCTCGAGCAACCTAGAAAAGAAAGCTCATGTAAGAGAACCCCAGAACTACAAGATACCACAAATTTCTCTTCTTTTTGAAATAGAGCAGCAATCATATTAGAGAGAGAAAACACACGTCCATTAAAAAAATAATGTGTGTAAAAGAGTAGCTACTTGATTATTTGCCACATAAATCTGGGCCAGTCAACTCTTACACTGTGAACTTGTACCATGGGTTGTATACAGCCCTCCTGTTTAGTTATAAATAAATAAATTTTCCAAAAAACTTTTTGCTTTGTATCCTCTCTTTCTGCATTGTGAAACAGAGAAACGTTTAACCCTTTTCAGTGGTACACTTCCGTTTTGTGTATTACTTGACACACTGAATCTTTCCCAGTGTACCTTTTCTTTTTGTGGCCATGCAAGGCTGGTACCCTGTTAGTACTATATCTATACAATCCCAATGTCTCTATAAGCACAAGGATCAAAAGATGTTGATTCGTACAACCCCCAGAACAGCAACTTAAACCAGTGTAGTACTCTAGAGTCTAGTCCATACTCTATAGTTTTAGAGGTATTTAACAATTTTTAATCTTTTATGCGAAGATTCGTACTCAATTCAATACTCTAGTCCATATTCCACATTTTTAATGTCCGCATACATTTCTGTTTCTTTTACTACTTTAAGTCTTTGCATGCATCCCTCCTTGATCCTTGTGCACTCACACCTCAACAAAATGGAGTTGTTGCATGGAAAACAAGTGATTGAGACTATGATAGGCCAAGTTTTGAATTAGGAAGTTTATAATTTTGTATTAGGATTAGGAAGATATTAAGTAGTTATTTTTATATTAATTTCGTATTCAGCAGTTACAGGTCAGAATGTGATAGTTAGAGAGATATACAAATTGTGTTACAGCCTTGTAAAAGGTAATTAAGATGTCAGATTATTCTTCCTTGTGCTATGAAGCAGGAAGCTCTTTGTTAGGGAGAAACCTTGCTGTTTGTACTCAAACCTAGCTTAAAGACCATATTACTGCTATCATTTATTCAGAACAGAGTGAGTTTGAGTCAAACAGACTAATCATACTTTACTTTTCCTTAATAATGGTTTCTAATTGTTTAAGGAGATGTTCTTATTCCTTATTACATGTTAATTAATTGAATGTGCTCATCCAATTTATCGCATCAAAGTCTGAATTCTATTTTGTTTACCACTACACAGTCTCTCTATCTTCTTCAATCATGTTACTTTTTGTCTTATTTTGTCCCAAATATAGTCTGCCTCCTTTCTCTTTGATAATACTTGTTCTCTATAAAAAGAAAAATTGGTGATAAACTGCTCATGTGAGCTCCAAAAACATCTTTTGACAAATACACTCCTTTTTTCATTTGTTGTTCTCTCTTCCAGTGGGGAATACCAGTTTCTTTCCAACTTCTCTATGTTGGATCTTCCTACATGTCAAAATGTAATAAAGATGAGGAAAGCAACCAACATACAAAAACAGTAAAACCTACACCACACTTATCCTTCAAAAGCATGTCCACACCATAGTAGTCAATAGCGGAAATAGCGGCCGCAATTGCGGCGGAGCGGGGCGGAGCGGCCCTTTCCCGCGATGACGACGCTGTCGCGTCGCGTTTCACAGTAGCGGCTGTCGCGCCGCGATTCGCAGCAGAAAACACCGAAAATAGCGGCTGGAGCGGCCGCTATCTCATTCTCATGCGTTTCCCCTTTTTGCCCCTTATCTTTTACCGTTAGGGCCCTTTAAGGGGGGGCAATTTTGGAATTTCGACCCCCCCTTATTTTTCTGAATCATCTTCTTCAACCCTAGCCTCCATCAGTTTGCTCTCCTCTCTTCTCCCGTCGGTTCTCTCTCCTCTGTTCTCGTTTCTCTCTCCTCTGTTCTCAGTTTTCTAGTCATCCTCTGTTCGCTGTGCTCTGTTTTTCTGGCGAGACTTCCACTTGATTTTCCGGTCATCTTCTTCGTCTCCGGCAAGCTTCTAAGGTGACCCAAATTATTTTGAGTCATTTTCTTCATCTCTTCTCATCTTCTTCAAGGTCAGCACAACTTTCCGGTCATCTTCTCCAACTCCGGCAGACTTCCAGCGAACTTTCCGGTACTGAACATTTTTTTTCCTATATTTTTCTCTGTTTTTTTTTTCTCTTCTCTGTTTTGATTCTTCTATTATTTTCTGTTCGAAATTTCAAAGCTTAAAGAAGTAATGGCTACTCCTCCCAATCTGTCACAAGGAATCGGCTCTGTTTCAATTTCATCCTGTGCATTAGTGAAGCTTTCAGGAAATAATTTGGAAATAGGTTGGCAATGGAATAGTTTGAAAGACATAAATAATAAAAAGTCTGTTACTTGTGACTTTTGTGGAAAAACGACTACAGGCGGTATTACCCGAGCAAAGAGGCACCAAATGGGAGTGAAGGGAGATGTTGATAAGTGTCCAAGGATTCCCAAAGAAATAAAAGAAACACTAATAGTAGCTCATGAGAAGAAGAGAATTGAAAAAGAGGTATATTTACTTCAGCATGATGAAGATGATGATGATGAAGAAGAGGTGCAAGAAATTCAAAATATTTGTAGTGGAAAACGACCTGCAACCTCAAGTGTTGCATCAGTTTATGTTAGTGGTTGTAATGCCACCAAAAAAGGAAAAAATGTCAAGGGCCCATTGGATTTATTATGGTTAAAGAGTCCAGAAACAAGCATCAAATTAGCAAAATAAAAAAGACAAACAAGTATAAATGATGCTTGTGTCAAAGAGGCAAGAGCAAGAACAGTTCAATACATAGAGCGATTCCTTTGTAGGAATGGAATTGCTTTCAACGTTGTGCGCTCAAAAAGTTTCAAATTAATGGTTGAAGCTATTGGAAACTATGGTCCACATCTAAAGCCTCCTAGTTATCATGAGTGTAGAGTTCCTCTTCTTAAAAAGGAGTTAGAGTATACAAAGGAAATGTTGAAAAGTCGTGAAGAAGAAAGAGAAAAATGTGGATGTTCAATTATGTCAGATGCGTGGACGGATAAAAAAAATAGAACATTGATCAATTTCTTAGTAAATTGTACAACTGGTTCTATGTTTGTAAAGAGCATTGATGCATCTGCTTATATGAAAACTGGAGAAAAGTTGTTTGAGCTCTTGGATAGCTTTGTTGAAGAGATTGGAGAGAAAAATGTTGTGCAAGTAGTTACTGATAATGGAAGTAATTATGTATTAGCCGGTAAGAATTATTCTTAACTCCCTATATTAATTTCAGTTACTAATTATTTTATTAGTTTCTAATTTTAGACTATGCAATTTAATTTTAGGTAAGTTGTTGCAATCTAAAAGACCACATTTGTTTTGGACTCCATGCGCTGCACACTGTATTGACTTGATATTAGAAGACATTGGAAAAATACCTAGAGTCAAGAGAACAATCCAAAGGGGAGTTACTCTTGTGGGTTTTATTTATAATCATTCATTGACTTTGAATATTATGAGGAAGTTCACCAATAAAGCTGAATTGGTTAGATATGGAGTGACAAGGTTTGCCACAACATTCCTCACATTACAAAGGTTGCATAATAAAAAAAACAACCTTAGAAAAATGTTCACTTCCGATGAGTGGTTAAAGTCCAAAACAGCCAAAGAAGCTAAAGGAAAAAGGGCAACAGACACTGTACTTTTGCCTTCTTTTTGGAATGATGTGGTTTTCTGTCTTAAGGCTATGGGGCCACTTGTGCAAGTTTTGAGACTTGTTGATAATGAAAGAAAGCCTGCAATGGGTTATATATATGAGGCAATTGATAGAGCTAAAGAAAGCATTCAAAATGCATTCAAAGGAAATGTAGACAAATATAAAGAGATTTTTGCTATAATTGATAGAAGATGGGAGTGTCAACTTCATCATCCATTACATGTTGCAGGTTATTATCTGAATCCTCAATTTTTTTATAGCAATAAACAAATTGAGAATGATCCTGAAGTTGTGGAAGGCTTGTATAAATGTATTGAGAGGCTATGTACAAGTGAAGATGATGTAGACAATGCTACAGTTCAATTGTCAACATATAGAAGAGCTGAAAGTCTCTTTGGTTTAAGTGGAGCAAAAAGACAAAGGGCTACAATGGCTCCTGGTAAGAGATTTGTTTAATTTTTTTATTGTAATGTAATTATGTAGATATAACACAAAAGGTTAATAAGTTGATGCATAACTTGCAGCTGAATGGTGGAAGAATTATGGAGTACGTACACCACATTTACAAAATATTGCTATTAGAGTGTTGAGTTTGACTTGTAGTTCATCTGGATGTGAACGAAATTGGAGTACTTTTGAGCACGTAAGTAAATATCTGAATCCTCAATTTAAAGTTCTTTTATGAAAAGTGAAAATCTAATATTTTTTTTTTATGGTAAAATAGATTCATTCTAAAAAGAGAAGCAGACTTGAGCATCAAAGGTTACAAGACTTGGTTTTTATTAAATATAACCAAGCTCTTAATGAACGTTTTGAGTGTTCTGACGTGGTGGATCCTATTATCTTAAAGGATGTTGATGATAGTAATAATTGGTTGCTAGAAGGAATAGCTGGAGATGATAAAGATGCTATAGATGAATTAGTGTTTGATGATGATAACTTGACTTGGGGAGCTGTTGCTAATGCAATTGGGGCTAGTGAGCCTATAACCTACACTAGGCGACAAGCTAAATCAAAATCCAAGACAACTACAATTGCTTCTTCATCTAAATCTAAGGGAAAAGGGAAAGAAATTGTACAAGAAGAAGAAGAGAAGAAGAATGTGATGACGAAGACTCTGAAAAAGAGGATGAGGAGGAGGAGGAGGTTCTTTACAAAAGTAGTGATGAAAGTGAAAATGAAGAGGATATTGCAAATCTTGGAGATGAAGATGATGATAATTATTAAAATATTTGTATTTGAATTGAACACTTAGTATTTTTAAACATCTAAGCATTAGAGACTTAAATTTAGTTAGTTAAATTTATTTTTATATTTTGTTGTTACTTGTTATTGACATCTAAGCATATATATATATGTGTGTAATTTAATTTATGAGTTTATGAGTATATTTATAATACCTAAAATAGCGGTCATCCCGCTATCCGCTATGCCGCTATAGTGTTTTTGAGGTCGGCCGCTCCGCTATCCGGGATTGACTACTATGGTCCACACACCACTTACTTTCCCAAAAACACATTTTATTTTATTTGCCCAATTTGAATCTGAACACTTGATGCCATGATACAGAATTTCATAACTACTGCCTTCCATAGTTATAGATTTTCATGCATTTAAGTTTTAACTGAATTACTCCATTATTTCATGTTATCAATTATGCATATATATATATATATATATATATATATATGTGTGTGTGTGTGTGTGTGTGTGTGTTATTGTATTTTTCTGTTTCACTTTTTTTTTTTTATATGCTTCAGAAAAGATGTTGTATCCTCAAACTAAGTTTCTACTTTCTCTTTTCCCTTTTCTGCTAAACTTTCCTTTCTATAAAGTAAAAGAAAGAACTTATGATAGTCTACCTTTAATGATGCAAACAGAGCAGAGATAATCAAAGTAAAAGAACTGTAGTACTAATAAACACTTACTGCAATCATAACACTCTCGTGGAATATCACTGGAGATATGAATACCCAAAAAATGTCATAGACAAAGGCACAACAAAGGAGTACAGTTGCAACCTATTAAATCAGATGCATAAGAAATTATTAGAGCTGTTTTAATAGATACATAACATTGTAAGGGAAGCACAATTAGTTGATTGTACACATAAGGAAGCCATTCAGGTACCTTAATATTAGGTAATCGAGCCAACTGCAAGACTGTTATCATCAAACAGATGCCCTGTTAAGAATAAAGTAGTATGTGAAAGATGAGACTAAGACAGCTTATCATCAGTTAATGGTGTCAACATAATTGAGATGACAAACCACCTTCTAGCACAATACTTCAGAAAGGAACCAACCAACAAGATCCCAATGTTGCATTGGCCCATATGTGCTGACTCACAGACATTATTAATGATTTGACAACAATTAACTTGAAGATTCACAATAGAAAAGATTACAAGGAAGTATAATTAAAAATATTTCTAGTTTATGAACTACTAACCACTCAGGTGGTTAACGATGCTCAAAGAATGGTAAATGAGTAGCAGCTAGTTAACATAATTAACCTCTTGATAGATTCACTGTTCCTAAAGTAGAAGATTTGTTATCAAGAACATTTGTTTTTTGTGATTTCTCTACAAACATACACTATGTGCCAATGACTACATATACACACTGGTGTTTGCAGATGTATGCATGAATATAAGTGAATTCAATTAAATGTATTTGAAAGTGAAATAATATACGTATAGGAATAAACTCTAGGAAGACCTAGACTAGAACCCATTGCAACTTCTGCTCTAGTTCCTCATACAAAATTCCTGGCTTCTTCTTGACTTCTAATGATAGTCAGTAATCATGGACAACTTCTAACAAAGAAGAGAAATTCATATTCTAAGCATCTTGAACAATGTAAGTTTGAATTTAAAAACTGAAATAATAATAATAGAAAGATGCTATTGCAGGCTCTAGAATCTAAAACTTACAAGAATATCTTGGCCAACCCAGGAATATGATTCAAGTCGAGTAGCAGCCCAGAAAATTGCAAATGCCACACAGAATAACAACACTACCAGCGAGAAAATAGAAATTTCCCCATATAGAGGTAAATTCACTGTCTTCTGATCACAATTTTGCCATTTTCTGCTCATATTTAAATTAGAAAGAGAGAGAAATTAACAGAACACAAGGCGTGCAGAAAGAAAACTAAGCCCATTTTATGGCCAGAAGAAAAGGAGACATTGATTGTACCTTAAAGTAAGGCTTACAATACAATTGTGCATCCCCTGAAAATGAAAAGAAATTTAAATTAACACACAGAGGACTTTTAAAGCTTTTACGTAGCGAATCTTGATGACAATGATGATGCTGATATTAGTGTCTCTTAAAGCCTTGCTCTTAAGACATTTTCACACTCTTCCTTTCCTTTTTCACCTTTACATAATTTGTATATGAAATCCAACAAGGCTAAATCAGTATAATCTTATTCGTATGTGTCAAATACTCAAATTGATAAAATAAAGTTTCAGTTTATTTATATAGACAGCAAATTTGATCATGGATGATTCGGAACCAATACCCCTTTCATGCACACCATGAAATATGATCTTTAGTTAATAAGCAAGAGTAAGAGTTTAATCCATGGAAATGAGATACATACCTCAATACCACCTATGCAGAAAAGTACAATCAGCACCCAGACAAACCAAGATGACATGAAGAAGAACAATAGCACAAGAAAGGTAGATGCTGCTATGACAAATATGATAGCACCCTTCGAATCAATGTTAACAATTTCCTTATCAGAATCATCTTTTGCTGTTTCAGAATTTGAAGATTCCTGGCAAAAGAAAAGAAATTTATATGCACAAAATAATACACTTGAAGATGCACTAAAGCAAACTTGAATAAATTTTTATCAGTAAATTAAATGGAAAAAAGAAGGGATACTCTTTTACTCCATTTTAAAATTTGTAAAAGTTAGGAGGTGGTGTTTGTTTCAAGGAATATAGTTATATTCCAAGGAGTATTATTATCAGAAATGCCATTCCTAGGAAAATTAAAAAACACGTTTGATTATAGTTTAACATTTATAGGAATGATCTTCAAAATTCAAACATTAGAAGGAAAAAAACAGAGGAAGCTACTAGTTGAGGTATATTAAAAATTCCAATATTCCCATGGGAACATAATATACCCACATGTCACCACCATGGAATGAAAGTCAAGTAAAATTTTGACAATGACACATTCCTGGGAATCAACTATGCCTGAGGCAAAACTTTTAAAACCTATATAACATGGAAATATTCAAATATTACATTCCCAAGTTCATTCTCAGGAATAGTTTTGCAAAACATGAAACAAAGACACTCTATAGGATATCATCAGGGGCTACAACAAAGGAAATCAAAGATACAAGGAAATATAGATTAGTAGTTTAGTACACATGCCATGTCAATCTGTCTTTAATACATTACCCATTTCACCACTGTTCAAATATTTGGAGATTTTTTCTTGATGAAAGCATGTACTCACATCCAGTAAAGTGCTTGCTTAAGGCATCACAAAAATACATTTAAATACATATAATAAACGTTTGACGATGATAAAAGGTTGCAAGGAAAAACCTTGGGACACAATTCATTATATCGCTCATCAGATTTCTCAGAAGTAGTTAGATCTGACCATAGTGAAGCACATACAATTGTTCCCACAGACATAAGCCACAAAAATGCAACTGAGACGTCTACAAGTGGGCGAGGTGGAGCATATAACAAAATTTCCACTGCAATAGACAACTCAAAATTAACCATCTGTAAGTCAAGTGGAAAATAGACCTGACATCTACAATGAATAAGCATTATTTTATTAAACCGGCCTTTTCTTTCTTGTCCCATTTACTCAAAGGTTGTGTATGAGTGCATGTGCATACCAACATTCACATGTTTACATGTATGTAAAAGGAGCACAGCCCTATTAAAACAACACATGGTGGTGTTATTAACGCATGATATAAACATCTAACATGGTAAATTAATTTGGTCCATGACACAAAATAAATCAACACATTTCATAAGTACACTAAAAATATATTACAACGTATAAGAATATTTAAATATATCCAAAACTAAATAATTTAAATATAAATCTGAATACAAAAATGTTAAGCAGCACAACATATATTAACATTTCGTACAGGTGTACAGCAGTCAAAATTGTGTGCACATGAATAAAAATACAAGGTTCAATATTTCAGTCAACTCTTGGTTAAGCCATTTTGACGCAAATTATGAATGAAATTGAGGTGGTTTGACTGGTCAAATTGTGACTGGTTCAAATGGTTTGGTTGGTTTGTAAACAGTGTAGTAGCTTAGAAGATGGTTTTCAACACAATTGGTTTGGTTGTTTGGACGCCTGAGCACATTGGCCAAGAACCAGTTCACTATAAACTTCAAATCCCATTTGAAAATGTTTCCTATAACCATTTTGATGCTAACAAACTACGTTGAACATGAAATGTTGAAAATCCTAGATTATTTCTCTAACATTCTAGAATGGATTGATGTGTTTCTATAAAGTTTTCTTCTAAATTCTGATGTGTAGATCCTTCAAAATAATCATCAGATAATCCCTTAAAGAATGCAGGATGCCTGCAACAACTTGAAAAAGTTGGTCCAGAAACCAGTATGCTAAATCTTAGAAAAACTCGCATCTTCATAGTTCATATAAATAATGAAGATCTCTAACAGAAGAGAATATTTTTTGCCTACAACATCAAGCTTAAATCATCAAAGTGTAAGAAATCAAATTTTAGAAGACTAAAGACCTAAGAAAGTTAGTTGAGAAAGTTCATTAGCAGAACAACTCAAGTGGCTTTAGAACAAAATATACTAGCATACTGACTCAGTAAAGGTGCTATTCATTACAACAGCTAGATGGCTAGTTATGTTTCAGAGATGAACAGTTTGAAATCAAAGGTCCAACGGCTATATTTTGAATATTATAAAAAGCATCTCAACTTGAAAATCTAAAGGTGAGAAACTTGAATTCCTATATAACCATGTACACACTCTCCAAACCTTCTGAACTTTCTCTTCTCTAACTACCTTCTTAATGCTTAAGAACCTGTCATAGGGGTTTGTTCAAAGCTCTAATGTCTACTCTGTGGGTGTTTCATGAGCTTCTTAGAGTGTAAAAGCATAAGCACTGAACCATTTCTTTCTTCTCCAACTAGGCAGGAAATAAACTCTTCAATGAGTACGAGAGGAGAATAACTATCCTCATACACACCTTACTAACAACAACAAACAATCAGGCATCATCCCCTTAACCCAGTCAGGTTTATAGTCCCAAGCAACACCATTGAACTCAAAACCACATCTTACTATGGGCAAAAAAGAAGAAACAACAAAACAAAACAAAAAATTATGTGCATTTTAGAAGTATATGACCATGTTTAATAGATATATAAGCCTGAATACTTTTTCTCGAAAACATTAATAGTACAAATAGATGTTCTAAGAATTGAAGGACTTACCTTTACTTCCAGATGTAAAAGACTTGTTGAAAGCTTCTCCTGTTGAGTTTGTTATCATCACAACTGGAATTGAAATGTTTGCCTCACTGCTATTGGAGCAAACCATCTCAAAGAGATCTGACAACAAAAAATAGTTACATATATGATATAATATGATCATATAAAACTTTATCAACAATAACATATAAAAGAAAAGAGAGTAAGCCATTAATTACAAATGAAAGCGATGTTTCAAAAAGTAAATTATAATGCTAAAACATCTGGATATTTAATGTTAGTATAAAGCAAGATGAGAGAAAGGGTGGGAAAAAGGACGTATCACTTTGTCTGTGCCTAGCTGCGTTGCCTTACTACTCTGATTTCATCTTTTCATTATGTATTGAACAATCAACATTGTATTCAAGTTTTATCTACAGTTTAAGATACATGACTAGGCTTCGGTATAAAAGAAGTGCTTGTGCAGCTCACTTTAACGTTGACCATAAAAGAGTGGGGGAACGACAAGCCTACATATGACACTTGTACAGTCTTACAGACCCTCTAAAAATCAAACAAAAATGGAAACACAGTGTGTGAAGCACCAAAATGAACCTTCTGCATCGTTTATCACCAACATGCCAGTAGCACCTCCAGACTGTGCAAATGCAGCTTTAGTTGTGAAATCACAACCCCCACGCACACAGAGAGCGATTGATCCAGATAACTGTAAGAATTAGAATGCACAACTCACTCAGAATACATCATGAGAAACATTTTCAAGGGTAAAAAGACAAGACTATAACAGAAAACATTTTCAATCCATCAGCCCCTCTATTACGATAGAACGTTTAACTAGTCCGGAAATTTGGCACATATGAAGGCGATAGATACAAAATAAGAAGCCTCATTCAAACTAAGCATTGAGATCCTTGGGGGAAAAGTCTGCTGATTCGCTAAAATATGTAATTAATGAAAAAGACGAGAACGTTGATCAAGGGAAGCAGGTGCAAAAGGAACAAACGAAAGAAAGGAAGATAGAAAAGAACCTTTGAAGTTGAAGTGGAGCAGCAGTCAATAGGATTAGAAAAAATAGCACGAGTTCTGACGCTATTTTCAGCTTTCTCAGGCAATAAAGAGCCAAATCTAGCAGTGACGCCATTGTAAACATGACCTTCCTCGCCATCAATCCAGTTATTCACCTTGACCTGCAGTAAATAAAATAGTGATCGTGTCTGTTAATGCGATTTTGGATGCGACAGATGCGAAACAAATTGCAAACAATAGACGAGATTGAAAAGGAAAAGTCGGATGCTGAGTAGTTGCACCAGCAAGAGATAAGAACAAAATCCAGATCCAACAAAGAAAACAGGAATTGATAGAAATACCAATTGGAAGGGGTTATCGCACGATTCGGACTTGGGAGCCCTCTCGTCGTCCCGTTTCGCATCGTCAGCGCCTGCCGCAATCACAAGCAGCAACAGCAGCAACACACGGAGGCCAGCGGAAGAACACGACGCCATCGTTGCGTTGCCACTTGATGAAGACTCTTAGCCGCTTTGTATTTTATTCTTTTCTTTTCTTCTCTTCTCTTCTACGTTTTCTCACACACACATGGAACAATCAACACTAACAGAGCAGGGACGAGGGGTTCAATCATACAACTCACCCCAAAAACCAAATTACTCACTGTTACTGCTCTTCACTGCAACCTGCAACCTCCAACCCCCAGCTCAACTCAACTAACCTGCAACTACAATTACAAATTTTTCGCTTTTCTCTTCCTATTTTCCAATTTATAATCATTAATTAATACTTGCCCGCGATGCGTCAATCGTCACCATACCTGGATTTATCACGACCCAACGGCTACGATTCAATTAAGTTTTATCCAATATGTCCAATCACACGCAAATTCGCTACTCCCTTCTTTTCTTAGCTTCACTCTCATTCTCATTTGCATAAATCATACTGTTTACTCCTTGTTTCATTTTGGCAATAAATTTTCCACATGTTCCAATTGACCAAATATAACTGCTTTTTTTTTTTTCAAAACGATAATATAAATAATTTGTTGTAATACTTTTTGTGTATATTAAAAGTAATTTTTTATTAATAGTTAAAAACTAATAATTTTAATATGTAAAAGAATTATTAAAGTGAATTTTACTTCTTTCAATAAAATATTTTTCGTAAACATGATTAAAAATCAAATTTTAATCATCTTAAAGAGATTCAATTGTTTACTAATTATGTTATATTTTGTCGATTAATTTTAGTGATACATGTGAAGTATTACAAGTAAGGGTCTTTTTAAAATAATTGTTTGTAGTTTTTTTTACACTAAGGTATTTATCGGCTTACAATCATAAACTAGTCTCTTTAGAGGGAAAAATCAACAAAACATGTAAAATCTTTTTCCCATTAAACCTAAATATCTAAATAGAGATCAAATCATGATTATCATGTTTAAATAACTCCCTTATTTTCTAATTATGTCAAGTCTTATTGATATTGTTAGTCAACTATTCATTTAAAAAATTATCATAAAGTACCCTTCACCCTAAATCTTAATATTATAAATTCGTCATCGGTAATTGTGGGCATTCAATATTTCTCTATAAAAAATAACAATGAAGTTTGACAAATAAATTGAGAGGATTCAAATTTCGTACTCATTCATTTGAGGAGTGCCTAATCTTATCTACAATTTTAGAGCCACTTGAATCAACTCACCTTACTTAATTACAGTACATGTAACCACGACTATTTTATGCTGTATTTAAGATTAACATATGATAACATCAAAACATAAGTAAATGATGTTAAGTAGTTATCATTTGAGAGATGACAAAACAAAAAGGGTCACGACAGAATATAGTGCGTTTAAGAATTAGAAAAGATAAATATATTAGCATGTACACTTTTATGTTGCGAGGATATTAGCATTTATTCACACAAACATTTATTACCAAAAATTTGAGCTTTAAAAAAGTTGCATTAAAAGGTAAAAAAGAAAAGTGTCCCAGTTGTAGTAGAAACAAGTTAATGAATCAAATAAAGCCCATAAAAATGAATCATTTTAAAATTCACAGAAAAATAATTTTTGATGAAATTAAAAGACATACATATTTGGTTGATATTACTTTGTAAATATATATTAAAGCAAACATGATTAAAATGAATGGTGTTAGCAGTATAAAATATGTAAAATTACAGAGAAAATAAAGGGGTGGGATTGTTAATTGAATTAAAAGGGGGGCGGGGGGCAAAATGGGGAATGAGTGAATAGCACTAGAAGCGCAGTTTGTAATGCGGAGTTGTGGGCTATCCATCATCACAGCGAAGCACGCCTGCTCCCCTCGAAAATCCAGAGCACTTCTCGTTTGCCCTCTTTCATTCTTTCTTATCGAATTGAAATTGTTGCAATAATGTCTGGTTCGGAGGACGAGGGAGGAGAAGAGTACCTGTTCAAGATCGTCATAATCGGAGACTCCGCCGTCGGCAAATCCAACTTGCTCTCTCGTTATGCTCGCAACGAGTTCAACATGCACTCAAAGGCCACCATAGGCGTTGAGTTCCAGACTCAGTGCTTGGAAATCGATTCCAAGGAAGTCAAGGCTCAGATTTGGGACACCGCCGGCCAAGAACGCTTCCGTGCCGTCACCTCTGCCTACTACCGCGGCGCTGTCGGTGCTCTCATTGTCTATGACATCAGCCGCCGCACCACCTTCGACAGCGTCGGTCGCTGGCTTGACGAGCTTAAAAGTACTTCCAACTCCTTTTCTTCTTCCACCTATACATTCTAGATCTGATCACCTCCTCCTTCTATTTCACTCTATTACATTCCTATACTTTCTAGATTCTTTTTTGCCCTTCCTTACGAGCTTCCGATCTCATCATACTCATACACACCGTTGCTTTTACTAACACTTGCTCACTCTCACCTTCTTTAACTTTTCTGTTTGATCGTAAGTTTCGTGCTCCGATCCCGTCCTCACCAGTCTTCTTTTTCCTTTCTTTCAGTTCCGCTCTTAATTTCTTGTATGATTGCTATTATTAGAGTGTAGTTGTGCTCTTATATTAGCAGCGTGTCTGTGTCTGTGCGCTTTTTTATACTTGTTTAGCTTTATCTGCTATCACCTTCATGATTAACCTAGGAACAGTGTTAGAAATTAACAGTGGATTGCAATTTTCTGTTTTCAAGCTGTATTTGTGCTTTAAGCTGGTGTGACTGTGTTTGAATCATTGTCTGTGACTCTCTATAAAGGATTGAAAGAATAGAGGAAAGAAGGTCATAAAAATAAAAACTAATAGAGGCAAGACATGTTTATGTTATCAAGTAAAGTAACTGAACCTGTTTTGTCCTGAAAGTAAATCTCATGCTCATTACTCACAGAATATTGAAATTGAAAAGTGTGTTTATGATGATGCAGCTCATTGCGATACGACTGTGGCGATGATGCTCGTGGGGAACAAATGTGATTTGGAGAATATAAGAGCGGTGAGCGTTGAGGAAGGCAAAAGCCTGGCTGAAGCAGAAGGGTTGTTTTTCATGGAAACCTCTGCCTTAGATTCCACAAACGTGAAGACGGCTTTTGAGATGGTTATTCGAGAGATATACAACAACGTCAGCAGGAAGGTCCTCAACTCCGAAACGTACAAGGCGGAGTTGTCTGTCAACAGGGTCAGCCTCGTCAACAATGGGGCCGCCACATCTAAGCAAAGCCAAAGCTATTTTTCTTGCTGTTCAAGATGACCTTTTTCTACATTCAATTTGGTTTTCGTTGCTTGATTAATTAAATGAGTGGCTTGGCTGGCTATGATTTGGTCTTCTTCCGTTACAACTACAAGACATATATATAGTAACCAAAATGTTATCATCAATTTTAAGAAAACGAACGGGTATAATTGTATAATTGGGGTACAAAGAGCTTGTAATTGCATTGCAGCAAATCAAAGTGGACATCAATTCTTGTCAAATGTCAATTTCATTTCGTGGCTTGATTGTTATTTTCCTACTACTTTTCATTTTGGGGCTCCTCTTGCTCTCTCCTTTCCAGTTTCCACCATTTTCGCTCCCGAGAATCGTTCCCTTGTTTCTTGAGCATTTGATTTGGGTCATAAATTGCTCTCCCTGTTTGCTGTGTTTTGTTTGTTGTTAACAGTTGCACTTTCTTAGTCATTTGCCTAAGTTTTGTCTCTACTCTTGCATGTTTAGATAATTTTTAAAAAAAAGAAATAAGTGATTATTTTTTCAAAATAAACGAAAATAAATATGCACTTTGTTAGATTAATTTTTCAGCTCATTTGCCTCCGGAATAGCAGTAAGAGTAATAGTGTGTAATTTGAAACTTTCTAGGACCAGAAGTTGCCTTCAGTTCGTGAGTTTCTTTTGATTTGACGGATATTTGTAAAAGGTAATGACTTTCTTATGATTTCATAAACGACGTCCATAAAAAGGTGCATGTATTAACTACACAATTAAAATTTTTGGCTGGCATCTTTTTAATTTAATCGGTAATGGTTTTATAAATTTACAATTCATTACTTTATAAATTATGAGATAAATTTGGATAATCATATCAATAATTATGTCAACTGATGCTTAGATATTTGATTTAAGAGTGTACTATTTAATTGATCTTTTAAATTATATTGATGTAGATTATACTTATTCTTACTTGGTTTAATAATTTTTTATTAGATAATTTAATTCTAAAATCTAGTGTTAAATTAAAAATTCAAATCACATGGATCATATTTATAGAATTTTAGATAAATTAAAAATTATTTAATATATTATTCACATTTATCAAAATATTGTAATATATATTTTTAAAATATATAAAAATAAAGATCTTTTGATTAGATCTTTATAATTATTCAATTTTGATTAGTTTACTAGATTTAAGAGTCAATTATTCAGATTTTTCAATCCCATATTGATGAATAATAATATGAATACCATTTTATTGTTAAAGTTTAACATTAAAAATCAAATGAGTGTTAGTAGATAGTAACGTGAAGGTTTAGTGTGTCTGATTGAGCTTTACATGTTATGCTTTTATTAAATTTGTGAGACTAGTCTTTATATTTCTCTTCAACCAGTTTCACACGTTCTGAGTAGTAAGTTCTTGAATTTTATTAATCTTTCAAGACTTATCCATTTTATTGGTAGGTTTTCTTTTTGTCAATGAAGATTAGAGTTATGTCAACTTAAATTTATTGAAAATGTAAGGATAGAGATTATATCTTGTTTTGATATAATTATGTATATAATTCATATACTTAATATTCTATTTTTGTAAAGATATTTTTAGTATTTAATATAAGCAGTATATGTTCTTGAAAAGCGAATAATGAAAATAGGTTTTGAATATAAGATCACATGATGACTTTAAATTATTACATAAAGATGAATAAATAAAAGATATTTATTTATATCTTTTAAGATTTCACAAAATTATATTCACATGATTAGTTCAAAGGGGTGAATATAAATTATTTTAAATAAATTTATATTGATAAGTAGTTTAACACTTGCAAAAGCATATTTGACAACGCAATTTTGTAATATTTCATGAACTTAAAAGCTTTATTCAGTGGTTACATTAAAAAAAAAAAAAAGTAACAAATTGCCATTTTATACACCATACAAGAAAAGTTCCCACGAAACATCATCCTCAGCGATGTGGCTTTGACAACATGCCATAGTTGGGATCAACTCAAGATCAGTTTAATAAGAAAATCTTAAAAATTTGAGATGGTGGAGAACCTTAAGACACAATTGTGAACCCAACAAGCACTGTCACCCACCCATCCCTATCACAGTTTCCAATCCCACAACCATTATCTAAAACCTTTTCATGGCAATAAAATCTAAAAGGAAGGCTTAAAAATGTCAATTTTTACTAATGATATTCCTGATAACTCAAAACAGACTTAATTGCTTCTGTAGTAAATTTTTATTTTAACATAAAAAAGAAAACTTAACAATCCATATTTCATTACAGATGAACATAGAAACTTTGATATTAAATATTAAAAAAAAAGTTGAATATTAAGTGGAGGTTCAAGATAAATTTATATATATACTCTTTATAATTTCAACTAGCCCAAAAAAGAAATATCTCAACAAAATACGAAATGTAATGAAAATGAACAAAGGGGAGAAAGGGAACAAGTGCGAGAGCAAAAATCAAGATAAGCTGACCCATGATGACCTGAGGCACAACCAATAGTTGGGCGGGCAGCAATTTTGATCTTCTAGAAACTTTTTGGTACATGGAAATGAAAATGATAGAATAAGCAATATTTCTTTTCAGCTCCTACTACTTTGATAGCTATGCCTGTGACTGAAAAGGATAGGGAAACCAGGCTTCTTATTTTTTTTCAGATACATAGATTTTGATTTCACTATCATATATTAGTGATTACTATTGAGATCGCCAATATTTCCGCATCTCAAATCCGTTCTTGCCATAGTGATAGTCTTCAATAGTTTTCTCAATTTCTGACTGCGTGTTCATGACAAAAGGCCCATACTGAGCCACAGGCTCGTTAAGTGGGTGTCCTCCAATAAGCACAAACCTCAAAGGCTTTGAAGAGTTATTCCAGACGCTAAGGCCATCACCTTGAGTCAAAACCAAGACATGGTGTGCCATAACCGGTGATGAACTTGGAGACCCAAAATCTCCTTCTCCTTCAATCACATAAACAAAGGAATTCCACGACTCTGGAATACTCTGATGCCACTGAGTTGAGGGCATCATAGAGAAATCAAGGAACATGGTTGGAGTTCTGGTGTAGACAGGCGAATGAACCCCCATTGCTCCTCCTGCTATCACTCTCACCTCAACCCCATCTTTTTCTGCTGTTGGTATGTTCTCACTTGGAAGTTCTTGATAATTAGGTTCAATCCTGAATCCAAATAAATACAGTGATTAATGGAATGGTTAAAAACTTGGCAGTAAAGTTAATAGGATAGGAATATGTTACATTTTGTCCTTGGCTGCTAAATTGATCCATAGTTGCAATCCTTTGTTGTTTGCTTCTGCAGGCATTTCAGAGTGAATTATTCCCCTGCCTGCGGTCATCCACTGAACATCACCAGTTCTTATTGTGCCCTCGTGCCCAGCAAAATCTTGGTGAGTTATGCCTCCCTGAAATCCATTAAAGCAAACTTTAGGTATTGGCCAAATGGGAAATTACAATCAACGTTTAATTTAATGTGACTGTATATAATATACCTCTAGCATGTAGGTGACTGTCTCAAAACCTGTAAATAAGACGCAAATCAATAATACACAAGGAAACAGAATCTAATAAACAACGAAAACACGAGCGAAAAACCTCTGTGTGGATGATCAGGGAATCCTCCGGGGGGAGATACTGCAAAGTCAAACACGTAACCTTGTCTTAAAATACTAGAAATGATGTCTAACTAACAACAAATATGGTACGAAGGGAAGTCAACAAAAGTACGCTTCGACCACTAACACAGTTAGTCGTAGGTTGTACCTGAGAAGTGATCCAACATTAGGAAGGGATCCAAGTTCTTCAACTCGCTTCTGAGAATCAGATGCCAAGGCCAATCAATCAATACCATAAGAGATGTTAAGAGACTAGTTGGATCAAAATGGAAGAACGGAAAAACAAATTCCCGGAAGGCCAGAGAGTTGATTAAATTAAATGCAAAATAAAAATAAGAAGTAAAAATCGAAAAAGACCTTCCAATGCCTCTTCTAACAACAGCTCCATCGCCTTCATGTTGAGATTTGGCCAAAACCTTCTTGAGGACCAATCTGGGTGTGTTGAAAGCAGGGGAATGATGAGATTCTGACATGATATTTGTTAAAGAAAAAAGAGATGGTGGGCGAGTGATCCTGGAATTCAGCGGTGAAAGGTGGTGTCTTATAGCTCTCATAAGCTAGCTGGGTGTCTTTGCGTGGGACTGGATATGATGTGTATATATAGGTATCATTGAGAATGTGGAAAGAGAAGATGAAGGCGCAGAAAATATGGGTTGCCTTAGTTGGGTCTGACATTTGGGAGTTGAAATGGAGGCGTGGGGAAATATAGGGTGGGATCCACTTTGAACAATCATAATGATGACATCAACCTCTTGTCATCGTGATGAATGAATCAATGAATCAATGCCTTCTTCTTCTTATTCTTCTTCTTCTTCTTCCTCTATCACAATGTTATGTTTATGTGCACTCTAATTCACTCTTTTCAAAATACCCTTCTCAACACAATTTTTATATTATCAAATCAATTATATATGGTCTCACTATATATACATATAAACTTCAGTATATTACCAACCATCTTAATTTTATCAATTAAGTTCAGCGTTTAGATTTTCTTTATAATGTTGTACTTCAATTTATATAGAATCTGCTATTTTATTTTAATAATTAAAAATAAATGAAGAATAATACGATTATATCTAAATTCCGACCTAACATACGATAATGGTAGCCACGAATTGCTCATGTGAAGTGCATCTATATATGGGATTTGGGATTCATACGATAATAATGATTTTATGACGAAGCCTACAGAGATTGGTGGACATGAGCCAAACCACTAAAGTCGCAAACAATAATATCACAATCCCATGACAGAATCTATATACATCCAGAAAACATCAACAAAATTTGGGTCCAGTTTTCAGCTTCAATCCTATTACACAAAATATGATGCATGTCAGAAGACCAAACAACGTTAAGATGAACTAGATATATAGCCGCGTAGCGTTATTGGCCAGATACTTCCATTTTTGCTTTTTAATATTACAATTATTAACTTAAACTTCATTCTATTAATCAATAATATCAATTTATAGGATATAAATTCTACCATACATGTATACCCTGCATTTTGTAAGTATTATAAAGTTGTAAAAGTCACACTTTTTCTTTTATAACTGTTAAAATCACAGTTTTAATCACCTAGTAAGTTATTTATTAATATTCATTGAAGCGAAAGATAATAAACAAATGAAAGGTAGACCACATAAAAAATCTTAGATATCACTAATGTGATATTGTTATATTTGTACAAAATAATATATTACTTTTAACTATTTAAAAATTTCATTTTTTTTTCTTGTAATGCTTATTATTATGCTTTAGAATTATTTGACATTGTAAGTATAACAAAATAATATCTTAAGTATAATTTTTGTTCTCCAAGTATTTTTGGTTAATTAAGTTATTCTATCTTTGTTTATGCTATTTTAAAATTAAGCAAATTTATTTTTTTATTAAAAATCTCAAATTTTTATTTTTATTTTACTAAAAGTATCCACAAACTAAATTAATTAAGTTTTTTTAAACTTTCTATTCAAAACTCACCAATAATAACATCAAATTTTCTCCAAAATAACAAAATCTCAATTTTTTTCTCTTTAAACTTCAATTTCACGTTTTATATAATTTCTCAAATTTTATCGAATATAGACCATACATGTATGGATAATCAAAATTTATAAAACATTGTGCATTTATCTTGTGGTCTTAAACAATTGAGCGTACGTGTGTACACATATATGTAAACAATATAAAAAAAATGTCATCTCGAATTAGATAATGATAAAAAATGTAAATATTATATAATAATAATAAGAAGAAATAATTTTATTGTTAATAATAAAATTTTATTTTATTGTATAAAAAATCAAATAATACATTTGAAACTGTTAAAAATATTATGAAAATAATATATTTAAATTATAAAAAAAAATTAGATCAGGTTGGCTAAATTTAAGTAATTACAATATTACATTCATAATTTACATTTAAATATATATATTTATATTCATAATTTAAGTAATTATATTCAAGAGGTCGGTTTAACCAATTCTTGAATACAACATTTTTATATGGTATATTAAGATTTAAAATATAAAAATAATTTAAATTAAAGTAATAGTAATGAAAAAATAAAAAATAAAAAAGAAATTAAATGAGTACTTACTCGTCTAGAAAAGAAAAGATACTTAATTTAATGGGAAAAAAAGCTCTTAAAAATATTATAAAGTAAAAATGAAAATTTATAATATAAGAATAAATAAAAGTTTGGACCCGTATGTGGCAGCTAGGCCCAGGGTTCCCTTTGGGTCGGAAAAATAGCAATCAGAAGCATTTGTGAATTTGTTATGTTGGGTGACTCGGCATCACTTGATAACGTCCTTTTACTCTCCTCTTAAGATGAGGCTTCTCAGGTGGATATCAACTATGAAGGAGTTCCAATTTCTATGCATCAGTGAAAAGCCGTTAACATCACTTGATTTTGTCCTTTTACACACCTCAATTTGGCTGTTTCCTTTTTGCTTTTTTATTCCCTTGTAAGCTATGTTGGCTTGTCCTTCAAGATCAACACCCCAAACCTTCACTACTAAAGTGTACTTTGTTTTAATTTGTTTTATAAAATTACTTTTGCTTGTTAATCTTTTGTAGTTTTGAATATGTCGTAAATTAATGTATAATAATTACAAAATAAAAAGTAAATAATTCAGAGTTAGTATGATTGCTAAAATTGATCATAAACAAAGACATATAAATGAATCACAATAAATGCACGACAGAAAATATGTTTTATTTAGCGGGTGTTTAAATTAATTCAGAATAATTTTGGCCAAATTCATTTTTATTCAAGAAGATCAAACAAGATTTAATTGGTGACAAGGAATCCGATCGAGTACGAAGATAAAAAAAAAATTACAATGCATAGGTCTTTCTAATCCTCAAACACATGAAATATGGTTTTCATAACCCAAACTAACCGATCAGAAGCAGGTTGTTGCTCTTAGACGACAAAGACTTAAACTTGTCTAATCATGGTGTTTTAGCTTTAAATTAAAAACATGGAACACCCGTAATAGGCTTCCAAGGTCAAGCAATGTGTGCTATCCACATTACGTAACTTGAACAATAAATTAATTTGGCTTAGTTATGTCATACCAAATGGATAAGTATTATGAATTTTGCATAATTTGAATGTCTCAAACTGTTTATAGCATGTGATCATTTGACTGATTCTTTTATTCTTTTTTAACTAGGAATAATATGGGTGGAAATAATGTAGTTTAAAAAATGATTAATTCATTTTAGTTAAAAGTCTTAAAAAAGCTAAAACAATAATTAATAAGGAGGTGATCTGAAACTGAAATGGAGGGTCATTGTTTTTGTTGGGGGACCATTTTCTTGACTCATGTGATAACTGACATTAAGTTAACGTGAATGTCATCTCTCACATTCATCCCAGCCATACACCTGTTTTTTTCATATCTGCAAGCAACTTTATCATGCCCTCTTGTCTGTCAGTACTCGGTTACAGTACCAAACTCCAAATAATAGTTTGGTCATAAAGCCATAATAATAGTCTTATTCAATTATGGACTTGGGTTCATCCATTTTTCCTCCAATAACAAATATTTTTAAATTTTAATTTTTGCCAGCTTGTGAATTTTTAATACTTATCAGCATCTGCAAGATCTTGAAAAAGACGGGTGTTCTGTTTTAACCAAAAATTCTACACTATAGAAGACAAGAAAGCAAAGAGATCCTAGGTTCTTGAATTAAAGCTCATGGAATTTTGCTTTTGTTGTAGAAAAATAAAAGGAAGAAAATATGGGCGCTTTAATTGGAAATTATTGATTGGCATTATAATTCGAAGACATTTATAGTGAAAAAAAAATGAAGGGGAAGGGAAGGGAGCATAAGGGAACATAATAATGGTGATGTATAAATGAAATGAAAAATGCTAGACCTAAATAAAATAAAAGTCGTAAGTAATTTGGAAACACGTCGTCGAGTGGTGGTGGTAGCGCCAGCTGGCTCACAATCAATGATGGGTCTTTCTTTTTCTTATTTGCTTGGCAAGCGAGAAAATAAAAACGAGAAATTGGTGGCAAATGGTATGGTATTGAAGTCCCTTACTTTGGATACATGCTCCTGCGGTGTGGTGTGTATGAGTGAGAATTGGAGAATCAGAGTGATTGAAGATGACGATCACTATGCAGTCGACGCCGGGAAGCTCTGGGTATTTGGATTTGTATCCAGAGAGAAAGATGTCCTTCTTTAAGAATCCTTACATTCTCGGACTCGCTTCTGTCGCTGGCATCGGCGGTCTCCTCTTCGGCTACGACACTGGTAACCATTTCTTAACTCTTTTCATTGTCAATTCCCCAAGGATTTTATCTTTATCTGCTGTCAAATTTATCTAGTTCAGTTCCTGTGTTAATTGGGATTTTCTCACAGGTGTCATATCGGGAGCCCTTTTATATATTAAGGATGATTTTGAGCAAGTTAGAAACAGTAATTTTCTACAGGTACAGTCCTTTTTTATTCTCTTTTCATGTTATGCGGTTCTTAGCGTGCTAAAACCTGTGTATTACCAGGAAACTTTCATACATGATTGTGACCATTCGGAGAGTGATTGTCTGCTGCTTGTTTTCTACTTGATTGTTGGCATTATAGTTACAATATTAGTTCTCAACATTAGCATTTATTGATATCTGAAGCAGTTTGGCAGTGAGTGTAGAATTGACTGCAACTGTTTGACCAAATTAAAGGAAACCAATCGATTAAGGATTTTTCTTTTTATGTTGAAGAAAAAACTGCTTACTTATTATTTCGTGTTGGATCTTCCCAGGAAACAATTGTGAGCATGGCAATTGCTGGTGCAATTGTTGGAGCAGCAATAGGTGGTTGGATTAATGATGCTTATGGACGAAAGAAGGCCACCCTCTTTGCTGATGTTGTATTTACTCTTGGAGCAATTCTCATGGCTGCTGCACCAGATCCTTATGTTCTCATATTGGGACGTCTCCTGGTTGGTTTTGGTGTCGGCGTAGCTTCGGTCACTGCTCCTGTATATATTGCAGAAGCATCACCATCTGAAATACGGGGATCATTAGTAAGCACAAATGTGCTCATGATAACTGGTGGACAGTTTCTTTCCTACCTTGTAAACCTTGCTTTTACAGGGGTTAGTATTCCAGGCTCTCCTTTTGAATTGGATGTTGTAAATGTATCTTCTTCTTCTAATAATAATAATAATAGTAGTAGTAGAAGTATCGTTCTCCATCTTCACTTGTTGTCCCAAAAGTTCTGAAAATTTGGTTATTCTTATCTACATGTTTGCTTTTGGGTATTATTTCACACCACCTTTTCTCATTTTTAATCTTGCAGGTTCCTGGGACCTGGAGATGGATGCTTGGTGTTTCTGGTGTGCCAGCAATTGTTCAGTTTGTTCTCATGCTCTTCCTGCCTGAATCCCCAAGATGGCTATTTATAAAGGTTCAAAACTACCTTGTTGCTTTTCTCAAGAATTATGTCTAGAATGTTACCTTCAAAAGCTACTAGTTAATGATGCCATCTAAAATTTTTATCTTTGTGTGCAGAATAGGAAAAATGAAGCTGTCGATGTGATTTCTAAGATCTATGACTTGGCTCGCTTAGAGGATGAAGTCGATTTCCTAACTGCTCAATCGGAGCAAGAGCGCCAAAGAAGGAGCAATATCAGATTCTGGGATGTCTTTAAATCAAAAGAAATCAGACTGGCATTCCTTGTTGGAGGCGGACTTCTGGTAATAAATTGTTTACATTACAAAGACTGTTCATACAAAACCTAACTTTCTCATAGTGAAATGACCTGAATACTCTTTTCTGTCAGTATGTTAACTTGTAGATTTGGAATGCCATTTATGGGAAATCATAGGGTCGCTGAAAACTTTTAGAGTTTCTCTAAAATAGAAGCATATACTTGAAAGCTTTAAGTTATATGAGCATGGCTTGCTTACATCACCATAGAGATTACTTATTCAACAAGCCCTGTGAAACTTAAGTTAGCATCTTGTGTGAAAATACTATATAGTCTGTTTAATAAAATGAAAATTTAGTACCAAAATTTTAATATTTAACACTAAATCATAATGTTTCTAGAGCTGAAATTGTACTGAACAGACACTGTTACCTTCTAGTGTGAAAATTATGCAATATTGAAGAAACTATTTTCATTTGATGCTTGAAATAAGTAAATGTTATTTCCGAATACATTCATTGATCTTTCATGTGCTGAATATTTTCACTTAATTTCATTTTTGAATTTATTAACTAAACACCATTAAATTAAATTTGTATAAAATCTTTTAATTTCAGCTTTGAATTGAGTTTTCAGACTGGCCCTTAGTATTCTTGATTCAGCCTTTCCGTGATCCTGTTTTGGCTTGATTTCTGGTTTTGATTCCTAAAAGAAAATCAACATCTTTCCTTTTACTTTTTTTGTTAATGGCAGTTAAGTGCATTTTGGAAGTTGGTTTTGTATTTGAAATTTTGAACATAAATGACATCAGATTATGTATGTGAAATGTGTTCTTATAGCATCCAGTGGTTGTGCAGGCATTTCAGCAGTTTACAGGAATAAACACAGTCATGTACTACAGCCCAACAATTGTCCAAATGGCTGGATTCCATGCTAATGAGTTGGCTCTTCTCCTATCCCTCATAGTTGCCGGCATGAATGCTGCTGGAACAATTCTTGGCATTTACCTCATTGATCATGCAGGACGGAAAAAGTTAGCTCTTTCGAGTTTGGGAGGAGTAATTGCATCTTTGATCATCTTGGCCGTGGCATTTTATAAACAATCATCATCTTCAAATGAAGTGTATGGATGGCTTGCAGTTTTAGGCTTAGCCTTGTATATTGGTTTTTTCTCGCCAGGAATGGGGCCTGTGCCTTGGACTCTTAGTTCAGAGATATATCCTGAAGAATATCGAGGTATCTGTGGGGGCATGTCAGCTACTGTGTGTTGGGTTTCAAATTTGATCGTCTCAGAGAGCTTTCTTTCAATTGCGGAGGGTATAGGGATTGGTTCTACTTTCTTGATTCTTGCTGTTATAGCTGTGGTTGCATTTCTATTTGTGCTTCTGTATGTTCCAGAGACCAAAGGATTGACATTTGATGAAGTGGAAGTAATATGGAGGGAGAGAGCTTGGGGTAAGAACCCCAACACACACAGCCTTCTTGAGCAGGGAAGTCATTCCTAAGGTGTAAGCTTGTGGCCATTGCCATTGTCATTGCCATTGCCATGAATAGATATCTCGAGTAGCATTTCTTTGGTACATTTCACATATGCATCTTATGACTTTATATATTATATTATTTATATGTATTACTTGTTGGATTTGGTTAGCCTCTTTACTTGACTCCTAAAAATAAATGTAAATTCTCGGGTTGCTTGGCGCCATCCTTGAAATCATGTAGTTCCATGCTTATTTTAACATCTTTTTTTTTTTCGTAGGGTTTTGCTTTCAGAAGTGACTACCCACTTAAAATCATGAAAATTACAAGTTTTTTATAATAACGTGAATGTTACTGATATCTTGTAGTAATGGGAGACAATATATGATTATCACGTGATCATGTTAATTTATTTATTTTAAAAATATTCGTAGTTAAAGCCAATATCACAATCACATAATAGACCCTACATTCAGACAACATCAACAAAAATTGGGTACAATTTTCAGTTTCAATGGTATTAGGCAAAATAGGATGCATCCGAGAAGACCAATCAACATGACGGCCAAAATGGTTTAAAATTTATTGATCTCAAAAGTCATTAGGTTTAAATACAATGCTATAGCTTGTGTTTATTGATTTCTCATAGTCTTTACATACCGTGTGTTGCTGTTCTTCTAGGAAGATCAATGAATCTCGAAGAACAACCAAAATGGGGTAGGGAATCCAAGGAGGGGAATGGATACCGAACAGAGAATCTTTATTGAATGGAAGAGAATTTCAAAAGAGTCACAATCGAAAACGTGAACTACCAAGCTTCTCACAAAAACCTGTTATATCTAGCATGTGGTTTCCCTAACAGAATTAACTAACTCATTGAATATCCTTATTACACGTGTACAATCAACTAAGTGACTCAAATGAATTTACAAACAAATCCAACTAAGTAATCTAACAATGTCAATTAATAGAAATCACTTCTGAATTCTAATATCCTGCATCAATCCCTTCCCCTTAAGCAAGTCCTTGTCCTCAAGGACTGAAGTTGGGAAACTTATTTTTCAAATCATAGTAGAACTCCCAAGTGACATCATCTGGTAATTGATGCTTCCACTTAACAAGCACTTTGGTAACAACTTTGTTGCCTCTCTTCACAGTTGTTCTATCAAGAATAGCTTCAGGTTCCCTTATGACATCTTCCTCTTCTGACAGCGGACAGTATGCTGAAGTGTTTGCTTCCCCTACTGATTTCTTCAATTGAGACACATGAAATACATTGTGTATCAATGAATTAGCTGGTAGTTGCACCTTGTAAGCCACAACACCAATCTTTTCAAGTATAGGGTAAGAACCATAGTATTTAGGAGCTAATTTGGCATTGCTTCTAAACGCTACAGATACTTGTCTATAGGGATGGAGTTTTACAAAGACCAAGTCACCAATCTGTAATTCCCTTTCTGATCTGTATTTGTCTACCAGTAGCTTCATCCTTTCTTGTGCTCTCTTCATGTGAAACTTGACCAATTTAAGCATTTCCTCTCTTCTTTGTAGGCTTCTGTCTACTAACTCCACTTTTGATTCTCCTGGTAAATAGGGCAAATAGGCAGGAGGAGTCTGCCCATACACAATTTCATAGGGGCTAGCTTTTATAGAACTGTGATATGTGGTATTATACCACCATTCCGCCAAGGGAAGCCACTTGGACCATTGCTTAGGACCATCACAGCACATACACCTCAGATATGTCTCAATGCCTCTGTTGACCACTTCCGTTTGACCATCCGTTTAAGGATGGTATGCAGTAGAAAGCTGGACCTGGACGCCCTAGAATGCCATAAACTCCTTCCAAAATTGGCTCACAAATACAGGGTCTCGGTCACTTGTAATGGTAATAGGGAACCCATGCAGTTTGAAAACATTATCCCTGAAGCATTGAGCTACTGTTGCAACTATGTAAGGGTGTTGGAGAGCCATAAAGTGGGTTGCTTTGCTCAATCTATCAACTACTACAAAGATGACCTGTTTGCTAAAAGAATTAGGTAGCCCTTCTATAAAATCCATGGTGATATGTTGCCATACATGCTTTGGAATGGGTAATGGCTGCAGTAACCCAGGTGATGCAGCAGCATCATACTTGCATTTCTGACAAACATTACATTGCTGTACAAATCTTCTAACGTCTTTAGTCATACCCTTCAAATATACCACTGATTTTACCCTTTGAAGAGTAGAGTCTCTCCCTGAATGCCCTCCACAAGCCGTGACATGTAGCCAGATCAGAATCTGTCTCTGTACTTCTAGATCCTTACCAACCACTAGTTTCCCTTTTCTTCTTAGTTCTCCCCTCTGCCAAGAAAATTGCTTATGAGTAGTGATGTCTAGCTGCAGCTCAGTGATGATCTTCTGTAAGTTTGTATCAGATTGTCAAGTTTCTTTAATTTTGTCTATCATCTCGGAAGTAGGTTGATGAACCAGTAGAGCAGCCCATTCCACCCTAGACAATGCATTAGTAGTTACATTCTCATACCCTTGTTTGTACTCAATGCTGAAATCAAACTCTATCAACTTGACTAACCATTTTTGTTGGAATGCAGTAGATAATCTCTAATCAAGGATGTATTTTAAGCTTCTATGATCTGTTTTGATAATAAACTTCTTGTGCAGGAGGTAGTGTCTCCATTTTTGGACCGCAAACACAACTCCTAATTATTCTTTCTCATATGTTGATAGTGATTGTTGTTGATGATTAAAAGCCCTGCTTATGTAAGCTATTGGGTGCTGGTCTTGCATTAGTACAGCTCCTACTCCCTGCCCTGAAACATCCACTTCAACCACAAACTCCTTGGAGAAGTTAGGCAAGGCCAGAACTGGTGCTTGACTTAACTGATCCTTTAATTTCTGAAAAGCAGACTTGGATTCCTCTGACCAACAGAAACTCTCCCTTTTAAGCATATCATTCAAGGGCTTGGCTATGCTACTATATTTGTTCACAAATCTCCTATAGTAGCCGGCTAAGCTTAAGAACCCTCTCAGCTGTTTCACAGATTGAGGTAAAGGCCACTGTTCTACAGCAGCTATTTTGGTCGGATCTGTCGAAACACCCTCTCCTGTTATGAAGTGACCAAGTTATTCCACCCTACTAACACCAAAGTAGAATTTGGACTTTTTGGCAAATAGAGAATTGGCTTTCATGGTGGACAATACCTTCTGTAAATGGCTCAAATGATCCTCAAGGCAGCTGCTATAAACTAAGATATCATCAAAAAATATTAATACAAATTTCCTCAAGAAATCCTGGAACACAGTATTCATTAGTCTTTGAAAGGTGGCAAGGGCATTTGTCAAAGCCAAAAGGCATAACCAGGTATTCATAGCAATGTTATCAATGGCGGATGGCGGCTCATGGCGGAAACCAAAAAAACTGCCATAAAGTTATGGCGGCTGCTATGACAGATTATGGCGTATATAATAAAATATATAAAAAAATACTATAGGTCACAGAAAATGATAGAAAATAATTAACTCAAAATATATGTAGCATAACCTACAATCCAAAATATAATTCAATACAAAATATGCAATTATCAAATGTCAAATTAACAATAAAAACAAAGATGATCATTTTAATCATCTTCTTCAATTCCAACATAATCATCTTCTTTCTCACCTACCAAGGCATATCCCTCCTCCTCTTCTCCCTCAGATTGTGGAAGATTAATTTCTAATTCATCTTCTGTTTCTTCTGACATCTATTCATCTTCTAAATCTTCATCATCATCCTCAAAAACCATTTTCTCTTTTTCTTTGGCTGTTGAACATGCCTTGATTTTGTAAATTTTTGCAGCTTTGATAGTGATACCACTTGATGGACTATTTCTTTTCTTAGAATGACGCCTAGTATATGTTGTAGGCTCTCCAATTTCAGAAGCTTCATAAACAAATGCCAATTTAAAGTGTTATCACCATTAAAAACTAAGTCATTTCCAGCATCCTCATCATGAGCATCATCATCCATTTCTCTAACCAACCACTCATTACACTCATCAATGTCATTGAGTGTAATTAGATCAATTATATCTTTAAGATTGTAACGTTCTTTGAGTTGTTGGTTATATTTCACATAAACCAAATCATGTAATTTTTTGTGATCAAGCCTATTCCTCTTCTTTGAATGAATCTGCAACATGAGTTTAATTAAAAGAATATTAATTAGTTTCTTTTTAATTTTTAGAAGAAAGTAGTAGGCTTGATAGATGAGAAATTACTTGTTCAAAAATACTCCAGTTGCGTTCACATCCGGATGCACTACATGTCAAGCTCAAAATTTTGATAACTAGTTGTTGCAAATGTGGAGCTGAATGTCCATACATTCTCCACCATTGAGCTATAAAATGAAAGATAAAGTATAACTCTAAAGATGAATTATAACCTTAAAATTAAAAAGTTGAAGACTTTGATGAATTACAAAGATCAATGTTTTCTCTTTGTGATTTTGCAAAGTCGGACCCAAAGAGACTACCACAACTCTTATAAATTGACAATTCAAGTAGTATGCTTTGTTGCACATCCCGACTTGGCACTAACCTCTTGATACAATCATACAATCCATTTGTAACTTTCAAATCAAATTCTATTTGGGGGTTGTCATAAAAGAACTCTAAGTTTGAAATGTGACCAACTGCATGTAATAGACGATGAAGCTGATAAGTCCATTTATTATCAGTGATTTCAAACACATCTTTGTATTTGCTTTCATTATTTTTGAATGACTTCATAATAGCTTCTTTACCTTTCTCCATTGCTTCATAAATATATTCCATGACTGGTCTTCTTTTTCCATCAACCAAACGTAGCACCCGAACAAAAGGAGTAATGATTTTTAAAGTATATACCACATTATTCTAAAATACAAGATTTAATAGAATTTTGGTTGGTTGCTTCCCTTTAACTTCTTTTGACAATTTGTTTTTACACCACTCCTCAGAAGTAAATATCTTTCTATGATTTGCTTTTTCTTGATGAAGTCTTTCTAATGATAGAAATGAAGTTGCAAATCTAGTAACTGCATGCCTCATTAATTTCTTCTTGTTTGTAAAATTTTTCAACAAACTCAAGGTACTTGAATGACTGTAGATAAAGCCAACAACAGATATTCCCCTTTGAATTGTCTTCTTTATCAAGGGAAGCTTTCCAATATCTTCAAGCATAAGATATATGCAATAAGCTGCACAAGGAGTCCAATAAAGATGTTGTCTTTTTGCTTCCAACATCTTACCAGCCAAGACATAATTGCTCTCATTATCCGTTATCACTTGCACAACTTTATCTTCTCCAATCTCCTCCACAAGAACATCAAGCATCTCAAATAATTTTTTACCAGTCTTCATAAAATTAGATCCATCAATGGACCGCATAAACATAGTCTCAGCAGGAGAATTGACCAAGAAATTAATCAAACATCTTTGCTTTCGATCTGTCCATGCATCTGACATGATAGAACAATCATGTTTGCTCCATTGCTCTTTATGATCTTTCATCAAAGAATCAGTATATTCTAGCTCTTTCTTAAGAAGTGGAACTCGAATATCATGATAACTTGGAGCCGGTAAATTTGGACCAAAGGCACCAACAGCTGTGAGCATTTCTTGAAAGTTCTTTAGTTTAACAAGGTTAAAGGAAAGGCCAGCTTGATACCAAAATCGAGCAATGTATTGATGGACCCTTACCTTAGCTTCTTTGTCACATTGTTCTCTTATATTTGTTTGTCTCAATTTTTCCTTTTTTCTTTTTTCAATTGCACTTTCAGGCTTTCTACAAAACAAGTTCATTGGCCCTTTCTGATTTCCAATGGCAACGCTACGGGTTTAGGTATCCTTTTCATCCTCACTTACACCATAGCTTATACCTTTAAAGCTTCTCACATTTGGCAACTCAAAATTATTTTGATTCTTTTTTTTTCTTTTGATGTCTCAATCTCTTTTCTAATTTCTTCTGGACAATTGGGACAAGCTTTCACATTACCCTTCTTTCCAATTAAATGTTGTTTCACTCTAGTGATTCTAGCACTCAAACTTTTTCGCAAAAGTTACATACAATGTTGTTTGTATCTCCATCTTTCACCGAATGAGCATATTTACATCCCGGGTCAGAATGATTAGAAGTTCTTGAACAATTTGATGAAGACTCATGTTGAGCCATGTTAAGAGTAGCTGAAATAAATAGAATTTTTTTTTTGAGGAAAATCAGAGAAAAATAGAGATGTGGGAGAGGTAGAAATTAAAAGATGGAAAGGGTAAAATTTAAATGGAGGAAATAAAGAAAAAATTGAGAGGAAAAATGAAAAAAAAATAGTTACCAGAAAAATGGAGTCGCCGGAGATGGAGGTGCAGTTGCCGGAAATGGAGGTTGGAGTCGCCGGAGATGGGGCAGTAGCCAGAGATGCAGCTGCAGTCGCCAAAAATATAGACCGAAATGCACCAAAACAGAAACACAGAGCCCAAAACAAAATGAGATCTCAGCAGAGAGATCTTAGAGAAAGCAGTCGCAGAAAGATCTCAGCAGTCGCAGAAAGATCTCAGCAGTCGCAGAGAGATGTCAGAAGCAGTCGCAGAGAGAGAGAGATAGAGGGCAGAGAGAAAAGAGATGAGCAGAGTGGAGAGTGAGATCGCAAAGAGAATGCGATTGCAAAGAGAGGGAGATCGTAAGGAGAAGAGAGAGAAAAAACCTGGTTATAGGCAGTTGGGTTCTGAACTGGGTTGGGTCGGATCTGGCCCAAAAGTGCAGAAAATCCTTCTTTTTTAAAAAAAAAAAAAAAACGCCATTTTTCACGATTTCTGCCATGGCCGGCCATTACTACCATGCATGTAACGGCCGTCATGGCGCCGCCACATCATTCCGCCATGCCACGCCATCTTCGTAACGACATCTGTCATTTCTGCCACGCCATGGCGCTGCCATAACCGACATTTGACAACACTGATTCATAGTGCCCTGAATGCATCTTAAATGCTGTTTTGTGTACATCTTCATTAGCCATTCTAACTTGGTTATAGCCAGAGCGAAGGTCAATCTTAGAAAAGATTCTAGAACCATACAACTCATCTAATAGGTCATCTACAAGAGGAATAGGAAACCGGTTCTTCACTGTCTCTTTATTCAATTCTCTGTAATCTGTGCAAAGTCTCCAGGTGCTATCCTTTTTACCCACCAAGACTACTGGACTAGAGTAAGGACTGCCACTGTTTTTGAATGATGCCAGACTTCAAATATTCTTGTATGATCCCATCAATAATGTCTTTCTGCTGCTTTGCATACCTGTAGGGCTTTTATTCACAGGGTTTGTGCCTTGAATCAATGGAATTCTATGATCATGTTCTGCTCTCTTAGGTGAAAGATTAGTTGGTACTTGGAATACATCTTCAAAATCCAGCAACAACTTGTCAATGCTGTCAGGAATAGAAATGGAATCAGCATGAGTGGATAAGGAATGTAGCAATAATCCTTCCTCCCTGTCACACAATTGCAGCATGGATATGTGGACTCTCGCAGATAGGGTTTTTTGCAATTGCTGCTTCTGGATTGTCTTAAGTCCTGTAAATGAAGCACCTCCCAGTACATGCCTCCTGCCATGCAAAACAAATTCCATTGTTAATTTCTCAAAATTCCAAGTGATGTCCCCTAATGTAATTAACCACTCTATGCCAAGTACCATGTCACAACAACCCAAAGGTAACAACATTATGTCAGATCTGAAAGAAGCATTTTGTAGGAGCCAAGAAAACTTTTTAACCATGCTGTTGATTTGTACCCGAGTACCATCAGCGACAGTGACATGTAGGGGGTCCATGCTATCAATCTTACACCCTAGCTTCTTAGCCATGTGAATATCCAAGAAGTTATGAGTGCTACCACTGTCAATGAGGATATGAAGAGGCTTCTTTTTAAACTGACCAGTGACTCTCATAGTTCTGTAACTAGTAACTCCAGTCAAGGCATTAACTGAAATCAAGGGTTCCACATGATTGCTTTCCCTCGGTTCTGTATCTGGTGGAGTGTCTTCATCAGAATCAGTGGTATCCTCCATCTCGAGAACATGGATTTGTAACTTTTTGTGGGTTAGGCTATGGGCAGGGGTGAATGGCTCATCACAAAAGTAGCATAGGCCCTTGGCTCTCCTCTCACTCATATAGGCTGGTGTTAAACTTTTGGTGGCCGGTGTTTTGGGAGGGTTAGGTAACAAGGGCGGTTTGGATACTGTGGATGGTGTGGGGATCTTGGAAAAGGTTTTAGACTGGGAAATAGTGTTATTGGCAGATTCATACATCTTGGCCAAGGAAAAAGCTTTCATGACAGTGGTGGGCTGAAACATTCTCACCATCATCTGTACCTCCATCTTCAATCCTCCTAAAAAGCAACTTAGTTGATGGGCTTCTGGCAAATCCAGTCGAGCAACAATAGCATCAAAATCCTCATGGTACGTAGTCACATTTCCTTTCTGCCTAAGCTTCATGAGGTCAGCCATTGGATCATCACATACCGCACCAAACCGATTTATCAAGATTTGAATATAGTGCTCCCACGAAGGAAATTTCTCTAACCCTATACTTTTCACATAGGCACTGTGCCATTGCAAAGCCTTTCATTCGAAATGAACCATTGCCAACCTTACTTTATACTCATTCGGCGTTTGATCAACAGAAAAGAAGGTTTCACATTGAATAATTCAGTTTTGCCCATTATCACCATTAAAACGAGGGAAATCCAATCGTGCCAAACGAGTATGACAAGAATATGGACGAGGAGAATTACCAGAACCAGTGGCACAAGATTGTTCATGTCGCTGAAACATTGCTGCAAGATTTTGTTGCAGAGAAGAACCAAGCTCCATGAAAGGCTCTTCCATCCGCGTATTGAGACGATCCTCAGCGTCGCGAATCTGAGTCTGATTCCTTGTGTTATCTGCCATGGCAAATTTCAATTTGGAAGGTTACAGGCTGATACCAATTGTTGCGGTTCTTCTAGGAAGATCAATGAATCTCGAAACACAACCAAAATAGGGTAGGGAATCCAAGGAGGGGAATGGATACCGAACTGAGAATCTTTATTGAATGGAAGAGAATTTCAAGAGTCACAACCGAAAACTTGAACTACCAAGCTTCTCACAAAAACCTGTTATATCTAGCAGGTGGTTTCCCTAACAGAATTAACTAACTCATTGAATATCTTTATTACACGTGTACAATCAACTAACTGACTCAAATGAATTTACAAACAAATCTAACTAAGTAATCTAACAATGTCAATTACTAGAAATCACTTCTGAATTCTAATATCCTGCATCACCGTGTTGTATGTATATGAAGCAACAACAACTTAAATCAATCGGTTACAAATAACAAACAAAATCTGGATGATAACACTGTATTCCAACACTCCCTCGCAAGACGGTGGAGGTTCTAACCATACCAATCTTGGAATTGAAGAAATTATCATGTGTTGTTGACAAAGATATAATTTCATTTTGAATGTGTAACCAATACAGAGGATAAAAAAGGGGCTTCTTAGGAGAAACGCTCATACATGATCATTTAAGAAGTAAAGACTGGTCTCTACTCTAAATCAAATACAGAATCAAGGTATAGTGTTCTAGCAGATTTAGCAGCTGAAGAATTATATCTCAAATGATTGTTGCATGAAATTAAATTCACTTTGCTAAGGCTACTGTTCCTATGGTGTGATGATTACTTTCAAATTTTCATTTTTAAAAATTAAATTTCAGAAATAACAATAAAAATGTAGTGCAATTCTCTTGGTTAATTGCAAACGTGATCTATTATACTTCTTTTGTGGCATTTAAATATTAAAATAAATATCTATTTTTAGATATATCCAAGATCTTGGGAAGGCAATTAGGATTTCTTATCAAAAATTGAAAATGAAAAAATTTTCCAAAATAAAGGTAAAAAATATTTACTTAAATGAAACAAATTCTCAAATTTTAAGAATAATTTTTTTTAAAGGCTTAACTAAATTTTCAAACTATGAACATCTAATCATGATGCCTATATATATTCATTTAGAATTAAAGGAAATCAAAATTGCATATAAATTAATATAGATAGTAGAAGATAATTAACCCCTTCCCCAAAATCAGCTAAGGATGCAGTTAATATTACCGTACAATCAACCTTCCACTTTTTCCCTTTTTTTCAAAGTATTGTTAACAGTATTCTTAATTAAAAGTATTTTAAAGAATTAATTGTTTTTATTATATGAATTACTTTTTTTACATTCAATATTTATTTTAATTTTATTTGATATGATAAATTATGTATGATAACAATTATAATATTTATTTTTAAAAAGTGATAATATTTATAATATTTATTTATCTCTATCTAAATTATAAAATGCTGTTATAAATCAACAACCTCCTGTGATTATCTCTGCAACTTTGACACGTGACTGCCGCCTTCTTCCCTAATTCCTATGGTGATTCGGGTAGCGTTTGGCCGCGTTGCCCTGACGCTAACATACATCGTATTGTTATCACACATGAAATTGCTTATGCTATCTGCATTATTTGCCTGTGGTTACTGATGCTTCTGTTAATTTATTTTGGATTTCATGCTGTTTATTGTTGTTTCAAACTTCAAGTTCTTGTCGTGAAATTGGTAGTGGATCAACATTTCGTCCATTTTTGTTGAGTGTTATTGATTGGTTTGTTTTTGCTTAAGTTGGATTCTTAGCCCTTGCTTTTCTCATTCATCTATTTTGTGATTGACTATAAATGCTTGTCACTATTTCAGGACTAGGCTGGTAGCTGTTGCCACTCAGAAGTTTGTTGCTGCACTTCAGTATGTTCATTTTACCTATCTTTTTGATGGAATCCTTACCTTCTTTCTTCTGCTTTGGTTTATTTTAAGTAATAACCCTGAATCTCTGCATACAGCAGAGTATATGTGCATATTAAATTTGGGAAATGTTCTTCGATAGAATTTTCTTTCTAGTTTCTCATGCAGTATTTAATTTTTTATATAAGGTAGTTCATGCATGCGGGTGAAGTTGATGAGTGCCTGATTGTTTCACTCAATGAAATAATTCAATTGAATTCTCTGCACAATTGCATTTGATTTTTGTGCTTTTATCCCCTTTTGTAAAGGTCTTTAAATGTACACACTACAATGAGAGGAAGAATGTAAATTAGAAAATATAATATTAAGGCTGTTGACTGACTCCACACGCCCCCCTCCTTGACTTGGCTTGTCCTAAATATTCAGTAGCTGACTTTTGTATTTTGAATGTTTTTTTTTTTTTTTTTTTTTTTGTGTGTCTGATTGATTTTGTTTCTTGGTTTGACAATGATCAAATCTAACAAGAGTGCATTACCATTTATTTTGGCTAAGTCGTAAGTGCTTTGTTATTAGTCATTTAGTTGCCCTGCCTTTCTTTCACATGTCAGTAAATATATATAGATCAGTTTGTAACACCCCATTCGTCTTTTTAAGCTTTCTTTGCTAGCTTACCTAGCTATTGCATACAGTCAGCAGCCCTGGTCTTTGGCTCTTAATATCAATGGTTCCACTCCCTTTAAATTCTATTGCTCAGTTGTTCTTAGCTTGTTGCTGTGTTGCAAATTTAGAGAAGATGGCAATCATACTGTAGCTAATACTCACTAGGCAGGGTGGGTAGAAGACTGTTTGAATTATTTCTTTGGGTCTTTAAGTTTCCCTGTTTTTGGCCCAGTCTAACCAGCTGGGTTTTGACATGGGTAAACATGACCAGCTCCAGGATCCCATTCCCCATCGAACTGGGAGAACAATGGGTAAACTCCTCTGCCAAAAGGATTTTAATCCAAGGGAATGAACTTGGGGCATCACCCCAGCAGACACAAACCATAACCACTTCTGCCATCCCATGCAGGTGTTCTGGTCCTGTTTTTGTTGCACTGTTTTTAAGCTTCTTCTGGGATCAATGCTATGGTATTAATTGAGCCAAGACCAGAAGAAAAGATATTATTAGTTTTTCATTAATTTTGCTGGTATGTTAACATTTCCTTTCATTGAATCTGCTTATTTATCTTCTATGAACAGTATGGCGTGAATTTAAGGCATCAAGAATATTTTGCTGATAGCCCTTCTACTTGATTGGATCCGGCTACTCGAGATGAATGAGTCTTTTTTGTTTATATATGGGTTCAGGCTTCTACATTCTTGTATTTAGTAAGTAATACTGCATTTGAGTGCTGAATTGAGTTCAGTCTATGGACAAGTTGCTAATTCTCTAGTCATGTGTTCCGTATCTGAAGTCATTCCACTGTGCCAATTTTATGTAGTTTATACACGTTGTTTTACTGGGTTGAATTTGTTTCATTCTTTGTATTTAACTAGTTGCTAAATTTGTTTTGTAAGAGTTACATGGTTGTTAGTGGAACGATTTTTATGATATGATGCTCAAAGTATAGCAACCTCTTCTCAACGCCGCCAAAACACTGCAATTGTTCGCCACTAACATTAAAGGTGCTTGAAATATCTTGTGACCCTGGTTTGTGGGACACTATCAGCAATGAGCTAGTCTACTGTTTCTTTATGTCGTCCTTTTTTGAAAAAACAATGCCCGTTAGTGTCACGTTTTCCCTTTGGTTTTGAGTTTTCATATAGTATGGGATTTGATACAATGCATTGGAAAAGGCATAAATGCTAATGTGTTCATTTTCAAGTAATCATTTCTCAAGAAAACAGATTAAGGTATATCGTGACTTTATTTGTGAAACACTTGCAATTAGTCTGCAACATTGTTCTCCCATTTGGTGGTGTGATGTTTGTTCCCCCTTCGTTCTCCTTAAAATCGTCCTCCTTAAAATCAACTCTGAAGACCTTATTTATATAATAATATCGCGTTTTAATCCAAAGAAGACTTTTGTCATTGTTTCCGTAAGTAGATGCATAATAATCAATTTTTAATAAAAATAAGAACGAAATATTTTTTCCATGTTATGTTTTTTGTTATTTATCTAACAAAGCTGCCATATGTTTTTTTAACATTTGTCAAAGATACAAATTATTATATACTAAAGTTTTAACTTTGAAAAATAAATATAAACTTCATTTTAGTTTTGCTAGTTGAAAAAATGGGAGAATTGGCATGTCATAAAATTTAAATTTGGATCATATTGTATCTTATTAGTTCTCATCCACTTTATATTTAAGTGGGTAAATATGCATTTGGGCTTCCGAAATATAGTCAGATCAAAACAAAATGGAAACTTTTTTTTGACTCCAATAGAAGAATGTGTGTGTCGGGTTAGAATTAATCTTTTTTTTGCTTCTATCTCCGTATATATTATAAAGCTAATGAACGGGTAACATGGTACACGTTATGAAGGTTTTTTATTATTTTTTTTAGAAGAATTTCTTATTGGCATTCTATTGTGGCTACCACAGGTTGGGCATGAAGGAAGAAATATGACAGTGGCATTATAATAGAAAAAGAAAGAAGTAGCGATATGGAATTCAAGAATTAAAAAAATTAGAAAAGATAGATTTTATTTGGTTCGAAAAAAAAGTTAAGAGATTAAAAAGATAAAAGCACGTATTTGTGAGGAGCATATTAGACAAACTCTTGTCACGTAATAAACTTCGCATCTTATAAAATTTTGAGTGTTAATAACAAATAGTAGTATTTAAAACTTTTCTAAACAATAGTAAAAAAGAGAGAACAAAAAAGGAACACAGTGCACTGCAAGGAGATCTAAATTGCATACTCATGATTTAGGCAAATTTATTATAATATTGTAAATTAAAAAATAATTTATTATTTTATAGCAAATCTGAAACAATTTCTCAATCTGGGATTTTTTTTACCACGTGGATCAATTTTTTGCTATAACGGCTGGTGAAAGTAATTAATTTTTGAACTTATTTATGAAATATGACTTCTTAGAGCGGTTACCATAAAACCGCTCTCATAACTTTATTTTAGAGAGCGATTCATAGGAACCGCTCTGAAATTTCAATATTAGAGAGCGGTTCCATTTGAACCGCTCTCGAAAGTCATGTTAGTGAGCGGTTCCATATTAGAGAGCGGTTCTGCCGGAACCGCTCTCTTAGATTTAAAATGGACAGCTGAGGAGATTTTGATACACGTGGCAACATCTGAGATGATTCGCGCTGCTACCGGCGAAAGTTTATTTCGCCCTGCAGTTAGCGAAACCGTTCAACTTTTATTTAAATACAAAACTCTATTTAGTGCATAAAATTAAATTACATTTTTATTAAGTGGGGGTGAGTGAAGAATTTGCTGAAAGTTTATTAAAGGTTAGTAAAAGGAATTTAAAATTTAAATAGTTATTTATTTATTTATATATAGATTAATATGTTTTTAGAAAAAATGAAATGTGATACAGTTAATTAAAATATAAAATTATAATTAATTGTTAAGAAGATAACTAAGATTTATAAAATTTGTTTACATGAATTATTATAAATATTTATTAAAATATAGAATAATAAAAATTGAGTTAAATAAAATAATTATATAAAACTAAATATAATAATTTATACTTAGTTTGATTGTAATAAATAATTTTTACACCTATATTGAAGTAAAATTTTAAAATTGTAAAATTTTAAATGCAGTAATCATAATTTATATGAAATGTATGTATACAATTTGTATGTAAATAATAAAATTTTTTACTTTTAAAAACGTAATATTATTTATATGATTAAAAACTAAATGTAATATATGTAAATTTAAATTAGAAAAATGAAAAAAAAAATACAATTTAATTTTATGCCAGTAATTAGAGTTTTGTATTTATATAAAATTTATGTAGATTTAAATTAAAAATATAAAAAAATAAAAATGTAATTTAATTTTATGCAGTAAGTAGAGTTTTGTATTTATATAAAATTTATGTAGATTTAAATTAAAAATATAAAAAAATAAAAATGTAATTTAATTTTATGCAGTAAGTAGAGTTTTGTATTTACATAAAAGTTGAACGGTTTCGATAAACTTTGGCCAGTAGCAGCGGGCACGATTTTAAATCTAAGAGCGGTTCATTAGGAATCGCTCTCTAAAATGAAGTTAGGAGAGCGGTTCTATTTGAACCGCTCTCTAAAATAGATTTATGAGAGCGGTTTTAAGATAACCACTCTAAGAAGTCATATTTCAAAAATTAATTACTTTCGTCAGCCGTTCTAACGAAAAATTGATTCACGTGAAATTGTTTCATATTTGTTATAAAATAATAAATTGTTTTTTAATTTACAATATTATAATAAATTTGCCCATGATTTATCTTAACAGTCTTACTTAAATAAACTTGAGAAATAACAGTAAATATTTTAAATTTAGAAATCATTTTCTTAAAATATATGTATCTGCATAATATTTGCAGTTATACATACATACACACACATATATATATATATATAATATGCATTAAAAAAATTATAAAATTATGATTATTAATATTTTCTTATTAATATTGTTAATTTTTTTTTATTTTTTAATTCTCTAACAATTATCCAAACATAAGTAATTTTTTAAATATAAATATATAAATGTAATACATTATTCAAATTTAAAATTTTAAAATACAAAAAAAAATTAATTAAATTCTCTCTGTTTTTTTTCTATATTTTATATATTCTTATTTAGAATATAAAAATTATATATATATATATATATATATATATATATAATTCTAATTTTTTATTTTATTTTCTTTTGTCTTCTACCGGCCATGTTTGTAGTGTTTTTACCGAAGAAAGGACACATTCTTCAACCGTCACTCACTCACGCACGCAGCGCAACAGAGAAAATGGGCTGGCCAGCAATCCGACTCTGCTCTGCTCTGTCAGGTGTAGGGGAAGGACAACATATACGTACATACAAGAGGAAGCTTTCCATTTTCTTTCTCGACCATTCCAATACTCTGTTTTTCTGCGTAAGAGAGGAGCTTTACTCTGTTTTTCTGCGTAAGAGAAGAGCTCAACATGCCATTCACCGCCACTCTGGGAGCTGGGTTGAACGTGATAAATTTACTTCAGTGCTTGATAAATTCACTTCAACCATTGCTTACGTTAATTCAACCATTGCTTCAAATTGAACCATTCGATCCTAACAAATGGTGGTACAGGTATACAAATGACTTAATATTACATTATATTATATATTACATGTGTTTACAAATTACGTTTATTATATATTACATGTATTTACAAATTACGTGTAGGTATGGATGGGAAAGTTTTATCTATAGTAGGAGTTTACGTTGGATGGATAGTCCCCGTCATTATCACGTTCCATGAGGAGCGTTATCCTTGGTTAAAGTGGACCAACGGTTTTGTTGGAGGATTCCTTTACCTGGATGTAATGATTAAATTTAACACAGCATACATGGACAAAAACACCCGTTTGTTAGTTTTCCATCGTCGCATGGTTGTTCTTACTTATCTGAAATCTTGGTTTTTTTTCGACTTCATCTCTGCCTCTGCTGCTGTTACTAGCGCCTCTGTACCAGTAATGTATATTGGGGTTTATATATTTTACATGTTTTCTTCCGTGAGTCAGTTGAGAAGAGTTAATCTACATATCTTCAGGTAACATTCAATTCTTTACTTAAATTATATATATAATTTTATTTTTAATTATATATTATTAAAGGATATTACTGTCATATTACATATAATTTTATTATTAAAGGATATTACTGTCATATTACATATAATTTTATTTTTAATTATATATTATTAAAGGATATTACTGTCATGTTACACAGGCTCCAGACAAACACTGTTTTTGATTATGGCTGGCTTCAACTGATCAAACTTTTACACGTAAGTTCTTTAGTTTAAATTTATTAGGTATACTTGCAACCCAATATTAATGCTGAATTTTTTTTTTTCACAGATTACATACTTTGTAGTGCACTTAAATGCATGTTTATTTTATCGTATTGTTGCCAAATTTCACGATCCAATTAGAATATGGATGAGAGTGTCAAATCATGAAGGTTTCGCAACAAGATATGTAGCAGCAATTTATTGGTCATTGTCTACTCTAACCACAGTTGGTTACGAAGACATACATCCAACAAATAGAGAAGAAATGGTGTTTTTGTAGTCTGTTTATGCTTTTTAATATTGTATTTACTACGTACATCGTTGGTGGCATGAGCATATTGTTTCATTACGGTCAAACTCGAAAACTTGTAAGTAAAATATTCATTTGTTACAATAATCGTTTTGAATAACTTAACTGTGTTGTATTTTTATATTAAACAAATTAGTTTTCTTGTTAACTCTCAGAGACGTGCGATGGAAAAAATTACAAGATTTACTTGTATCAACAATGTAGAAGATAATGTATCACGTCCCATGATCCAACATTTAGATTTAAAATACAAGGGATTGGAGTTCCAAGGAATCGTTAATTCATTTCCAAGAACACTCAGAACCAGTGTTTTAGCACGCCGGTTCGAAGAGACGATGAACACTGTTTACTTATTTGAAGGAATGTCCCTAGACTTGATTTTTCCGTCGGTAATTATAAAATTTCATCTCATCTTATGATTTATAATTTAGATTTTTTTATATCAGTTTCAATTTTATTAATTACTGTTTAAATTATATTTACAAGGTCTTCTCGAGGTTGAAAGTTGAGTCTTTTCCACCGCAAGAAGATATAATACTACGTAATGAGATGCCTGAGACCTTCTTCATACTAGTCGATGGTGATGTGGTAGGTTTGGTTCGTTGAGATGCTTGAAGCCTTTTTTATATAATATCAAATTTTGATGTGTTCATGCACTCTTAAGTTTGGTTTGTTATGAGGATTTCTTTTAAATTCTAAATTGTTTGTCAGGAAATTGTGATAACCCAAGCTAATGGAACTAAAACAACCGTGACAGAAACCATAGCTCCTGGTTACATTTGTGGCGATATTGGTGTGTTGTTGAACAGGCTGCAGCCTTTTACTATTAGAACAACGGTAACGACCACTTTATTGAAGGTAAAGAGTAAACGTTTCTTAAAATTCATTCAATCCTACTTGGAAGATGCAGAGGTAAATGCAATGATGAATAATTTTTTTAAGGTAAGAATGAGAGCCAAGAGTAGATATAGTCCACTCACATGTTATATGTCATAAGTTTTTAAACTGATTTGGTTTCCATGTAACAGAACTTATCAGCAAGGGAAACCATAAAGGAAAGTATACTGGATATGGATGGAAAGTTAACTTGTGGTAAGATGGACCTACCGTTGAGTCTTTGTTGTGCTGCATCTATGGGATATGATTCATTATTAGAACAATTGCTGAAATGGGGCTGGGATAAAGATAAATTGGACGAGAGAGGAGACACAGCTTTAGTAAGTAAAATACCTTATCTTTTGAATTCTCTATTCTTTTTAACCAAGTTGATTAATTAGTTTGAAAAATCAGAATGCAGCAGCCTCAAAAGGAAACATGAATTGTGTCAGTACTTTGTTGACACACGGAGCTGATCCGAACCTCAGAGGTAATTTGGTTGGATCACAGCAAAACTATTCTGATTATTTATTGTACCTTTATTCTCGTTACTTCTGATTATTAATTTGCATACAGATGCTCATGGTAACGTACCCTTGTGGGGAGCTCTGATGGGTGGACATGCACTTGTGCAAGAACTCTTGTCTAGTGCCGGAGCTAACTTGCAAAATGGTGACCTCGGTCAATATAAAGAAAATGCAAGTGGAAATAGAAATTTGTTGATAGCCATAGCTGCTGAGATTAGCCGTAGACATAGTTATGACAATTCTAATCTTGCAGATCAATGAAAATTTTATTTGTGACTTTAAAAATTACATATTTGCATGGCTGATAGTTTACATGTAAAGAAATGTTGTTAAGAAAATATATTGAGTATGCTTTGACTGATGTCTATGGTGGTTGTGTATCATTGTTAGAGGCTCTAACAAGTTTATTAGCAACTCTTCACCCCTTATTTAAACTACAAACGAAGATACATTCAGCAAGCTATGAGAATAAATATTTGATTTTTGTCAATACACCTGTATTCTTGAATGTTAATATGATTTTTTTGGAAGGTACATCCATCAAACATTATTTTTCTCACCTTCTAGAGCAGAAATTATCTTATTTGGCTGCACATGAAAGAAGATAAATCAGAGAAGGTGATCCATTATCACATATATATATATATATATATGAAGTCATAAACACTACATGAACAGTAAAACAGTTGTGTGACTGGGATGAAAGAACATGTTTTACATTTCTAAAACAGACATTGTACCTTTCTGAGAGAGTTCATTTGCTTTTTCATGTGGAAAATCGTCAATAATGTGGCTGTTTAAATTACTTTGCATAGAGAAAGATTTATGAATGTCATCGTTGAGATTCCTCTTTTGCCATTCTGCTTTAGCTGTCATTGAAGTTCCTTTCTGCTGTCAAATATCATTGACAATATAAACACACGTGACACGTAAAGCAAGAGAAGAATAGAAACAAATATGTTAATGCTACTTAATTTTTATAAATTATATGACTCCAAACCTATGAAGTGCATACTTTGATTCAAGAGGTAGAACCACCGACATAAAGGTAATGATTCCAAACAGAATGACTAAATATACGATTCATAAATATATAATTCAGAATTTTTTCATATCAAGCATTGAAGACTACTCGGTAATTAATTTGAAGCAGAAAAGTCATTTTTATTCATTCTTACTTCTTTGGTGTTGTAGAGGATCAACCCAATCAAATGATGTAAGAGAGTAAACCACTACATTAATCCAGATCAAAGGATAAGATGAAAAAAGAGAGCAAAAATTACCAAAAGAATTTTTTGGTTACATATGTTCAGTTTAGGAACAATTAATGGCCCAACTGTTAACCATGTCCAAAGAGAGGTAATAAATAACCACTTACCGACTGAATTGACCATGAATCCCTTGTTTGTAATTTTCCAGGCAAAAAATATACAGAAAAGAGAAATTTCTCAGAGGCTTGAATGTATCAATGGCTACACTTTGAGCGAAATCTTCAATAGGAAGATCTGTAAATTTAACAATATTAGAGAGCGGTTCATCATACCTCTATTTTAGAGAGCGGTTCAAATAGAACCGCTCTCATAACTCCATTTTAGAGAGCGGTTCCTAATCAACCGCTCTTAGATTTAAAATCGCTGTTACTGGCGAAAGTTTATCGAAACCGTTCAACTTTTATTTAAATACAAAACTCTACTTACTGCATAAAATTAAATTACATTTTTATTTTTTTATATTTCTAATTTAAATCTACATAAACTTTATATAAATACAAAACTCTAATTACTGGCATAAAATTAAATTGTATTTTTTTTTTCATTTTTCTAATTTAAATTTACATATATTACATTTAGTTTTTAATCATATAAATAATATTACGTTTTTAAAAGTAAAAAATTTTATTATTTACATACAAATTGTATACATACATTTCATATAAATTATGATTACTGCATTTAAAATTTTACAATTTTAAAATTTTACTTCAATATAGGTGTAAAAATTATTTATTACAATCAAACTAAGTATAAATTATTATATTTAGTTTTATATAATTATTTTATTTAACTCAATTTTTATTATTCTGTATTTTAATAAATATCTATAATAATTCCTGTAAACAAATTTTATAAATCTTAATTATCTTCTTAACAATTAATTATAATTTTATATTTTAATTAACTATATCACATTTCATTTTTTCTAAAAACATATTAATCTATATATAAATAAATAAAAAACTATTTAAATTTTAAATTCCTTTTACTAACCTTTAATAAACTTTCAGCAAATTCTTCACTCACCCCCACTTAATAAAAATGTAATTTAATTTTATGCAGTAAGTAGAGTTTTATATTTAAATAAAAGTTGAACGATTTCGCTAACTACAGGGCGAAATAAACTTTCGCCAGTAGCAGCGCGAATCATCTCAGATGTTGCCACATGTATCAAAATCTTTCGCCAGTAGCAGCGCGAATCATCTCAGATGTTGCCACATGTATCAAAATCTCCTCAGCCGTCATTTTAAATCTAAGAGAGCGGTTCCGGCAGGACCTCTCTAATATGTACTTCTGAAAGCGGTTAATATGGAATCGCTCACTAAAATGACTTTTGAAAGCAGTTCAAATGGAACCGCTCTCTAATATTGAAATTTCAAAGCGGTTCATAAGGAACCGCTCTCTAAAATAGAGTTATGAGAGTGGTTTTAAGGTAACCGCTCTAAGAAGTCATATTTCATATTTCGTAAATAAATTTAAAAATTAATTACTTTCGCCAGCTGTTATGGCAAAAAATTAATTCACGTGGCGAAAAAAACTCCAGATTATAAAATTATTTCAGATTTGTTATAAAATAATAAATTGTTTTTTTAATTTACAATATTATAATAAATTTGCCAATGAAATTAGCTACCAAAATATTATAGCATTTACGCTTCATTGATGAAAGTTCAGTGAGGAATAGTATTGCATTTGTTGCTGGGGTAACCTCCTTGCTGTGAAGAAGCTCAATAAGACATTTTCTGTCAACACTTATTGCTATCTGATTGCTATCTGATACATGCAACCAGAGTCTGCTTGAATACAATTTAGCAAGAGTAACACCACGTGTGATTTTTCTTCCACATTTCCCTGTTCAAAGCTCCTAAAAAGAAATGGAAGAACTCGATGAGATGCTTAGCAAAAGTTGATTTCTCCCCTTCTTTCAAAGAAGAGACAAGACTCTCTAAATTGAAAATGGAAGTCTCATCCCTCACTTTCAAATTAAGCTCCTTTGAATTATCCACTGTTTGAGAAGAAAGATCCAGAAAGTAATCAACTTGTTCTAACTTCCAATTATGAATCAAACGCTTCAAAATAAGGTTGGTAAATGGCTTGGCCACACACCCCAAAGTATTTCCTGTTACTGGGCATGTTCTGTTTTCCTTTTCAAACCATGATTTAGTGGCTTCTCTTTTAAAGATTTGACCAGTCTCTATGGTGACTAACCCTCAAAGAGTTTTCCAGCAAGACGACAAATAAATTCCCAACATGTGTAATCTTTCTGTCAAGAAAGAAAAGACATGAAATTGCTTATGCTACCTGCATTATTTGCCTATGGTTACTGATGCATCTGTTAATTTATTTGATTTGGAGGTCTAGCCATATCTCACCTGAGGCGCCTATGTTAGTGCTTCAATTCTTTATTGGATGGGTTACAGTTACTACGGTTGGAGCTTCTATTTTTTTATATAAGAAAAGTCCTCATAAAGTTGATTATGATATATTCATTGTGTACTTGGTCCGTATTTCTTGTGTTATTGTTTCTTGCATTTGCAGAATTTGAAAGGGCTGAGAATGAGAGGGAGTCATCACAGAATGCATTAGAGTTGGCGTTGGCAAATGTAAGGTTGCGGTTGGCAGAGATAAGGGCTCAAAGTGAGATCGAAAGGCTTGAGGAAGAGTGGGAAAGAAGAGCAGCATTGTTAGCAAGGGCTCGGAATGAAAGGGAAAGAGAAGCACGGATAAGGCGCCGGAATGAGAGGGAAAGATCACATAATCAAAGAGCAACACAGCTAGCAAGTGTAATCTTCACACATGAGTGCTAGATTTGTGTTGTAATAAATTTGCCTGAGGTTTGGTTTTTAATGTTTTGTTTAAAGCACCCTTGGTGGCAGTCATGGAATACCTAAAGTACATTATAAAGGGAGACAAGGAGAATATTACGTAATGGTATGATCCACACAACAACCATTGTATTTTCTCATTGCCAACTTAACCATTAAACTTTTCTTTGGGGTATACATGCAGGTTATGGACATGCTTGGTCCAAGCTTGTGGGACGTATGGAATTCCTCAAGCCAGGCGTGAGTATTAGCTAACCTGTATAGTTGTATCTGGCTATCTGCTATTTTGTTATAGGTCTTGTGTTTTAAAACAAGGGCTATTGTGATTGATTTTGTGTGTTTATAAGCTCTCTTTGTTAAGGTGTATGTTGAAGTTAGGTTATTCCAATTTTAGTTTCATTTTCTTCCACATGCATAGTTAATTAAATATACTAGAAAACTGGAGAGAAAAAAGTTAGAGTTGCAATAGTTGTAGATGATTGATTGTACTAAATTCTTTGTGGTGTCAACCTTTGGTTTTCTTTTCTCCATGAAGTTTGGTGAGCAAATACTGATTTCCTTTTTTGATGTAAATGATTACATCAGTGAATACTTATTAAACTTAACTTAAATCCATTATATCTATTAATGACGTATAAGATGCATAGTTTTTTCCTTCAAAGTTGTATTTATGCCTTCTACTGCATTACTTCTGGGTGTGTCACTTTTTTTTAGCTTTTCCTTTTCTGCAGTGATTACTTTATTCCTTGTTTTTCCTTTGAAATTCTGATATTGCTTGTCTTTTGACTGCATAGGATGTCTGCGGAAATGGTTGCATGTATTGCTGTTGAGTCCCTGTCAATCCTGGAGAAGATGCACTCAAGAGGGTATGCTATTTGCAAAACATATTTTATATTCAATCTTTTTCTTCTGGATTTTTCATAACTTGAGTGAGTTGTAATTTCTTATATTGATTTAGTTTGAATTTTTTGGTTTCTGAACATGATATTCTGGTTCCCATCGTTCATCATAGATATGTGCATGGAGATGTAAAACCAGAGAACTTTTTATGTCAGCCAGCGACACCACAAGAGAAGAAATTGTTTCATGTAGACCTTGGATTAGGTTAGTAGTTTGAATTCAAGGATGACAAGTTTCATTTGTATTTTCACTCTGCTTTTTTACCTTTCTTATGTAAGCATTGTTTTGCAGCAACAAAGTGGAGAGACAGCTCCAGTGGGCAGCACGTTGATTATGATCAACGCCCTGATATGTTTAGGTCACCTTTTTCCTTCTTTTCCTCATTGTTTTTCTCTTAAATGCTACTGGTTGCTATTATCTTTTACACTCCTTTTTTATTATTATGTTTTTTTTTTCTTTGTATTTCATTGGTATCATTCTTCATGAGGCTTATTTTCTAAATTTTTTTAGAGGGACTGTTCGATATGCCAGTGTTCATGCACATTTGGGAAGAACTGCTAGTAGAAGGGATGATCTTGAATCTCTTGCATATACACTCATCTTCCTTCATAAAGGCCGGTTACCTTGGCAAGGTTATCAGGTATATACATATTTTATATTATCATCATGTACTGCCTCCATTATGAGATAAGTGTCATTTTAGCATATTTTTTTTCCAAACTGTCTATTTTTTACAGTGCCAGGTAAACACATTACCTTTTTCCAACTTTGTCCTTCTCCCTCTAAACTAGTGCTCGGTAAATATTCTTTGTTCAAGAAATGAAGTATTAATTATTAATGACATATACACTCTATAGAAAAGAATAATTTAGTCATATGGTCATGTTCTTACGAATTTTGGATTTACTTAATCCTCCTGTTCGGATGCTTACTATGGTGATTGAATTTCTCGACATATTGTTTTAATCTGATATTATCTTTGTTTTAGGGTGATAACAAATCCTTTCTTGGTTGCAAAAAGAAGATGGGGCAGCCCTGAAAGTAAGGGCTGAGATTGAAAGGGCTCGGAATGAAAGGGAAAAAGAAGCACTGGTAGGATCGAAGTCTGAGAGGGAAAGACGTAGAGAAGCACGGTTTCGTATTGAGAGGTCAGGTAATCAAAGAGCAACAGCAAATGTGTTAGGGCCTCGGAATGAGAGGGAAAGATCACATGATCAAATAGCAACAGGGTCAGCAAGTGTAAGGGCTGGTCATGAGAGAGGAGGATCACATAATCAAATAGCACCACGGTTAGCAAATGTGTTAGGGCCTCAGAATGAGAGGAAAGATCACATAATCAAAGAGCAACACAGCTGCTAGCAAGTGTAATGCACCTACAATCTTCACACATGATTGCGCCATTTGCATGCAACATTTCCAGAATGGAGAGTCCATTCAACCTTCTGGACTCATGACATATCAATAATACATGTTCAACGCCTGTGCGTATCTTTCCCTTTGTTCTGACGTGAACCGCCATCACATTCTCCGGTGTTTCAACGCAACTTGCTCACTGTAAATTGGCAAAGTAATTATTAGCAATTGCTATTAACTTGATAATTACATTACAAGTTTCTCATGTTCTTAGTTTCACAATTAGGCATTGTGCAATTTTTACGATAATTATTACGGTCTCAATTATGACTAATTATAGTTACACTAACACGTATAAGGTGCAGCCTTCTTCGAACTTGACGCAGCCTTCCTAATTATGATACTTCATAAAAAACAAACAAACAAAATAGTGTAACCCTTAGCCAATCCCTTTCAAGATAACAGTGAAATATTGAGATTTGAATTGCAAAAATGAGATAAACTTGTATTCAACAACAAAAAACTTAAAATTTCAAATATTAGTATCATCCTGCTCAAAATAATTAGAAGCTATTTATTTAGTTATAGAGAGTAAATTAATGAATGTAACTTTTTATCTGAGTTACAGAAAATTGCATTCATAATTATTAGATCGTTAATTAATAAAAAATTAAAAAAGTATACCAAAAGAAAAAAAAAAGGATTTTTATTATTTAAAAAAATATGACGTAGCCTTATGCTCGAAATTGTGATGATTTATTAACAACACATCAATCTCCACATTCGTTCATCAGAAAGCGAGAAACAACAAACAAAAAAAATAGTGTAACCCTTTGCCGTTTCCTTTCAAGATAATAGTGATATTGAGATTTGAATTGAAAAAAATGAGATAAACTCATTTTCAACAACAGCAAACAAACTTAAGATTTCAAATATTACTTATTAAAAGCTAGTTATTTATTAATTTATATAATAGAGTAAACAAAATAATGTAACTTTTTATATCTTAGTTACAGATATTTGCATTCATAATTAATCGATCACAATTGATTAATAAATAATGAAAAAGTCAACCAAAAGAGAAAAAAAGAGACTTTTTATTAATTAAAAAAATAACAAATAAAATTCAGGGAAAACACCAAAAATACCGCATCAAGAAAGTCCTTCGTCCACTTGAATTTCAAATTTCCTAACTTTCCGTAATTTAGTTACAGTTAAAATAGTTTCAAACATGCAAAACCTCGTCTTGGCCATTCATTAAGAATGGGTTGTTTACATGAGTTAATTAACTACTCTCGTTTGAACACACTGGTTAAGATCCTAGTCCTTCGTTAATTACACTATTTAAATTAATTAATATAGAAAAAAGTTATAATTTAGCGTTATGAAAAACAAGTGTTTGTGGCAACATACCTAGTTTTGACAGGAAAAATAGGTGTGTGAGGTTTGAGGTAATAAGGTTGGTGGGTCCAGAAAAGAAAGAGTTAAACTTGCATGCAAAATTGTTTGCATGAGAGCTTAGATTGAGAAAACTCGTGGCATCTTTTTGAGCTAAAAAGTTTCAACCTAAATGACAAGAAGTTTCAACGGGGAAGGACTATTGGCGTTTGTAATTGCTGCTTCTTGCTCTTCGCCTTCACCAGAATTTGACACAATTCCTGAAGAGTTCACTACATCTGTCACCAAGTTTCGCAAAAGGTTACACCAATATTTTGTATTTTTCACATCCTCTTTTAAAAATTTCTCGTTCACTATCTGCTCCTATTGAAGTTTCGTTCTTTTGTTCGTGCATGTTTGGGCACCAAGGCTTTGTGTCAATTGTTTAAAAAAGTAATGCTATAACAGAACGCCAATGACGTATAAATAAGCCAACACCATTTGTTTCGTTTCCATAAGTAAATATTTATATTAGATATCTTCTCATGACATTTGCGTATAACATGAATTGAAAATAATACAACTTCACGTATGGATTTTCTTATATTGTAAATTTGTTTGCAAAGTGATGCTATAGCATAACATTCATGCTTTCTGTCTCTCTCTCACTCTCTGTGTCATTATCTATATCAATAATGGTTTTAAACAGAGTTTTACGTGTCGCAGATGGAACTAGGAATCGCCAATTCACACACCGTCGAGTCCTTGAATGTTGAAGCGGTTGAGGTCAGTTATTCTTAGTAGACGATGGCAAACATAGTGAAAGGGGCTCTCTGTGTTACTGTTAAATAGAAAAACAATTTGACAGTTTAATATTTTATCACTGATTTTTTGTTGTCTTGTCGTGCCATAAGATCAATTGAGTCACTCATACAAATACAAGCATCTTATTTGTGTGAGCTTGCACTTAAGCTTGTTAAGATTTAGTCAAATTCTACACCTGTTGCACTCATCAAACGTAGACAACATACAATCAAAACTTGTTATTTTCTTTATCTATGACTATGAACAATAATGTGCTTGATATACCAAAAATATAATAAGCAGGTGAGAGAAGGAAATGGTAGCGACAGAAAAGAGGTAGCCACAAATGATGAGAAGAGTGGAGGAGGGTGGAACACCGCAATGATTTTGCTAGGTACTAAACGAATGATCAACAATCTCCTCAACATTTATTTTTGAAATAATAATAAGTTGAAGTGTGGATTGGAACATAGATGCATGAAACAGGGTGTTATTTAATATTGTTGTGAAAAATGGATGCAGGAAATCAAGCACTAGCTACACTAGCATTCTTTGGAGTTGGAGTGAACTTGGTTCTGTTTCTGATCCGAGTGTTGGATCAAGACAGTGCTGAGGCTGCTAATAATGTGAGCAAGTGGACAGGAACTGTTTACATATTCTCACTCATTGGAGCCTTCCTCAGTGATTCTTACTGGGGTCGATATTTAACATGTTCCATATTTCAGCTCATTTTTGTTCTGGTATTCTATTCATACTATTCTATTCTATTAAATTTGATGGCATTAGAAGATGCATGTTGAAAGACATTTCAATTTCATTGAACAGGGTTTGGGGCTGTTGTCGCTGACATCTTGGCGGTTTTTGCTCAAACCACATGGTTGTGGCAATGAGAAAACAAAATGCATGGAACCATCCTCAGTGGGTGTTGGGATTTTCTACTTGTCCATATATCTGGTGGCTTTTGGATATGGAGGACACCAACCCACCTTAGCAACCTTCGGTGCAGATCAATTTGATGAGAAGAACGAAAAACATAGGAATTCAAGAGAAGCCTTTTTCAGCTATTTTTACTTTGCACTCAATGTTGGATCTCTGTTCTCCAACACAATATTAGTGTACTACGAGGATTCGGGGATGTGGACGATGGGGTTCTTGGTTTCTCTAGGATCTGCTGTAATTGCCTTAGTTTCATTCTTATCAGGATGTAAGAAGTATAGATATGTAAAGCCATGTGGGAATCCGGTTGTGAGGGTAGCCCAAGTGTTTGTGGCCACTGCTAGGAAGTGGAAGGTTCATCCTGCCAAGGAAGGCCTTCTTTTTGAGGTTGATGGTCCTGAATCTGCCATCAAAGGAAGCAGAAAGATTCGGCACACCCAAAATTTTCGGTAACACAAACAAATCTTTCTATGTCATGTCATGATTTGGATTAGAACTGAGTAAAACAGCTATATGATTTTGATTAAAACAATATCTGATATTCTTGTTGTGTTTTAATTTTTGTTGATGTTGAGCAGATTCATGGACAAGGCAGCAACAAAAACAGAGAAAGATGCAAATGATCTTGAGGATCATTGGCGGCTTTGCACTGTAACTCAAGTTGAGGAAGCAAAATGCGTGTTGAAAATGCTACCAGTTTGGCTATGCACTATTATCTATTCTGTTGTGTTTACACAAATGGCTTCTCTTTTCGTTGAGCAAGGAGATGTGATGAACAACAAGATTGGAAATTTTCACTTGCCAGCAGCCAGCATGTCAGTGTTTGATATCTGCAGTGTCCTTTTATGCACAGGAATTTATCGCCAAATCCTTGTTCCAGTGGTAGGAAGATTTAGTGGCAATCCAAGAGGACTAACTGAGCTTCAAAGAATGGGAGTTGGCCTAATTATTGGAATGTTAGCTATGCTTGCAGCTGGTGCTACAGAGTTTGAAAGACTCAAACGGGTTAAACCTGGGGAGAAGACTAGTTCTTTGACTATATTTTGGCAAATCCCACAATATGTTCTGGTTGGTGCTTCAGAAGTTTTCATGTATGTGGGTCAATTGGAGTTCTTTAATGGACAAGCCCCAGATGGCATAAAAAGCTTTGGGAGCTCCCTTTGCATGGCTTCAATTTCTCTTGGAAACTATGTGAGTAGCGTGTTGGTGTACATGGTGATGGGAATCACTGCAAGGGGAGGGAGAGCAGGGTGGATTCCCAATAACTTGAATATGGGGCACATGGATAGATTTTTCTTCCTCCTTGCAGTGCTAACTGCTCTTGACTTTGTGCTCTACTTGTTCTGTGCTAGGTGGTACAAGAGCATCAACCTTGAAGACAGTGAGAAGGGAAGCCAAGAGAAAGATGAAATGGTTGATAAAGTTTGACTGAGAGCTTTAGGTGTTTTTGAATTTTTCTTTTCTTTCTTTCTAAGCATTTGGCCTTTCGGGTGATTGCGTGACCAGCACAATTGGAGAAAATTGAAAAATATTGATGGGTGATTGCTTTCTTGATAACATGGCAGTTTTGGTTTGGTGTTATGCTAGTCTTTGTATCACTGAAAATGCTTTAGTGAATTTAAATGAATTAGTAGGAATTCTTTGTTTATATTTATTGATTCTGAATTTTGAAGCATGCCTGCTTGTGAGAAAGGATCAAATTTATCCATTTACTCGTTAGGCTTTTTGACATCCAATGTTCAGGACTTGGCTCTGACATTGGGACAGGAATCGTGTTAAAGGACGAGGAATGATATTATCTGAATTAGAATTGGTTTTACATTTTCAATTTTCATTTTAATAAATAGAATCACATAAAATTGAACTTAAAAATGATTATTTTCATTTTCTGTAAACATTGATGGATTGAAGTGGCTGCATCTCAATTCTGAGGGAGCATTTTTTAAATACAACAAACAACAACCTTCAGTTTTTGTGGTTTAGAAAGGCACGTTTCGACTAATTTTAAAAATTAATTACCATCTTGATGGTATATTATTTAGTATGGGGTATTGTATTTGCAGTAAAACAGTTTAAAGTAGTTAATAGTTACACGGATGGAATGCAACAACAAAGCAAAGAAGTTTGGTGTGATTAGTCAGTTGATTTCTAGAAATTGCCAACTTTCTAAGTAATTCAATATTTCTCTTTTTTGTTAGTGTGCTTGTCTAACCGGGATGCATTGGTTATTAGTTGCACATGTAACCATAAATCAAACCATGTTAGCCAAATAATCAGTTACACACTCATTGGAAGATTCACTCATCATTTTTCACATCATAACCTTTTGGAAACTTTAAATCTTAGACAATGACACAAATCCTGCGGTTATTCACCCTGATAAAACATAAATAATTTAATGAAATCAATTTACATTTTTTTACTAGACAAGAATGTACAATGTTGAAGTATTTGCTTTTTCTAGAACTCAATCTAGGCTGGGGCTTTTCATATCTTAGAAGCATAATTTTCTAAAATGTGAAATTGGATACCATCAAGATTGGAACTCTAGAAGTAAGGAGACAAAGATATGTTTTCTAATTACTACAGATTCTCCCTAGACACAATTTCATGTAGCTGCTTTGCTGTCCATGTTACATCAACAAGTCCATGAAGAAGGGGAGAAATATCCTCTGCCATAGTCTTCAAAAGCGTTCTGCATTCTGTAACAAAAAATTTACAAGGTACTAAACAACACGACATAATCTTAATGCAGTCGCATGTTCATATGCACCATCCTTTTGAATATATTTCACACAGTATGTCCTGATCACTCCTGTTGGATTCCCCGATTCCAGAATTAGTTATCTAACTAAAAACAGGGCAACGATTAATTCTTTTCAAAGAAATTGGAAAATGGAGAAAGAGGGTCTCTAAAACAAACTTGCTTAATATTATCTTACGTAGATGATTCTCAAAAAACTAGTTAAGAAAAATGCAGTTTAAAATATTAATGTCTTGCTCAAAGGTTCTAGAAGAACAACTTCATGAAATATCATTATGTATTTCAGAGAAATGTCGTTTTCATTATTATAAAGAAGAAATAGGTTACTAGATTTAAGATATACAAAACCTATGGATATTTTCAATTCAAGGTGCCAGAAGCAGAAGGTTGGCAAAAGTTGTTAGTATTAATAACTAATAAGAACGGTTTTTCTAGTGTGTGCGCAAGGGCACATGTTAAATAGTTAAAAATAGAAACTTTTCATTGGAAATGAAAACATTATCTCCTCAAAATTATAAAAATCATTCAATACATACTTTTTATGGTAATTTGAAGCATTCCAAAAATGGCAGTATATTTAACAAAAATACAAAAGGTAAACCAAAAATGCAGAAGGTGCCGAACCTGCTATTTTACTGAAATTAAGCAAAGAAATAGAAGCAAGAGTCTTGAGTTCAAGTTCTCCATTTTTCAGGATTCCTTTCAACTGAGAGATGATGGCTAAGAAGGCGGGAAGATGCAATCCAGCACTAAATAGCATAGATAATGAAGAGCTCAACCATGTGACAGTCATTAGACACGCCGTCACCAACTCTAGGTGCTTAGAATCTAAACATCTGGACATGGTTTTCAAAAATGGGCTTTCTCCATCACCAATCAATGACTCTAACAAGTTCATTAGCAACTCTTCACCCCTTTTTTCTTCATCTTCCTATGATTTTAATTAAATTATCAGCAAAATACATTCAATGACTCATGCAAGCTACAACAATTTCGTTATGTGCAATGATAAACATTTGAATTTTGTCAAGACACCTAGATTCTTGAGTGTCAATATGATTTTTTTGGGAAAAAAATAAATAAATCTAGTTGATGTTTGTTCACATGGTACATCTGATTAAAGGATTTGTTTGATCTATATTTTTTGAAGATAAGTATCTTACTTTTTGTAAAAGAAATGTATTTTACATGTCAAGAGGTTGTATCCAGAGTACACAAGAATAACTAATTATGCTTCGGTAGATTAAAAGTTAACAATCAACCAAGAAACATACGATTGTGAAAATTTAGATACAAAGTACTGAGAAATGACGAAACTTGGTAATGGACTGATAATTATTGCATTGATACAAAAACCTTGCCCCAGAAGACCTTGGATCAATTATGTTTCTTTCCTACAAATGGCCTATATCACCAAGGCTACTCTTTCCTTTCAGAGAGTTAAATTTTTCATTTGACCAGCTACTGAGCTTGACACAACACAGTTCACTTCATAAATCCAAAATACTGAGAACCACCATATACACTTTACTAGTCTATGCACACAAATGAAAAACCATTGTAACCTTAGTTGTGGCATCGGTCCTAACAAAGAAGTAGGTGCAATTTGATATTATAAAAGTAAATGTGTGGCAAAATAGCTTTCATTTAACATTATCATTCAATGAGAAAGTCCTTAAGAGATGACAAAGTCCCCAGTAAAGAAAACTTACATGTGAAATGGTTACACCTGATTGTTGAACCTCCTCTTCATGGCCTGGAGGTTTCACTTCTAAGCTCTCATTATTATACCCTGCTTGTTTTAAGATGCTAACCTTGGTTGGTATCTTTCCAGTGGAAGAAAAATGTCCACTCAAGATTAAAAGTGCTCTGCAACACTTTTCCCTGACCTTTTCATCATTTAAGCTGGCATCAAGTGCCACTGCAATTGCATTCACTGCCACCTCTCTGTATACACTAAACTTTTGAGGCTCAACCTGCAGTCCAAATTTGTTCTAGTCAAGAAGAGTGTGAGGCAGAAGCTGAATTTCATTTACCTTTAATTTAAATAAAAATTTATTTACGAAAGAGATCAAAAGAGTGCTCAACGTTGGAGAAAACAATGCAAGCATTTGGTCTTTAAATATTATACAGACAGTTACATATGACAAATCTACAGAATATGTTAATCTATTTCCACTGAAAAGCAAAGGTTAATAATGAAGCAAATTACTAGATTTTATTTAAGGTTATCATATTATATAAAAAATCTTAATATACATACAAGCAATTATTAAGCGTAGTAAATAAGAAGTGCATAGACTTAAACTGCTAATGTTATGGTTTCAAGATGTTCAAATGCAGCAGCATCCTTTAGATTCATTGAAATGAGACGATTTGGCTAATATTAATTGTATGTCACATGTAATTATAGGAGTCATTTTATATGTTAAAGCTCATTCTAAAGTAAGCAATTACCAACTACAATTATATATGCCAATATTTAGAGGTAAGAAACTACACATAAAAAATTGTTCATTACTGTCGTAATCTAACTTCTAGAATTAATTTAATACAAAAAATATGTTGAACTAAGGGGAGTTTTGACAATTGTGTATCACAAGATTCCTACAGTTAACTTGGTAGACAGGAAAATGTCTCTAAAGTAGGATTCACTTTAGAGGGTACAATTGCATAGTTATAACCTTCGGAAACCAGCTGTTCAGATTGTGTCATTAAGATAAAATGTGTGTTATATAACAAGTTAAGAAATTATAAAATTTTAACCATTGAATTTTCTATGAAAGGTTATAATTCCTCACCCCTCCAAAGTGCATCTGTTACTTTAGAGGAGCCATTTGTTAGGTCTGTCAGATTAACTCATCTCCCCTTCATGTTAGGCCAAATGAGACTATTTCTAATGATGATAAAAGAAAATTGACATGAAATGATTATATTGTGAAAACCGAGGTTACTTTTTCAACATTACTTGAGCATACCAGCAGATCGAAGTGTAACAACAGGACAGCAATTAGGGGCTTGTCTAATGGAGAAGAATTCTCAAGATACATGAGTAGAATATGCATTGTGTTAAACATTGTTTCACCCACCAAGTCACTTATGAATGAAGTAACATCCTTTCTCCTGCACAAAAAAGTAGTCAAGTAAATAATAATTCAAGAGGACTATATTAGTTGTCCTTGTAACAATTTTTTTTCTGAAAAATTATAATATCCAAAATTTGCAGATAAACAACTGACCGAAATGGTTTCTACTGGTCATGAAAAACCATAATAGAATCTGTTTATTAACTACTTCAGCTATTAGATCATTCTGTTTAATGCATGAGTTGTATCTCTAACTTATTTTGTGCAGGTAACTGATAATGTTGGATAGCATGTCTATGACGAGTAAGGAAAATACTTAAAAGTTGATGAACAAAGGATGATTTTTCAAAAAAATTTGACCTATATGTTGTACTAGGCTATAAATCAAACTTATGAAATTGACTACCAAAATTTGATAGCATTCACCTCTTCATTGATAAAAGTTCAGTAAGGAATAGTATTGCATTTGTTGCGGGGGTAACCTCCTTGCTATGAAGAAGCTCAAGAAGACATTTTCTGTCAACACTTCTTGCTATCTGATACATGCAACCAGAGTCTGCTTGAATACAATTTAGCAAGAGTGACACCACGTGTGATTTTTCTTCCACATTTCCGTGTTCAAACCTCCTAAAAAGAAATGGAAGAACTCCTAAAGAGATGAGATGCTTAGCATAAGTTGATTTCTCCTCTTCTTTCAAAGAAGAGACAAGACTCTCTAACTTGAAACTGGCAGCCTCATCCCTCGCTCTAAACTCAAGCTCCTTTGAATTATCCACTGTTTGAGAAGCAAGATACAGAAGGTAATCAAATTGTTCTGACTTCCAATTATCAATCAAACGCTTCAAAATAAGGTTGGTAAATGGCATGGCCACACATTCCAAAGTATTTCCTGTTACTGGGCATGTTCTGTTTCCCTTTTCAAACCATGATTTAATGGCTTCTCTTTCAAAGGTTTGACCAGTCTCTATGGTGACTGGTTCCTCAAAGAGTTTTCCAGTAAGAGGACAAATAAATTCATCCGGAATGTTTGCAAAATATAGTCCTGCACCAGTTTTTTAATGCACAGCCTTTAGGAAATACAATTTTAATAGAATATGCTACCCGATGGAAGGTACATCAATCAAACACTATTTTTCTCACCTTCAAAAGCAGAAATTATCTTATTTGGCTGCACATGAAAGATGAGAAATCAGAGAAGGTGATCCATGATCACACATATATATATATGAAGTCATAAACACTACATGAACAGTGAAACAGTAGTGTGACTGGGATGAAAGAACACGTTTTACATTCCTAAAACAGACATTGTACCTTTCTGAAAGAAACTTCAATTGCTTTTTCATGTGGAAGATCGTCAATGATGTGGCTGTTTAAATTACTTTGCATAGAGAAAGAGTTATGAATGTCATTGTTGAGATTCCTCTTTTGCCATTCTTCTTTAGCTGTTATTGAAGTTCCTTTCTGCTGTCAAATATCATTGACAATATAAACATAAGTGACATGTAGAACAAGAGAAGAATAGAAACAAATATGTTAATGCTACTTAATTTTTATAAATTATATGACTCCAAACCTATAAAGTGCATAATTTGATTCAAGAGGTAGAACACCACCAACGTAAAGGTAATGATTCCAAACAAAATGACTAAATATACAATTCATAAATATATAATTCAGAATTTTTTCATATCAAGTATTGAAGAGACTCATGGTAATTAATTTGAAGCAGAAAAGTCATTTTTATTCATTCTTACTTCTTTGATGTTGTAGAGGATCAATCCAATCAAATGATGTAAAAGAGTAAACCACTGTAGTAATCCAGGTCAAAGGATAAGATGAAAAGGGAGAGCGAAAATTACCGAAAGAATTTTTTGGTAACATTATGTTCAGTTTAGGAACAATTAATGACCCAACTGTTAAACCATGTCGAAAGAGAGGTAATAAATAACCACTTACTGACTTAATTAACCATGCATCCCTTGTTTGTAATTATCCAGGCAAAAAATATACAGAAAAGAGAAACTTCTTACAGGCTTGAATGTATCAATGGCTACACGTTGTGCGAAACCTTCAATATCTTGATCTGTAAATTTAACAGTTTCAGACTCATAAGTTAATGTCTGTTTAACAATAGTAGAACCATAAGAACCTCTCACACAGTTTTCTAGGTTGTCATCATCCTTAATATCTTTGACATGATGAACTCCAGATTTTCTCGAGCTGCCAAACACAGAATTATACAGTTTCTTGCTGATCATTGACTGTGGTGAGAATGGGTCAATGGAGCTAGCAGACTCAGGAGAATGATCAAGTGAACTTCCATCATGACTTCCTTTGACAGAAACTGATGGAATTCCAATTGAAGGAATAGGTGGAGATTCTACTCCTTCAGTGAGCCAATCTTTGTAGTATAAAGCAAATATATGAGTTCCAGAATCCAAATGTTCATTATACACTTTTTGAAGAAGTTTTAGCTTTCTTGTTTTGGTTGGTGCATCTACTAGAACCTCTGCTTCCCTGTCGTACCATGCCTTCAAATGAGAAAATTGTGGAGAAAATAGATGCTCCCACAGTTCAGCCATCAATATAGTCCGTGCCTGAAAAGGTGAATCACAAAACACTTGCAAGAGATGCTTTGCTGAGACCCTATTTTTTCTCTGCATCATGTATATCACACTGAGATAAAGATGAGCACACGCTGACAACTTATAATTTGGGATCCCACATGTGCACTCATACTTCAAATCATTTAAACTCAAACCTGTAATAATGCTAAGCTTCATTGTGGTTCTTTTCAAATACGCAGCGGATATAGGTTCCTCAGCAGTTTGCTCAATGGTCTCAATTGCTTGCTCAAGACTTGCTATGACTTTGGTCTCACTAATGTTCTCTTCTTCCAGTTCAATAAAATTCAAGGAGGAGAAACATTTGTGACGCAATGTAGACCGAAAATCCTCATCTTTTAGAAAATGCTTTATGTATCCATTTAGAATGGAAACAACTGCTTGGACAGCAACGTCATCAAGAGCAAGACTAGAGGCTGCTTGCATAGCATGATCACTATTTTTATTCCTGATGCAATCTTCAAAGCCTTTGCTATTAGATCTAGTGTACGAGTCCTCCTGTGGTTTTACATTTTTTCTGGTTTCACTTGAGTGTCTAAGCATATGTACACTGGACTTCTTTTCTTTTCCTCTTTTTGCATTAGACTCTTCTTCTGAATGAGCTTCTTTAACTCTTCTAGCTTCTTGCTCAATCACCTCATTAATCTCAACCACCTCAAATCCTTTGCCTGAATTTGTATCACAAGAAGATTTCTTTTCGGTTTCATTCTTCAACCGTTCATCCATTTTGTCTCTCAGGAAAAGATTGTCCCTTGACCTCTGCTTCTTAGCAGTAAGATTGTCACCTTTTAACTCTCCACTTGTAATCTGATATCGTGAGGCATCAGATTTTGTTCTCTGTGTTTTAATTCTTTCGCCCGATACACAATATCTTCCTTCCAAAGAGTAAAGAGGGTCACTTGAAGCGCCATAGTGGAAGGAGGATCTAGACCTTGTCACTCTTCTTCCTTTGAACCCTTCCTCTGCAAGAAGCTCCTCCAAAGATGAAGCCATTTATATGGCTTCCCAAAGGTTAATCCTAGTTGAAAGTGAATTGATTTCAAAAGTTGTATGCAACTCCTCCTGCAGGCAAAGATCAGAAAGGTTCAAAGTAGAAAACCAGATGAGAAGTAAGAAAGAAAAATGAATGATGACAACAATCCTGATATAAGTTTAAGTTGAGCATGTTGCCATATGCAGTTATGTGCTTGTAAATCAGAGTAACAGACAGTTTACCTGAGTTTTTGCCTCGTTGATTATGGTTTAAACGCCACAAGAATCAAATTTGTTCAACAAACATCTCCAACTGAGTGGTTCAGTCTTTTTTAGACAAATGAAACAATATCAGGAAAGAGACAAAAGGAGAATGATAGAGACGTTGATGGGTGAAAGGCCATGATATATATATATAAATATTAAGAAAGTTTATGAAGCTGATTTAACAAACCGAAAATGAAGTTAAGAAGAACAATTGGCATTGGCAACAAGGTAAATGCAGTGGACAAGTGAAAGGAGACAAATGAAAGAAGGAGAAGACTTTGGACATTTGCAAAACATGTTTCAGATTTGAATGTTTCAAAGACGGTAAACATTGTCGTTTCCTTCATCAATAGTTTCTGTATTTTGTATTTGCAGCCTTGCAGGCTTTAGAATATAAAAGCTATATTCATATTAATTTATGCTAATAGGAATTAGGAAACAGCATTTCTCTAGTAATAATGGAATGGTACTAACCGCTAACTGTCTTCAACTGCCACCTTTTTCTCACTGGTCCCACCAAACTGGCTTTCCACATTGTCTAGGTTACACGTGGAAATATCATGTCCATTGTCCAGTCTCAAACCATAAAAAATAAAAATAATCAAATTGCTAGTTGGTAGAGTATACGGAAGACGAATACGATGCAAGACCGGCGTCAATAAGTATAAAATAATCTTTATCAAATACGCAAAGCAATAAAATTTTCTCTCAAAATAAAATTTTTTTAAAATGACTTTTTTTCACTTTCTTCTTACATTTATCTCTTTTTCAATTGGTTAAAAAATAATGTGAGATTATTAGTTTTTTTTTACAGATACAAATATAAAGTTTAATGAGATTCTTTGACCCTTTTCACTTTTTAAATTTAAATTATCGTTAATTAATCTTGATAGATAATTTGTCAGTATTGAATTTTAAATGATAGTACTTTTAAAAGTTTTATTAAATAGGAGCACTTTTAGAAGTTTGTTCTCATTTTATCATGCCAAAAATCTTTTTCAACATCAAGCATTTGTAATTTTACTTCAACATTAATTAAAATTTTAAACTTTTCATAATTTTTTTTTAATTTAAAATTTTATCTTTATTTAATTTATTTGTTGCAGTAAATTATTTATTAATTATAATATTTTATTTTAAAAATAATTTAATTTAAAAATAATCATGCAGCATATTTATTTAATTATTTTTAAAATTATTTTTATTTAATAATTCTGTACAGAGCAAAGTGCACAAAAAAATACTAATTTTTAATATAAAGTTAAGTGTTAAAGCCTTAAAGGCAAGGGTTATTGGCATAAAACATGAAATAAGCAAGAATAGAAATACAAGAAATTTAAATTTGTTTTACTCAGTTCCACAAGATGTTTCAACTCTTTCTTTTATTGTACTCGAAACGCTTTGATCTAGCAAGACATTGATAATACCAAATATGAGCAAGACAAAAAAATAGTTGCACAAAAAGAAATGTACAAAATAAAACATTTAAGTTTTTATTGGTAGTCATTGCTATTCAAGAGTAAAAAGAGAGTCGATGTTGAAACTATTTGAAAAAACGAACTGTCACTGTTATTTGTTGTTTTTAATAAACAATTTAAAAGCATGTTTGAGTTATGTTCTTAAAAAGGATAAAGCAAAAGACAAACGTTTAATCCCTAATCTAAGAACCAACCTACTAACTTAGACCCTTTATAAACCAAACCGAAAATTTCCCTTTAGAATCAGGTCAACTCAACTAGGCCTGTGACACGCTCTCCCCGAGTCCATGATGCCTCAGCTGCCTTTACCTTCAAGAATAGGGGTTGAGTTTGAGGAAGATTGGGAATGAATGTAAGAGCAGGAAAAGACTATCCTATCCCAATTCTGTCTAATCCAAATAAGAAAGTAAATTTATAATGTACATACAGTAAAAATGGAAACAAATAGACCATTACGTAAAAGCAATATCATGTCGCGGACACTTAAATTTTGATCTCGACAATTAAATCCGCTCATCTTTCCAAACAATATCGGTATCACTTTTAGTCCATAGTCAAATCGGATTTAAATCCTCTCATGTAATACTTCTCTCCCTAACGTTATTGCACACCAAAAAAGCAAGTTCAATGGATCCTATTATAGTTGTTTTGTCGGAGGAAGAACATAAACGGATCAAAATCCCTTCTAAGATGTGCATCGCTTGGAGCTTAAATATGAAACTAAGGCTGATGAAAAAATATATTAGCGTCAGATGGTGTCGAAGAATACGAAAGGTGAAGCCAAATTCAAACCAAATTAACTTTAATGCTTGACAGTGATAATCCAATGCTATATCGAAAGCGATGCGTAGAATGTGTCTATTCGTAGCTACAACTACTTACAATTGCTACAGAAAATCTTGCTGCAGCTAATAGTGCAACCAAGAATTTCGAGCTCCTAATAATTAAGCCTTCAGATGGACGAACTATTCTTTGTTGCGAGAAGAGCGCTCCTTCCGTTGACCCCCGAGAATACGAGAAATTTGCAAACCTCTGCTGAATGCTTGGTTGAACAGCATGCGGGTCTGAAATTCTGAAACAAATGGAAACCAGGCCAGAAAAGCAACAGGAGTGAACAAAAGCAAACCCATTACAATCTCATAACCGCGAGCAAGAGTTTTTACTGATCCCCAAAACCCAGCCCGGCGTACTACAGGTTTTAATGCTTGAGCAATCTGCAAAATAAATAACGACAAAAAAATCAAAACTAAAAACAAGTAGATGGCAACAAAGATAATGCAATATATGCTCCAAGATACTAAACAAGAAACTTAAGAAAAAAGAGAATAATCTCAGAACCACACTGAACTAAAATTATATTAAACATTGCCCTAATTTGTTATCTATCACTTTCAAATCAATAGTTAACGAATTCATGTCAACAAGTTCAGTCTCTGGCTCACATTCAAACATTTTCCAAAATAGATAACATGATCTGCAATGTTATGGGGATCTTTACCCCCTCTTGATAGCCCTTGGTAGTTCCAAATTTTTTCACAAATTAATAAATATAAAATTATCTGGGGATATAACATTCCCCTCCAAAAGAATATTCATTAATTTAGTAGGGAAGAAGTGGAAAGAGAATTCACCTGCAGCATTCCCCAACCAGTTGGCATGAAGGCAAGAATGCAAACAACTATGTCCTGCAATGTCATATGCGGAAGGGCAATCAAAGTGACAAGAATCGAGACAAAAGTGAGGAATATCAAACCCTTGATTAATCGGAAGACAAGTTGAAAATTTGCACTGAATTTACGCCTCCCAACAGACACCGTCTGAGACAACAAGGAAAGCAAAGGATAGTGTTAATTTTTTTTAGGAAAGAAAATGAACATAACCATCTTTATTTTAATTCAGTATAAGAAAACTCATCCACACCCTACATCAATGAGAAAAGGCTCCAGTGAGACAATAAAATGTGTACATTGTGGAAGCATACATACATGTACAATTATAACATGCTCGTAGAAAATACATTAGTAGGTTGTTACTAACCTTCATCACAAACAATATTACAAATATCACCAACCATGAAATGCCATAGATCTGTTAGCCACAGAAAGGATATCCATCATTCCATTTAACTTGCCAAATTATAATCAGTAGATATAAGAATGCAGGAAAAGGGAACATAGGTCAAAACTTTACCAGAAAACTTTTTTGGCTTTTCTTCGTAATATTTAAGTGGTATACAAGACCATACTGATAGATAAAAAATCGCAATGATAACAATATTTCCACTATGATTCCCCGCATTCCTGAATATTGGAGATGTTCTTGTTCTTCTTCCCACCAAGATTCCCAACTTTTTTCGGGTGGTACACCTATACCCCCTCGATTACTAATCCATTTATTCCAATCAGTCCAATCATCAACAATTTTTTGCCATTCAAACCCAGAAGGATTGAACAAAAAGGGAGCAAACAGCCAGGTACCCACCATAAACCACATTGATATGGTAATCAAGACATATGCAACAGCACTTCTGTAAGTATGACCAAAAATTTGATATACAACAAGCAATATCATGAGCTCAATACCCTTGACAAAGTGACTACGAGAGTAAAGTCTATAGTTGTCAGCAAACTTAGCATGGAAAACCACAAACCCTCGACCAGTGGGTCTATATTTTGCACCTCCATGAAGCAATGTTCTACCAAAATAGTGAGTCTTTGTCCCAAGCGAAAATGTGAAGAATACTGGGGCCAGCTGTAGTTGCATTAATATGAACTCACTAAGTGCAGTTCGAAAGCCCCTTTCCAAACCGATTTCCATCAACATGGGCAAGGCCATCAAAAACCCAATTTGAACAAATGACTGAGAAGCAAGAGCCACTTGAAGAGGCTTATTGTCTCGAATGGCTTTTTGGGTGCTCAGACCTTCTTCAAGCCCACTGAGAACAAGATAGAGGCGACCATATAGGAATACATATACAGTGAGCACAGTTATCTGCACAAAAATGGAAGCAGGGGGAAAAGAAGTTCAAAAGCCCAAGATATAAAAGCTTAAAAAAATGAGTCTAGTTTACACAGTACCCCCCCCCCAAAAAAAAAAAAAACTGCCATATTTGCTCCCTTTTTGATCCCAATAGGTTCCTAGTAAAAAAAACAGACTACATAATATGCAAGTAAAAGTAACTCTGGCAATAACATACAAGAGTGCTGAAATAAAATCCAATTGTGGTGAAATAACAAGACAACATTCTGAAGAAGTCAAAACGGTGCCCAAGTCGGTATACATCTCGACTTAGTGTTTGCTCTCCATTGCCATTAGCTATTTTAGCTTCAAACATAGAAATCTGATTGAGACCCACATCTCTTCCCTTCCCTACTTGTATGTACTCATGATGAGTAACATTTCCTTCACGGAGTGTGGAGTTGAAGCCTAGAAACAATAAAAAAAAAGTCCAATGAAGATACAATTATATACAAAAAAATAATGAGGAATCAAAAGGCACTGTACCAGCAAAAATATCTTCACTTAGATTGATAACCTTGGAGGCTTTACTGACACCCCCTCTTGTCAGGTGAAACAGCCTATCAAAGACATCAGGATGACCATAATGGAAACGAACCCTACATAATAAACAGGAAAGAAGGAAAAAGATCAGACATTTCTATTTATTTTTAACTACTCAGACTGCCCAAGAAAATGATAACTTAGACCTCCTGCAGAAATCTGATGTATTAATTGGTAGACTGTAGACCAAAAGTCAGTCAAAAGCAGTGCTTTAAATTAAAATAGAGAGTAATTTGTTACTCCCCCATTGACAAAGAACAAAACCCAAATCTGTAATAAAGTCAATCCACCAATTTCAGACAGTTTTAATATTCATTTTATGTTTATTTTTAAAAATTTCTTTCTTTCACAATATGTATGATTGCAACTTAGCAATTCTCTTATATTAGAAAGTAGTGCATTTATTCCAAAGTTTTGTCCACATTATCCTTCATCTGAAACAGTAGAACAACTTACTTCAGAGGATTAGCCAACAATCTCTGACCAATTGTCACAAAACTTGTCTCCTGATTTGACATGAACCATGCAAGGGAAGAAACACTGAAACCAGAGCAAGACAAACTCAGAAACATAGAAATTATGTCTAGTTGCAAATAAACAAAAATGGATTTACCTTCCAGTAAATATATGCTCCCTAAGTCCAAGAATACTTGGGAACCGAACACCATCATGCTTCTTTAGAAATTCTTGCAACAAATTTCTCATTTTCAAAGCTTCTTCCATGTAGTTATCCTATAAATGGTGCAACTTCAGCACATGCCATAAAGAGACCTTACAATGATGAGCTCTTTTCACATACATAACCATTAACCATCATACCTGGTTCATATCTATTGTTTGCAAGCCCTCTCCACGTGTGAAAATTATGGCATGATTCTGATTTTCAGGCTTACCCTCACCCAAAATCGCTGGTCCAGGAAGCTTTATTTTATATATGACCTGATTCAGAGAATCAACAGAATATATTATTAAGAACATAAATGATAGTTTAGGCAACAGTTAAAGTCAAGAATTGCATTTAGTTCTATGGAAAGAGAAAAATAGAATGATAATTCTTTTCTTATCTTGAATTAAATAAAACAACGGTGTCATTATATAAGTCAGAGTATGTTCAATTTTATTCTGATGGAGTGTGTTAGAAAGAAAAAGATGTTTCTTCCAAGCTACAATTAACTAAAAAAGAAATCATTGTTCCTTGATACAAGAGCTTATTTATGTTTAAACAAAAGGAAATTTTATGATGTATAATGCTCACAGAGAAAAAATATATCTTCATGGTGAAGCAATGAATCACCGTTTTTCATCACAATATTTCTGAACAACATATACTTGACTTAGTGCATTACTGTTAGGTAACCGGTAACCCACATTAGTAGTTACAATATGTCAGTTACCCATCAGGAGTTAGTTACAATATGTTGCATGCTATCTATAGATAAGTATAAGGGTTTGAGGAGGGAGATCTTGTCAATTGTGTGAGTTAGGGCCTTTGGCTTGGGAGGAACAATCCCTTGAAAATTTTCAGTGTTTTATCCTAGTTAATTGGGGTTCACCCCTAATTCTTCTTAATAAGATATACAGTTTCTGTCAGTTGTCAACACAAGTGAATTCTATGTTAAGTAGGGCTGCCAAGGGCTACCTAATGAAATTATGGGGCAAAGATAATCAAGCCACACAAGCATATTTCTACAAAACCACTATTCGTGAGAGAACAAAGCGCCGACAATAGTCATTTTGGTCCCGCAAAAATGTATATTTGTTTTATTTGGTCCCTCATTTTTAATTTTTTCCAGACAAGTCTCCCAGAAAATAAATTTTTGTTACAAAATGGTCCCTTTCATTTATTTTTCACATTCGGTCCCTCAAAATATCATGAGTTTTCCATTTAGAGCCGCATTTTAAGTAGACCAAATAGGAAATTCATAATATTCATGTGGGCCAAATGGAAAATTTGTGATATTTAGAAGGACCAAATGAAAATTTTCAAACTATTTAAAGGGGTCAAATGAGAACCAAAAATCACAAGAACCATCTAGTAAAGAACATATTATGGACTTGTTTGAAAAAAAATAAAAAAATGAGGGACTAAATAGGGAAATGCAATTTTTAATGACCAAAAACTTAATTAAGCCAAAGATGTTCCGACTTGAGGTGATGGCTTAAAAATGTGTTTTAAGATGGGTATTAGTCAGCAGTCAGCTGGACATATGTTGATATATTCATACAATTAGATGACTCCAATTTCAGCACCTCCTTTTTATTCTGCAACCTAAACATGTTATAGGATTGAATGAAATCAATCCTCTTTCGAATTTTACTCAAGACTACTTCAACGGTGCTTCCATCCTTCACATCAGAGGGAGTAGGGATAGAGCAACCTTGCAACATTCCTAGTTTCACGGTTCCTTTTTGTATATATATTTCCTCTTTGTATAGGAATTCCTATCATCCATCCAATTGGCATTTCCCTACTGTCAATTTCTCCAATCAAAACAAAACCTCACTAGGAGGGAAAAAGTAGCAGTAACACACATTTATAGGCCTCATTTATCAAAATCCAAATACCTGATCCAGATTCTGCTCAGGCTCTGAAGAACTACTGGATTTTGGCATAGCCTTCACCAAGCAAGAGTAGTAAACCTTATTGATCTTTTTCTTAGAGTCTTTGACAGGTTCCTCTACCTCATCAATGTAGGCAACTCGAAGTGAAGGATATCTGACAAATGAAAATATGTAGACCAATTATTCAAAAACAATCTATCAATTTATACAATATATAAAGGAGAATGATTCTCCTACTTGCATCCATGCTACATTAATTGTTATCCTGCCTAATTAAAAGAATTTTTTTGTTAAATAATTTCTGATCAAAACAAACCATCCTACCTTCACCTTTCCCCATCTCCAATCATCCGACCCTCCCCTTTGCTCGCAAACCCATCAAACCAGAACATGTAATTTAAATTGAAGAGACAACAGACCAGACAAAAAAATATTATTAAATAGCTTCAAAAGTTGTAGGTTTATATATTACATGAACTATAGGTTATGTGAATAAGAAAGCAATCTGTAATACTCTCACATATGTGTCAAATTAATGATTAAAAATAAAATGTTTTTGAATGTTTATTGTCCTTGAACACAGTGCGTAGTTTAATTGATTATTTTGCCATTAGGTTTGTGTGAATCTTATCCATTGAGTGTTACAAGAAGGTTGTTGAGGAAAAGCTTCAATTCATTACAATCCATGGTGATGTAAATTGATGAAGGTAAATTCTTATGAATAGGTGTTGCACAAACTTACAAAACTAATCCTTTCCTTTCACAATCAAACATGAGGTGGAACACTTTAAGAATGTAAGGGATGGAAGTACCCAAATAGTTTCTTTCTTTAATCAAATTACCCCTCATTCAGTCACGTAGTCTTCTAAAACATTACCAAGTTCATATAATAACACAGTTCATCGAGACTTTTTAAAGTTGTATAAATATTCTAGCATAGTCATTTGTATGTTCAACCACTTTTCTTAATAGTATTTTCCATGTAATTTTCTTTATTCACTCTAATTCCTCAATTGATGCTTTCTATGTTAATACTTCACAATGGAACTCCCGTCCATTTCATGTTTAGCTTTTTAAGTTTGAAGTTGTAGAACATTTCTACAGGAAGTGAAATCTTTTTTGCTAGTAGCAAGCTGTAAAGGGCAACAATTGTAATAGTGTATTTTATTGTAAAAGAAGTGTTGTGTGATTAATAAATAATAATGGCATATGAAAAGTTAGTGAAAGCTCATTTTAGCCCATGCATTGCACAGATTCTCTCACCTGTGTTTTTCAATTTAAAGAACAGGCAAGCGTTAAGGCAGCATTTGGCCTAACTATTTTAAATCTTAAAAGCTACACTAAATTTAAATAAGAACTTTAAGACTAAAGTTAAAAATGCTTTGGTGATTTTATGATTTTCTAGTTGGTGGCATGCTGTTGAGTCTTGGGGATTTGGAATTAAAAAAAACTCCTAAAACTATCTTTACCTAAAAGCTCTTTCGATTTTGGTTTACTAGAGTAAAATATAAGCTCCTTTTATATACTTTATAGAGTTCCTGTATGCAGCTTCTCCTTCTAAAGAGAATAAAAACTCAAAATTAGTTGGGTTAAACACTACCTATTATTATTAAAATTACCAAAGCTCCAAAGCTTACCTTGTCATAAGCCGTAATATGTCCTGTGCACGAGCAGAACCAGATCGCTTGTCAATGCCATATTGTTGGCATGATACCACATATGTGAATTTCATATCAGCTACTGCTTGACATTGTGTCCACAATGACCTTCCCCCCCTTGAATTGTCATCCAAATTTTCTATGGCTTTATAACCTTCCATCAAATCTGCCATTTGTAATATTTCAGCCATACAAACCCAAAAAAAAATAACAAAGTTTAATTAACAACAAACTGATAACCAAAGTACATGCACATGCAACAAAAGAAATTTCACTTTATCATCCCCAGGAGAAGGAATTGTTACCTTCGTCATTGGCCATGTCAAGAAAAGCCTGGAGTACCAAAGCTTTTCTATAATACATCATACCTCTTACTGCATCAAGAAGAATACTTCAGTCGATCGCAATGATAAGTTACATTCTAAACAGAGGCTAAAATAATTCTATATAGAGTAAATAGCAAATATATAAGCATTTGAAAGTGCATTGTTCCAGCTCGCGCACACGTGTGTGTGTATGTGTGTGCATGCAAGAAAGAGAGATAGAGAGAACCAGTTCTAGTCAAAGTTTGCCCTCTATATGATGCCCAAAGACGAAGTTCTTCTACCAACTCATCAGATTCACTCCCTTTAATGTCCTCCTCAGTAGACTTCACTCGCTGAAGAAAGTTGCTCCACTCATCTGTGCATTGATAATCAAAAAAGGGAATGAAGAAATGCATTAGATTGTCATCAATTTTTCACATTTATGTAACAAAAGAGATTCGGGAGTATCGATGAACCAGGAAAAATCTTTTGCAAGTAGAACAGTATTGAAACACCATCTTCATTTTGTGAATCCAAATCATGTAAGGAGAAGAGAACCTCTTCTGTATAGTATGGTGTTAAAACCCTATAACCAAAATCCAAAATAACCAAAAATTAACAGAAGACAAATACACCAAAACTGGGGGATTAAATAGTTTTAAATAACACTTGACCTAGTGCATATACTCAATCTATTAATATTTTTTTATGGGGTAGAACTTCAAGCAGAAATACTAGAAAATAAAATTCTGCAGATTTTAGCCAGACACACTTTAATAGATAATAGCTCTGACTCTTCCTTGCCAATCCTCCCCAGAAATATGAAAACTTTGAGAAACCAAAACTAAACGTTCAATTCTATCAAGTGTTGCACAACATTAGAACATTCCATAAACTTTAACAACTAGAACTTAGTGCTCCATAAAATTAGAATGTTAAATGCTTCACATATCAACTGATTAAGTATGCATACTGTGAAAAGTTAACAAAATCTCAGAGCTTTGAATCTCCAAACAACAAGAATGCAGGGAACAAAGGATTAAGATAATGCAAATCATGTATTAAGAGGAGAGATTTCTGCAATCTTTAACTAGAATGATTCACAAATTTCAACAACAAAACATGGCACAGGATTTGGGACTAAAAGAGAGCTTACGAGAATGAAAGCATGTTGCGAACTTTTGGTGCCATAGGCATGTCCATAAACAACGAATTTGAGAAGAAAGAAATGCGCCTTCTGGCTTCTAAGTTAGAAGGTACATCCATGGCAGACTCTTTTGTTGTAAGCAGCAAGTAAAGTCTTTTAATCTACCCAAAAAAAAAAAGTAAACAAGTCATTAAAAGTGCACTTCACTGTTCAAACTTTAAGCAGAATAATACCATTAGTTACAAACCTTCTCTGTCCAAGCTGCTGTAACTGGTTCAATTGGAAACTTGATAGCTCCTTCAGATGCAAACAATTGGTGCTGTGGCTCTGGCTCAAGGTGAAGCATCCCCTCGTGTCCAGAACCACCATGGCTTGAATCTACCAAACTACTGAAACAATATTGATACAATCAGGGAAAGGACAAAAAAGGTTCTCTCTAAAGATGGAGACACAAAAGAATCTACGCATGCATCACCTGAATATAGGATCCTGATCCTCAAACATTATATCTCTAGTCACAACCTCCAGCATGTCTTGGAATAGAATCACAACTTGGTCTCTATCTTTTGGATCATTTTCCAACTGCAATAATTTAAATAACTGGGTAAGATTTTGACAACCATGCTAGAGAGAAATTAAATGTACCAAATTGCATAAGAGTTCTGAAATATTACCAAATATTTGATTAGCTGGACAAACTGTCCATAGAGGCTAGGAAGTGCACTCATTCTGAATTCACTTATCACTGTACCTGTCTCAATATGTTTGTCTACTTCTTTGAACATGGCCTCTATAAACCTGAAATGATCGATAACAACAAAGTAAAAAATGAATCAGAAAACAAAGAACCTTTCAGAAGACAGTTTGAGTTTTGAACTTGATCAGATAAACTGTCAAACGTGATAAAGCTAGCTGTTTCCTATGGTCCAATATTTGGAGCTAGGTGGGAATATTACACTGGAACATCACTCACAAAGTACAACTACTTATATAAACACCTACATCAAGCAGCTTCAAATAACTTACGGTGTCTCTCGTGCCCCTTGAACCAAGTGCATAATAATGCTCTTAAAGGAAGCATAGCACTCACGAACAGCACAAGACATGTAGTTGTCAGCTGCAATTCTCTTTTTCAGCTCTCGATCCTTTCCATTGCTGTCCTTAGCCATATCTAGTGCAATTGGAATCTAAAGAGCATGTGGGCCACAAACACAATTATTGAATGATTAGATGGAAATGATAGTAGCAAAGTCTTGTATCAAAGTGACAATAAACAAACCATGCTAGCAAGTAGAAAGGGGGGCCATTGTATTAGATCCAATTGAGTATCAGCCCAATATGGTACAAGCAAAAGGTCCATTTCCCTGAATAATATAACCACCTCAGCACGCAACTTTAGAAAAATACAGCTGCCTATCAAGATAGAGAGCAGGTAAAGAACTGTAAACAAAAAACTTTCCCTCACATTACCTATCACTAATAAGATCTTCCTCTCTGAAACTAGTAATTATTTGGTTCCACAACTGTGCAAACCTTGCTGCTTCCTTCTCCTTGTTAGATTGGATCTGTATCAATCAGCCAAGGCAATGTATTCCAAAGTTACAAATGCTCAAATTTTAAATTACAAGCTCAAGTAAGTGATGATAAACGTGAAACAGTAGACCTGAGCAAATCTACGAGATAAAGTGGCTTTTAAGCCTTTTTTCTTTGGCTCATTTGTTTCTTCTGGAATCAAACTGGCATTGAAGGCACCGGGCAATGATTGAAAACGAGACCTAAGCATTCCAAGTGTTCGTATCTGAAACACGGATAAGCAGTGATGCATAAAAAAATTTATTTAGAAGAAATAGATATTGTATTCAAGAGTCATTGTTCTATACATAAAAGCCTAGAACTGCCCAAGAGTTATAGTCCTGTAGTTAATTAAGAACAGAAAAGTTCAATCCCATAATTAGGGGTCTAATCAATTGATGGAAGACCAGAAGTTTGTCAGAACAAGATTGCTATATGTACTGCCACATAATGTTTAAGTACTATCCAACAAGGAAAGAAAATTTGGCCAAAACAAGCAACAAGAGGGAAGGAATAAGAATAAGTATATCTATGAAAGCAGCAATAACTTCAAGCTTCTTAAAATTCCCACCAAATTACATGGATAAAATAAAAATACTTAATTAACAAGAAAAATATAAGTTCCTTCCAAAAGAAATGACTATAAAAGTGATAATAGGAGTGTGGACAATCTACTAACCTCCCCAAGCCGACGAAAGGCACCATAAATTCCACCAAATAAGGTTGAGAATATGGCATACCAAATTTGAGTATCCATAAAGTATACCTGAAAAAAAAAAAAAAAAAAAAAGTTACATGATCATACTACTGATATTAAAAATAAGATGCAAGTGAGGTACATCATAGACCCACACCAGAATAATTGGAGCCCAAAGTGCAATTACAACGCCAATATTGTTCCTAGCTGCAAAACACAAAACCACTTATAAAATCTTCTCTAAGAAAATGAACTATATAACATTCTGAACATTCAAGCTTATTACCATGAGGAAAGAACTCATGCCACTGGAAAGTCGATATTTTTACACTCATTATAGCTTGTGTAGGTCCCACCAGAGGTTTTATCTAGAGAAAGAATATAAGAAGGTTAAACCAAGAAATTATGATAAAAGAGCAGTCCAATAAGATAAAAGAGAAGGTTTGGAGGATAAGAGATCCTCCTACAAAAAAAGAGATGAAATTAAATAAAATCAATTGATATTTCTAAACAAAAAAGGTATAGGTATCGGCCCATGATGTTTCATTGACACAACCCTGACAGTAAGAACACTAGTCAAACTTACACCAGTAGTTCATAAAAATAGAAAATTACACTTAAATAATTATGTTGTGACAACGAGACAAAAGGATTTAAATTAAGAAATCTCTCCCCCACCCAAAAAAAAAAAAACCTTGAATATATCCATAACCACAATTGTGAGAAATTGTGGCAATGAACATGATAAAGCATATGACCATAAGAGTCATCTAAAAGATATGATAGCTTATACTGGGTTTCAAAACAGGAAGAAAAGAAAATGCATCACCTCTATATAATAACTGAAAGCCAACTTCGTAATTATAAGGAGGACCCAAAACATTGTGTACCTGACATTATAAAAAATGACACATCACACATTACATTAATATCAGATGCCTAGGAATATTATACCATTCACATGAAATAGACACTTAATTTATGTTCTTACTTGAAAAGGGAAAATGTGCTCTCATGCATTCCCCTACCAACATACAAACGAGGCTGGCAATTACAAGGCATCAGAAACACTGAGTTAGAATCTAAATATCTCAAGCTGTAATGACACAACATTGTCCTTATATGTACCAAACAGAAAAATACAGTAAGAGAAAAAGGGTTGGATTACCATCTACCTGTGACCACCACATCATTAGCATCACAATTCTATAGTTTGACCTTTCAAGATGCCGCCGAATAAAAGGGATCAGAAAGAATATAGCAGCAAGCATATTCGGTGATAGGTAGACAACAACAGCCAAAATAAACAATGAAGGAGCACTTGAACCACTTCCAAACCAACTTTTAATGGTTTGAGCAAACCCAGGAGGATTATCCCATGTATACGCATAAGTAACTGACAGAACAATCACCCATGCTGCAGCTGAAACAACTTTTAGAATGTATCTCAACTTAACATACAGCGACATACTCCGTTGGGCTTTCCAACTTAGGATCACATCAAGAACAGCTGCCCAAGTGGGGGAAAAAAGATTAGCATAAGTAACACCAGTTTATGAAATGACAAAGCGTTCCTATTCTTATACATGCTACAGGAAATTGGCTATTACCTACCTTGACCAAGCTTCAATATAGCTGCTGTTATAAACACACTCAACACCTTCTTGAACACATCACCATTAAAGATTACAGTTGGATTCCCAGATCCATTCCAGGCAACAATAATCATAGCCTAAAAGACCAATTGACCATTTTCAGAGATTGATTCTATTTTGCAAAGCATTAACGGGAAAAAATGCTCACATTTAAGGAGCAAGAAAACGCAGAAAATATTTAATACCTGTAAACACAGAATGAAAAAACTCCACATACGGTCAAAACTTCTGAAAATATGCCAAAATGATCTTATCTCAACAAAATTCACTTTCCCAACCCATCTGTCTTTGTTAGGTGGCTTGTCATCCTGTACATGCAAGTTACAGCAAGGCTTAAGGGCACAGCATTATGTATAACTATAATCATTCCAAGCATAGAGCTAGTGCATATAATGATTTTGTTTCTTGAAAGAAAAAAAAAAAGATTGTCTAACCAACATATCATTGTATAAATTATCATTTCCAGTCCAAATAACAGCATACAAGGAAATTTCTACAAGATTTTTCTGTTCTGATAACTAAATCATAAATAAACACCAAAAGAAAATCAATCTTACAAAATAGAGTATAAGAGTGCCTTCTTAATCGGGCAGGAGAGAGTTTAAAGCTACAATATGGTCAATGAAAACTACACGTTTCCATAATATGCTCTCTCATGATTTGATGTGATCGAGTTGCCAAATGTTTCTTATGATCATTTAATACTCCATAAATGCGGATGGCAAAACAAAACAATGCTAATATATCACAGTATGCCATTGCTAAAAATAAAAGTTGAGAAGCCAATTTAAGCAAATATGAATTATTTGAGGACCAAAATGGTAGTTTCTGTTAAAAACCATCATCACATTAAATGCAAAAATTTGGACTTTTGTCCCAAAAGCTGGACTTCATGAAAAACCTGAAGCCTCTTGTCTACCAATTACCAAAACACCATTAACAAAAAGGCACATGAATTTAAGTCCATCATCGTTACATATGGAAAACTCTACATACAAACAAAAGCACAAGTAAAATACATTAAATAGTAAACAATTGAGGAATGCTCAATCTCAAGACTCAAGCCCCTAACAGATAGTCAGAGTAGAAGTAAGGCTGACTCTTTACTACATCCACACAGGAGAAATCATTATCCCAGTATGCTCTGGCACAAAATCAACAGCCGATAATGATTTCAATGGAACAATTAAAGATTTGAATAAAGATTGGGAAATCATTGTGCATCAATGCCTCATAAATCTTAATTTCTGATTCTTCAGTCTTGTTGTATTGTTTTCTTTCATTTTCATTCTTGTGGAGTACAACTTATCCTCCTCTCTATCTCTCTTCTTTCTCAATGATCTATTGTTTTATCCCAAATAATAATAATAATAACTATCTACAAATGACCTGGAGCTATATAAAAATCCCAAGAGACTGATGAACCCCATAAGGATTGCAGCTATTTTCAAAATTTCAATGAGCAGGAAAGTGATGAATCCCCATAAAAACTACATATGCAATATCATTTTAGAACGTTTTAAGGAAAAGTAAATTCTTATAGCCAACCTATGCAGAGAAAATGAAAGATTAATAATTAATACTTACGTTAGATTTATCAAAACCCAGCTTCTCAAGAGGTTGACAAAAGAAATCAGCATCAGCACGCATTGGCCAACCTAACCGAAAACAATCAGCAGACCTACAATTATGTTGTTAAAAATTAATTCATAGACACATATTAGTGTGTGTTTGGTTCAACTTGTTTTGAAGAAACAATTGTTTATTTTTGCTAGCTTTCTGAAAGATATACTGAAAAGTAAGTGATTAATTCCCAGAAAATAGTATCCCTACCAAACTTGTACTTAACAATGTATACAAGAAAAAAGTAAACGAATTAATTATACCAGAAATATTCATTTAAATCATCATAGTTCCTCCATTGTGAATGCTTAGACCTTCCCTTTTTGCTCTGTGCAGCTTCCTTTTGAGCAAAGAAATATCAATTTATTTTCATATTATCAACGTGAAAAATGAAAGAAAAGAAATTTTTGTGTGATGGAAACAAGCCAAAAAGGAAAAGGACAAGAAGGAAATAAAAATGGGAGAAAGACCTTAGCAATCACGTTATAGATAGGAGTGACCACTTTCCTTAGAAAAGCCTCCTCTTCACCTCCATATGCTGGCTTGACATTCTCTCCAGTCATTGGACTGACATTCCCAGCAAGCATACCATACAATTCAAAAGCCATCTACAGAAGCCATAATGAAAAGATCCCAACACACCAATATTTGACAAAAGTAAGTTACCATCAAAAAGTTTCATTTAATACCAACATGGAAAAGGCCACAATGTGAACAAATGCCAAAACCCTAGGAAGAATGCACACACATTGTCATATAAACAGTCATGAAAGGAAGATTAAGCAACACCAGGAAACAAAATGGCAAAAATATCTATATGTAAGAACTTAATCTTCCAATACAAACAGCATATTATGTATCACTAGGATACCAACAGACAACAACAATTAAAAAAATATCTTCTCAGAAAAAAAAGTTTACATGCATTAGTTTTATAATGTGCAACCCATGCAGGATAGGGAGATGTTGATCCTCGAAATTTCCATCTTGCTTAGGTTTAAACACCAACAAAGCATAAACATAAGCTCTCCTAAAACTTATTCTAGATAATTGCATTTAATTGCAAATTCATCTAACACACCACCACAGTCCCACTCAATGGTGGAATTCTGAAAGGAACAATTCCCAACCAGGATCCAAGAATACAGCTTCAAAATGCATAGCCAAACATTGAACACCAAATAAGTCACAAAGATGAGAGGAGAGAGCATTGAACAAAGAAGGGGATAAGAAAAACAGTGAAGAAAAAGTGGGGTTTTGTCATGTGTCTCAAGCAGCAAAGCAGAACAGAAATAGAGATGAGAGAAAGGGGTGTGAGAGAAAGGAAGAAGAAAAATGCAGGGAAAAGTGAGGTTAGGTCTGAAAACAGAGAAAACTATTTTACCCTTGAAAAAACCTAAAGGTTGTCATCATAAGGACAAAAAGGAAAAATGAGCTTATTTCTAAAAATTAGAAGTTTTTTTTACCCTTAAAAAACCCTAAAATTTTGAAGGTATAAAAGGAAAGTTGGTATCTTTCCCTATGGTGGCACTATTGTGCCAAGAATACAGCCGCTCTGGTATGCCAGATCTGTAGCAGCCGAAGGCGCTCTGCCACATACCACCGCTATTGTGCACTATTGACAACTATGGAAACAACAGATTACACAAGCAAAATAGGCAAATAAATGCAGCAGAATAAGTTTGTTATTTTTGTTCCTAGGTGAATACTATAGAGACAGGCTCATGCAGAAACACACAAATGCAGGAATCAATTAGTTTGATAAGGGATTCAGACATCATGTATATCCAAAATTAGCTTTTCATTGCAAATGCATCAAAACATCCCTAAAATTCTGAACAATCTGAAACAACAAAAATAACAAACATTCTTGGAAATGTAAATGAACATTGTAAATAGGTTCAAGTTACAAAGCATACATGGTGATATATATAACAAAGGCATTCTGGCATGAATCTTAGATTGGCAGCTTCACCCCATATTAGAAGATAAAGACCCATATATAGTAGTTTGCGCTGCTGTACTTCTTGCTGTATGGTTGGTAACCTGCAACATTGTTGCATGCGTAATTTGCATATTATTCATACATGGATGAGCATCTAATTTTCCTATATTCATGCATTTAGTACTCATTATATATAGCATGCATTTGTTTGTTAGAAACTTTAATCACTTTTTGTCTGCTTATCTTGTAGGTGGATGAATTTCGAAGAAATATGCTATTCTTTTTAAGGGAAGGAAAAGCATGAACCCCCCCCTCCCCCCCAAAACAAGGAAAAGCAAGGACTAGAAAAGTTGAGGACCCAAATAGACCTAAAACTAGCAATTTGGTGAAGAAAACGATGACCCAGAAGCAATCATGACCAGCCCTTGGCCCCCACCACAGCCATGGTTCATACACAGCAAGAAACACAAATCCAGAAGTAACCATGGCCTGCCCATGGTATCCATTTAGGAATGGTTCGACTACAGAATCTTAATAAAGGGATCCAAACATGACTACACCCTTGGTGTAGTAACCACCAAGGCTGTGGTTCGCACCCTGATAATTAGTCTCTTTTACTTATGCATCCACAAGGCATAATACAAGGAGAACTGAAAAACATATATCTTTGTCGACAAAGCGAAATAGGAGAGACAAAACATGGCGCAAATTAGAACCCAGGCTCAATTAAAACTGACATGTCAATTTTATTGCATGTCAGATTAAATGCCAATATACAGATTGACACCAATACAAGTTAAACAGTAAAACTAAAAAAAGTTTCAAAATATTTCTTGTCAATGCATAGAACAGAACCAAGCTGCTAGTCCGCAAGAAGATAACTACAGTACCTTTCAACATTAGGACAGAAACACTCACCAAAGGCTACTTTTCCGATCCAAATACTTGCACCACTTTTTGTAATTCTTGAACAATTTCTTCATCACTTCTGTCAGAGCACGCTCATCCAACTAATCAAACAAAATATACTAGTCAAAAGCTGATATGATACACATTATTGTATTATACATATAATACTTATGAAAACTGAAAAAAAAAAAGGTAATTTTGATTTTTTTTTAGATTTCATTTTTGTTTGATATATTTTCACTAACAATTAGAAGAATGCAACTAGTTTTCATTTTGTGCCTCCTATCAAGAATTTCCAAAGGGAAGGGAAGAGTGAAATCAACAAAATTTAGGGCCACTTTGCTTTGAGAAACAGTTTTTGGTTTTAATTTCCTATTTTGTTGTTATTTTATTTCCTGTTTTCACAAATAATTACAAAACTGTTACCATGTGCTCACTTTGTTTACTATTTTCAAAGATGTGTAGGGATATGCAGGAAACAAGGAAATAAAAATCAGAAATACCTTGTTTTCACCAACTAGTGTACAAATCTTATACAACAGGAAACCAAAGTAAAAAAAGTGGCATATTGTAAATTTGTAATTATGTGTGAGAAAGGTAAATATAAAAAAAAAAAAAAACATTTTCTCAAACTAGGCCCTTAGTTTTCACCATTTCCTTCACAATATCATGGAAAAAAGAAACAATGTGAAAACAAGGATGTGTTTTTCTTTTATAAACAAAATCATATCAACTGAAGATGAAAACAAAAAACAATTCAAATGTCACCTTAGTTTATAAGACCATGATTCACAAATGAAGATAGATATCCGAGATTCAGGATGGAAAGTTTATGAAAGGTGTATGACCTTTAAACTCATTAAAAAAGGAACAACAAGAAGGCGTCCAGCATGAAGAAAGAAATAATTAGCTGCACAGTATCATATCAACAAAAGAAATCACCATGCACAATAACACTATAACTTGAAAACATTAAGTTTTACTATTACATGCTTCCCTTACCCTCCAAACCATACAAAGTGCATTTATATAAAAGTTTAACAACGCATTCAAATTTATGTATTAATATGGAACAGACAGAAACAGCCTTCCAAGATAAACTGTAACTAAATAGCAAAATACTTTGATGTTACAGAAGAAGGGACACAGTAAGTGAAGTGAATACTGTATAGTACCCAATACCATTGGATCAACCAACTAAAACATGTTTTCCTTCCTGTTTTAAATTTCCTTTTATATTAAACAAAAATAAATAATGCTATCTATAACAACTAAAATTGAAAATATGCATCATCAGTTCAATTAAATACTAACCTTTGGTTGCTGATCAGGCTTCGGAAATTGTCTTATGTGAACATTAGCAAGTAATAAGATCAAATGCTCTCTCTGATTTGCAACATTGTGTTTCTGCATTGCATATACAAATATATGAAAACCAGGAGGAGGCAAACAAGTTCAATTCAATAACTTAGTTATGAAGAGGTCAACTTTTGGTTTTAAAAAAAAAAGTATTAAAATATATAAATAACCTTGCGGTTCTTGATTGTCTTTTACCTGAAATCCAAACATTGACCCAAGCCAATCCAAAATGTCTTCATCCTTTTTCTTCTTGTAGTCCTTGGGCCAAGGAAGACCCCTAGTGTTACGAAGAGCATAAACAGCAGCTTGGATCTATAAAGAGTTATGAATAAGTATTCTGATTAAAAGTAAGATGCTCAGAATTACAATGTATAAAACTAAAAATCCTACCTCAGGAAATTTCATGATAGCCTGATTAGCACTGTCAGGATCAAGAGGAAGAATATTATAAGGGACTAAGATCTCTGTTTTCTCAGCAACTTCATATTGGGTCTCCAAAATCTATGACAATGGCAATAGCAAGACAATTATGAGTAATGTAACAGCATGTAAAAACCTAGCAAGTTATTTGAATATGGATAAACAATAAAGGTTCAAATAGAAGAAGGGGACCCCAACAGGAAGATAACATCTTGGGAGAAATAACCTCACGATCAACTTCCATAGACTGTGTCATGTTAACAGCCTTCAAAACCTCAAAAAGAACATTAGCCGTCTGATATGCCTTGGTAAGCTGTGCACTGAAAGAAGGACAAACTTTTAGTCATACGATAGGCTGAGAACATGTCAAATAGAATATTAAATGGAGAATCTACCGGTCAGCTTTATCAGCAGCATTTTCTAAAGCTTGGATATATTTTTTGTAGTAATGCTGATAAAAACTCTGCATCTCACGAGCATCACTTTTCTTTACCCTTCCCTTCAGAGTTGGATCATTTTCCTAACCATTATGGAACAGATTGACCCAAAAAAAAAATTAGAGAGACTTAGCATGAAATAATATAAATTAAGATACAGAAATAGAGACTATCAAATGTTATCAGAGGCAACTATTCATTCTATATTTAGCAGTTTGAATTTATGCCAATGTCATCTTGGAGCAAGATTGAAAATATTTTATCTGAGACCTCTTTAATCCAAGAATAAAACACTGCACCCTAAGTCAATCACGATTCTATGGTATCACAAATTAGAAAACAGTGAGGATCATCACATCAACAATGACTGAATTTCACTCTGAATTGTAGATTTTCCATGGTTCACGCACTGCCATACTACAGTAAGGAGAACGGGTAAGGACACACCCAACTACAGTATACAGGATGGCAACCCACATGAATGTATGAATAAAGTTGGTCTACTCAAAAGACCAATAAAGCAATGCAGAACTTGTGTATGGACGACAATAAACAGCAAGGAGATGTTTTAGGGTATAGGCAGAAAGAAATTAAGTGTATACTCTTTCAAGGCGTTGAAGAAGGGCGGTTTTGAATTGGCGAACTCCACGACCACTGGAAGTGGGGTCCAACCTATGAGCTTTCTCAAAGGCGTAAAAACGGCCTGCATGATCAGCAGCAAACATAACAACAAATTTCGATGCTAAAAATAGAAAGAACAAAAAACGGAGCTCGAAAGCGAAGAAACATACAAAGATAAGCAACCCTGGGATGCGTCTTTTCAACTTCGTTAGCAACACGAAGAATGGGAGCAATCTCGACGAGAGAGGATGGCACAACCTCACTGTCAAATATCGACTCTCCCAGGTTCCCCGCCGTCTGCGTCCGCGTGATCCGCCTCGGCTGAGGCTCCGAAGGCCCCGCTCCTCTGGACGACGACGACGATGACATTCCGATCAAACTCTTTTTCCCTCACTCTTCTTTATCCTACAAAAGCAAAACAAATGAACGCTAATATAAAAAACAGAAGCACAAAGCTGAATCGCATCGATGAAAAAAGAGAAAAAGTACCGCCGACAAAGAGAGGAAAGTGGAGATTCCGATTCTGATCAAAATTCTGGCATCTGCACTGAGGAAGTTGAAATGCAGCAGTAGCAGTGACAATGAAATGCGATGGAACCCTAGCAGAAGCAGAGAAAGAGAACCGTGTGGTGCGTGAAGGAGTAAGAGTGCAAGCTACTTCGAAGCTAAGTAAGAAAAGGAGAGTGAGTTACTCTTACTATTGCTAGTTCCGGATACAAGCGCACTCTCGTACAAAACGCTTTTCTTTTCTTCTCTTTTTCTTTCCTTTTCTTTATTGGTTATTAGTTAATTGCTTCCTGTGACCACGATGTTACTGTCTTCTGTATTCAGCGTGGGGTCACTCCCTCTTTTGCAATTTCGGTGTGCCCAAAAGGGACTAAATTTTCCTACTTATCACGTTCCTGCCACTCTTCGTGCTTCACAGCTGTGCTTTTTTCTTTTTTTTCATTTTCAACACCTAATTATTGTTATTATTTTCATTCTTTGGCAAATCAATATGGTATTAATAGGCTCAATTCAAATCTTGTAGTATATCCGGAATTTAAAAATACGTAAGATATTGGCTGAAAAAGTTGATTCCAGAGACTCCGAATATAAATCTGACGGTAGGAGAGGGTGCGGGTAAAAAGGGTATGCAAATAAACGGTGCCACGAATTAAATGAAAGCAATGGTACAAGTTTATTTAATTATGGTAAATTGATCCAACAAATTATATACTTGCTAATTGCTATCAAGGGTAGTTACTATGTCGGTGCTCCACGACTTTAGTTTGTAGAAGCCCCAAGCTTTGGATTTAAGGTGTGGTCCCTTGTATAAATCATGAATCATTTTTTGTTAGTCATTCTTGTATAAGAAACTTAAATATTTTAAAATAGCTTATTCAATTATAACTTGCAATCAAGTTCAAATTTGCAAAGAACAATTGCTCCAATATTTTTCATAAATAAAATAAAATGACTAATAAATTTTTAAAAATGTTAAAATATATATTTAATTTTTATAATTAATATTCATGTTTTGGTCCCTATTATTATAATACTATTAAAAAATACAACTCAATGAATGATAACTTTAATTAACAGTGTCAGAATGACAAATAAGTTGAATTTATTTAGTAAAACTAGTCTTATGCTATCAAAGAAGTTGTGAATTATATATTTGTTGTTGCATCTGTAAATAGTTCCATCTTAATATTGGCACCACACTTGCTGTGAAAACAAATTTTTAAAAAACATTTAGAAGAATACAACAGATCTTCTAACGTATAAAAGATTATCACGATTAAGTTTTGTATTTTTTTTCTATTATTAAATGTTAAATAAGTTTCACCTATTTAATGTCTACCAAATAAAGAATTACATACAAGATACAAGATTTGAATATCTCAAAGAGTATAGTCAATAAATACTTATTTTTTAATGCTATGGCTCGTAAGAGTTTTCTTTTTAGTTTTTGACGTGTATGGCAGTGCATAAAAATGAAAAACTCTGAACATAAAAGTGAGCATATGATGTTTGAGTTAACTTAATGTCCATTTTCTACTTGATAACTCCATCCTGTAAATAATGGAGATTACATGATAGCGGTACACTTTGATCTGAAGTATTTTCACATGTTGTTATTCTTTGTTCAGCTAATGATCTCTCATATAAAAGAAAACCCATTAGACAAAAATTTATTATTATTTTTAACTAAAAAATTATGCATCATTGACTACAAAAACATTTCGAACAGCAAACTATGTCAACAATTTCCTAAATATGTAACTGGCACCGTTTTCTGTGTCGACAGTCTAAATGTCTTTTACATTAAAATGCAAATACCATAAAGTCATGAATTAATCCTGAAAACTGGGAACACACCATAAGCAAACTGAGCGCTGGAAAATAGAAATAAACCATGCCTTAACTATGAAATGTTAAGTAAATACCCCTCCTAGGATGACTTGTCTAAATCCACATAAGTAGCCTCAACATCCACTTCTAATCTAGGAAACACATTCATACTGACTGACATATTCAGGGAGAACCTACCAATTTTACATATTCTTCTATGAACGTTGTATCTATTTCAAGAGGTCCTTGTTGCAGTGACATAACATCGTCAGTAACTTGGTTTGTTTTTAAGCTTCTCGTGATAATCCTCTATTTTTGTTTTGTATATTTATCAGCCTTCTCTTATAATTCTTAAACTAATGAAAAACAACACATTACTATTATACACGAACTTAAAAATATATATTGGATTGATTACAAATATACACTTCAAAGATAATATTTAACAATATACGAATGACTCTCAGAATCTGTGAACCTACTGAAACAGAAACTAGATTCTCACTTTCAAATTTTTCATAAAGTACTTCAATAATGTTATTCACCAATTAAGCAATGCTGTATAATTATAAAATTAATTTTATGCATTTGTCTTCAACAAAAGTAGTTAATTAATCCTAATATATAATCTACATTCTTGCGGTTTACTAATTCTAATAATTAAAAGTAGCAGCTAAAAGATTGTTATAATCATATATACTTTTGTTTTCATTTATCATTATATGTGGATACAAAAATCAATATATATATTTTAGCTAAAGAAAGCAATGGCCTTCAGGCAATTTAACTTAAACTGTTGAATGATAACCGAATGAATCGGTAGACATGGAAGAAAGTTACTTCTTTCCATTTTTTTACTTTAATAAGCTGCGATATATGTTGGACATATTATGACTTTTATAATAAGATTAAACAACAATTACAATATCTAGAGAATGATGAAAAAAGTATTCACGTTTCCATGTTCAAATAATTTATCGATTTAAATGCTTCTCATATATAAATTTTATATATACAATAAAACTTAAAGTACAATTTATTAAGTATTTTTAAAAATATTTTTAATTAAAATTTAAACTTTGTTTTGATAAAAAAATAAAAATAAAAATTATCATAAATTATTGAGACAAATTTTTAATTACAATTAAAAATAAAAAAAAATATTTAAAAAATAACTTAAAAATTGTCTTTTTATATATGGATACAAATCACATTAAATGAAATTTATCTTTTAGTGATTTTTTTGTTTAAATTTTTAGTGGGCCATGACCTAGCCCGAGTTGATCCAGCGAAGCCCAAAAATTTGCCAACATGACCATTCACCCCATCGAATAATCGTAGCACGAACAGAGGGAGTGGGTTGGAGCTAAAGAAGAACTTGTAAGTGTAGGTTTGAATTCCAATTTCCAAGTTCATCACTATCGTGTTTGTTTTTCTTTTCTCTTTGCTTCATTATCAATATTATAATTATGAATTTGTTGAATGATTATTATTGTGTACGGTGCTTCCAGTAGTGATTGGTAACGAAGATGAACCACAACCCGCAATCAAGTGAAGGAAGGCACGATGATGATGCTGCTCTCTCTGATTTCCTCTCTTCCTTAATGGATTATACTCCCACTGTCAGTTTCTCTTATCATTCACTGTTTTATTTTAATTTTCTTCTTTTCACATGTTCCTAATTTTAAACGACCCCTTTTCCCTTTATTTAGATACCTGATGAATTGGTGGAGCATTACTTAGCCAAGAGCGGTTTTCAATGTCCTGATGTTCGATTGTGGGTACCCCTATAATTATTATTCTTTTATTTTCGTACCAATGCTTATTAGCTGCTTCGCTAGTTTCAGAAAATAAGAACAAGTGGAATTGGATTTTATGCAAGGTTAACAAGTTCTTTACCATGCTTTCAATTGAGTTTCTCCTGCGGTGTGATGATTTCATACTAGTTACCCTTGAGCAAGCTGTCTCGGCTTCAATTGTTCAGATGGTGTTTGATATTGAATTTGTTTTCCATCTTTCTCTGTCTCTCTTTTAACATTAAAAAAGAAAAGATGGGTTAAGGGTGTAATTAACACCCAGAGGGTGTGAGGGAAAGTTCTAAAGACCAAAAAAGATTGGTTAATTGCATTTTGCATTCTGCTGGAGTTTGGACTTTGGACTTTTAGCTAATGCATATGAAATTTACACCTGTGTGGCAGTTTGATTAAGCCATCGTGCTTGTTGGGCTTCTTGTATTTATTTGAATCCATTTTCTTGTCTTGAGCTGATCGGACTCACATTTTCTGCTACTCTATCATGGGTTGTATCGTCCTTATTATTCTACTTTTTAATGCCTCTCATATGCCTATCATTTTGCTCTCCCTCTCTCTCTTTAGGGAGTTTTTTCCTAACTCAAGTTTTCGCAAAATGTTGAGTGCTAGATCAATCAATGTGATAAACTCATTGGATATCTCTACATATTTGCTCTAAAAATTATAGATCTCTGGATGGAGAGGGAAAAAATATGGTCTTTGAACCCAGTTATGCCATGGACCCCATCAAATCTTTTGTAAATGTTGATCTGAGAGTTTTTAAGTTGTTTAGAGATATAGAAGATATGTTATCTAAAACAAATAAAGAGATTAACAGCTTATATTTCTTTTATGCTTTCTATGCAAGACTTTAACTCCTGTCTTTATTTATGTTAATGTGTCTTGCTGTTTCTTTGTTAATCTTTTATCTAAATGGAATCCGTATGATACTGGTGACATCATTATACCTAAATCAAATTAGATCTAGGCTCAGTTTCTTTTTACTCTTGCCGAGGAATTATTTTGAATTTCATGCTGTTTATTGTTGTTTCATACTTGTAATAAAGTTGAAAATAAGTTTTTGTTGTGAAATTGACAGGGATCAACATTTCTTCCATTTTTGTTAAGTGTTATTGATTGGTTTATTTTTGCTTAAGTTGGATTCTTAGCCCTTGTTTTTCTCATCCATCTATTGTGTGATTGACTATAAATGCTTGTCACTATTTCAGGACTAGGCTGGTAGCTGTTGCCACTCAGAAGTTTGTTGCTGAAGTTGCAGGAGATGCACTTCAGTATGTTCATTTAACCTATCTTTTTTATTGAATCGTTACCTTCTTTCTTCTGTTTTGGTTTATTTTAAGTAATAACCCTGAATCTCTGCATACAGCAGAGTATATGTGCATATTAAATTTGGGAAATGTTCTTCGATAGAATTTTCTTTGTAGTTTCCCAAGCAGTATTTAATTTTTGATAAAAGGTAGTTCATGCATGCGGGTGAAGTTGATGAGTGCCTGATGGAAAATTGTTTCACTCAATGATATAATTCAATTGAATTTTCTGCACAATTGCATTTGGTTTTTGTGCTTTTATTCCCTTTTGTAAAGGTCTTTAAATGTACACACTACAATGAGAGGAAGAATGTAAATTAGAAAATATAATATTAAGGCTGTTGACTGACTCTACATGCCCCCCTCCTTGACTTGGCTTGTCCTAAATATTCAGTAGCTGACTTTTGTATTTTGAATGCTTTTTTTTTTGTGTCTGATTGATTTTGTTTCTTGGTTTGACAATTATCAAATCTAACAAGAGTGCATTACCATTTATTTTTGCTAAGTCGTAAGTGCTTTGTTATTAGGCATTTAGTTGCCCTGCCTTTCTTTCACATGTCTGTACTGGCATGATGAGTTGACTAGATGTTAACTGTAGGCACTGCAAAGCAAGACAGGCAACAATTCCAAAAGACAAAAGGGACAAACAGCAGAAGGTTTTGGACAACTTTTAATTGGTTTTGTCTATACATTCATTGTATATTTCGGGTACTTACATTTCATTATATCAGGATAAGCGCCTAGTTTTGACCATGGAAGACCTATCAAAGGCATTGCGAGAGGTAAGAATAGTTCTCTATTTTGAATGGACAAAAGTTTCCTCTCTCATCATTGTAAGTGTATAACACTTGCAATCTACTATTTGTATTCTTTATGCTTTACACAGACCCTCAAAATGACACTCCGCTATGTGTGCGTGTGTGTGTAGATCAGTTTGTAACACCCTGTTCGTCTTTTTAAGCTTTCTTTGCTAGCTAACCTAGCTATTGCATACAGTCAGCAGCCCTGGTCTTTGGCTCTTAATATCAATGGTTCCACTCCCTTTACATTCTATTGCTCAGTTGTTCTTAGCTTGTTGCTGTGTTGCAAATTTAGAGATGGCAATTGTACTGTAGCTAATACTCACTAGGCACGGTGGGTAGAAGAACTGTTTGAATTAGTTCTTTGGGTCTTTAAGTTTCCCTGTTTTTGACCCAGTCTAACCAACTGGGCTAGACTTTTTTTCTCTTTTCTGGGTGGATTCTTTCTTCACAAAGGGTTTAGGTCAGTCTCAGACATTTGACATGGGTAAACATGACCAGCTCCAGGATCCCATTCCCCATTGAGCTGGGAGAACAATGGGTAAACTCCTCTGCCAAAAGGATTCTAATCCAAGGGAATGAACTTGGGTCATCACCCCAGCAGACACAAACCATAATCACTTCTGCCATCCCATGCAGGTGTTCTGGTCCTGTTTTTGTTGCACTTTTTTTAAGCTGCTTCTGGGATCAATGCTATGGTATTAATTGAGCCAAGACCAGAAGAAAAGATATTGTTAGTTTTTCATTAATTTTGCTGGTATGTTAACATTTCCTTTCATTGAATCTGCTTATTTATCTTCTATGAACAGTATGGCGTGAATTTAAGGCATCAAGAATATTTTGCTGATAGCCCTTCTACTGGATTGGATCCGGCTACAAGAGATGAATGAGTCCTTTTTGTTTATATATGGGTTCAGGCTTCTACATTCTTGTATTTAGTAAGTAATACTACATTTGAATGCTGAATTGAGTTCAGTCTATGGACAAGTTGCTAGTTCTCTAGTCATGTGTTCTGTATCTGAAGTCATAGCCCACTGTGCCCATTTTATGTAGTTTATACATGTTGTTTTACTGGGTTGAATTTGTGTCATTCTATGTATTTAACCAGTTGCTAAATTTGTTTTGTAGGAGTTACATGGTTGCTAGTGGAATGATTTTTATGATATGATGCTCAAATTATAGCAACCTCTTTTCAACGCCGCCAAAATACTGCAATTGTTCGCTACTAACATTAAAGGTGCTTGAAATATCTCGTGACTCTGGTTTGTGGGAGTACTCTATCAGCAATGAACTAGTCTACTCTATCAGCAAGTTCCTTTATGTCGCCCTTTTTAAAAAAAAACAATGCCCGTTAGTGTCACGTTTTGAATTTTCATAAAATATGAGATTTGATACAATGCATTGGAAAAGGCATAAATGCTGATGGGTTCATTCATTTTCAAGTAATCATTTCTCAAGAAAACAGATCAAGGTATATCGTGACTTTATTTGTGAAACACTTGCAATTAGTTTGCAGCATTGTTCTCCCATTTGGTGTTGGTTTGTTATTTGTTCGCCCTTCGTCCTCCTTAAAATCAACTCTGAAGACCTTATTTATATAATAATATCGCGATTGACCTGTATCGCTAATCCAAAGAAGACTTTTGTAATTGCTTCCGTAAGTAGATGCATAATAATCAATTTTTAATAAAAATAAGAACGAATTATTCGAAAGAAAATGTTTCCAGGGTTATGTTTTTTGTTATTTATCTAACAAAACTGCCATACTTTTTTAACATTTGTCAACGATACAACTTATTATACATTAAAGTTTTAGCTTTGACCAATAAATATAAACTTCATCGTATTTTTGTTAGCTGGGAAATGGAAGAATTGGCATATCACATAATTCAAATATGGATCATATTGCATCTTATTAGTTCTCATCCACGTAATATTTAAGTGGGTAAATATGCATTTGGGCTTCTAAAATATAGTTAGATCAAAACAAAATCTAAACTTTTCTGCGATGCCAATAGAGAAATACGTGTGTAGAGATAAAATTAATTTTTTGCGACTCCAATAAAGAAATATGTGTGTTGAGATAAAATTAATCTTTTTTTTTTATTCTCTATATAATCTTTCCTCGAAGTTTTACTTCTGTAGATATTATAAAACTTTCGTAGATATTATAAAGCAAATGAACGGGTAATGTGATGCACCTAAGGTTTTTTATTATTTTTTTAGAAAAATCTTTTATTGACATTCTATTGTTGCTATCGGTTGTTTGGGCATGAATGAAGAGATATGGTAGTGGTATTATAATAAAAAAAAACAAAAGTAGCTATATGGAGTTAAAAAGGAATTAAAATGAAAAAAGATAGATTTTGTTTGGAGCACCTATAAGCAGCTTATTTTTGTGCGAAGTATGTTAGACAATTTTTTACTATGTAATCAACTTTGCATGTTATAAAATTTTGTGTTAATAACAAATAGTATGATTTAAAACTTTTCTAAACAATAAAAAGAAAAAGAAGGGAGAGAACAAAAAAAAGGATAGAGTGCAAGTAAATCTAAATTTTGCATACTCATAATTTATGTTTCCAGTCTTACTTAAATAAACTTGAGAAACAATAGTAAATATTTTAAATTTATAAATTATTTTCTTAAAGAACATGTATTTGCATAATATTTACAGTTTTATATATATATATATATAAATATAATACATTAAAAAAGTATAAAATTATGATTATTAATATTTTCTTATTATCATTGTTAATTTTTTTTATCTTTTAATTCTCTAACAATTATCAACACATAAGTAATTTTTTAAATATAAATATAAATCGGTTATACCGATATAGTTAATAAAAAAAACTAGTTTAATATAGATCTAGATTTTTAAATTTAATATTGAGGATTAAACTTATAAAATTAGATTTTTGACCAGTCCTAAGTTTAGTCACAAAATACGTCACAAATTTGTAAAATTTTAATAGTATCTTTAGACCAAAAAAAATTTTTTTGTTTCTATTAATTATTTGATTTCTCTAAGCAAAAACTATTTGATTTCTATTAATTATTTTATATATTATTATATAGAATATAAAATTTATATATATATATATATATATATTTTCAATTATTTTCCATTGGATCTTAATAAATGGTGGTACAGGTATATTACCATAAAATTTTGTTAAATGATGTAATATTATATTATATTGCATGTTAATTGTGTTTAGAACTTTCATTTGCAGGTGTGGATGGAAAAATTTTATTAGTATCGTCGGAGTTTATGTTGTATGGATAATCTAAGTCAAAATGACGTTCCACAAAGAGCGTTATCCTTGGCTGGAGTGGACTAGCGATTTTGTTAAAGTGATCATTTACCTGGATATCTTGGACTTTATTTCGCCCTCTACTACTGTTATTAGTTCCAGTTAAGTATCTTCCATTTAAATGTTTTACATGTTTTCTTTTCTAAGTCAGATGAGGAGAGTTAATCTACGTATTTCTAAGTAACATTTATTTTTTTAGTTAAATTAATATTGGTTATGCATTAGACTTATAAAACAAGACTTTTTGCTCAATCCTAAATTTAGTCACAAAATTTGTCGCAGATAGGTTAGTTCTCAATTGTAAGTAGGATTGTTATTAGTTACATAAAATCTTGATTCTTCTTGGACTCTGCTAGTGTTATGTTTCAATTAAGCATCTTACCATTTACATGTTTTCTTCCCAAAAGAGTTAATTTACGTATTTCTTTCTAAGTAACATTCATTTTTTTAGTTAAATTAATATTGGTTATGGATTAGACTTATGAAAATAGACTTTTTGCCTAATCGTAAATTTAGTCACAAAATCCGTAGAAAATAGGTTAGTGACAAATTCTTTGACAAAAATCTGTCGCAAAATTATGAAGTTTTAACAGTGTTTCCAAGCAAGAAACTTAAGAAATTTGACGTGTTAAATGACATAATATTATATTATATTGGATGTTAATCGTGCGTTTACAAATTTCGTTTGCAAGTATGAATGGGAAAGTTTTATCAGTATTGTAAGAGTTTACCTTGGATGGATAGTCTTATTCATAATGACGTTTCGAGAGAAGCGTTATCCTTGGTTGGAGTGGACTAGCGATTTTGTTTGAGTGTTCATTTATTTGGATATAATAATCAAATTTAACACTGGATACATTGAAAAAGACACCCGTTCATTAGTTCTCAACTGTAGTAAAATTGTTATTAGTTACATGAAATCTTGGTTCTTCTTGGACTTCATTTCATCCTCTGCTAATGTTATTAGTTTCAGTTAAACATCTTACCATTTGCATGTTTTATGCGTTCTCTTCCCTAAGTCAGTTGAGGAGAGTTAATCTACGCATTTCTAAGTAACATTCATTTCTTAAATTAAATTAATATTGGTTATGGATTAGACTTATAAAACTGGACTTTTCGCCCCGTCCTAAATTTAGTCACAAAATTTGTCGCAAATAGATTAGTGACAAATTCTTTGGCAAAAATCCGTCGCAAAATTGTGAAGTTTGATTGGATTACTGCAAAACAATTCTAATTATTTCCTATACCTTTATTCTTATGCATACAGATGCTAATGGTAATGTACCCTTGTGGAAGCTTTGACAAGTGGACATCAACTTGTGCAAAAAGACTTGTTAGATGCAGGAGCTAACTTGAAAACGGTAACATCGATCGATACGGAAAAGATGCAGGTGAAAATAATAATTTTTTGAGAGACATCGCAAAGTATGAGAATGGTCGTAGAACCGGTGAAGACAATTCTAATCTTGTAGTTGATCAATGAAAATTTAGGTGTGATTTTAAAAATTACATTTTTGCAGGGCTAATAGTTTATATATAGAGAAAACGCAAGTGAAAATAACAATTTCTTGAGAGTTATCGCAGAGTTTCGAAATGGCCGTAGACGCGGTGAAGACAATTCTAATCTTGTAGTTGATCAATAAAAATTTAGGTGTAACTTTAAAAATTACATGTTTGCATGGTTTATAGTTTATATGTAAAGAAACTTAATTAAGAAAATATATTGAGTATGGTATAACTGGTGTTTATGGTGGCTATGTATCATTGTTAGAGGTAAAAAGTTTATTAGCAACTCTTCATTCCTTATATAAATTAACATTCCGTGACTCATGCAAGCTATGAGAATTTCATTATGTGCAGTGACAAACATTTGATTTTTATCAAGACACCTAGATTCTTGAATGTTAATATGATTCTTTTGGGAAAAAAATAATTCACCCTAGTTGATATTGTTCATGCCATGGTGCATCTTATTAGAGGACTTGTTTGATCTATATTTGAAGATAAGTATTTTACTTTCTTTAAAAATGAAATATATTTTGCATCAGAGAACACAAGAATAACTTGTTGTGCTTAGAAATTTTGTTTGAAATGTATTCTGTTATATTTGAAGATAAGTATTTTACGTTCTTTAAAAATGAAATGTATTTTACCAGCAATTTTGCTAGAGTGTTCATTTACCTGGATATAATAATCAAATTTAACACCGGATACACTGACAAAGACATCCATTCGTTAGTTCTCAATTGTAGTAGGATTGTTATTAGTTACATAAAATCTTGATTCTTCTTAGACTCTGCTAGTGTTATGTTTCAATTAAGCATCTTACCATTTACATGTTTTCTTCCCAAAAGAGTTAATTTACGTATTTCTTTCTAAGTAACATTCATTTTTTTAGTTAAATTAATATTGGTTATGGATTAGACTTATGAAAATAGACTTTTTGCCTAGTCGTAAATTTAGTCACAAAATCCGTCGCAAATAGGTTAGTGACAAATTCTTTGGCAAAAATCTGTCGCAAAATTATGAAGTTTTAACAGTGTTTCTAAGCAAGAAACTTAAGAAATTTGACGTGTTAAATGACATAATATTATATTATATTGGATGTTAATCGTGCGTTTACAAATTTCGTTTGCAAGTATGAATGGGAAAGTTTTATCAGTATCGTAAGAGTTTACCTTGGATGGATAGTCTTATTCATAATGACGTTTCGAGAGAAGCGTTATCCTTGGTTGGAGTGGACTAGCGATTTTGTTTGAGTGTTCATTTATTTGGATATAATAATCAAATTTAACACTGGATATATTGAAAAAGACACCCGTTCATTAGTTCTCAACTGTAGTAAAATTGTTATTAGTTACATGAAATCTTGGTTCTTCTTGGACTTCATTTCGTCCTCTGCTAATGTTATTAGTTTCAGTTAAACATCTTACCATTTGCATGTTCCTTAAGTCAGTTGAGGATAGTTAATCTACTATTTCTAAGTAACATTCATTTCTTTAGTTAAATTAGTATTGATTATAGATTAGACTTATAGAACTGGACTTTTTGCCCAGTCCTAAATTTAGTTACAAAAATTCGTTGTAAATAGGTTAGTGAAAAATTCTTTGACAAAAATTCATTGCAAAATTGTAAAGTGTGATTTGAATACTGCAAATTAATTCTAATTATTTCTTGTACCTTTATTCTTATGCATACAGATGCTAATGGTAATGTACCCTTGTGGGAGCTTTGACAAGTGGATATCAACTTGTGCAAAAAGACTTGTTAGATGGAAGAGCTAACTTACAAACGATGACATGGATCGATACAGAAAATATGCAAGTGGAAACAACTTGTATACTCTTGGTCCCACCTGTCTTGTGTTATTGTTTCTTGTATTTGTAGAATCTGAAAGGGCTGAGAATAAGAGGGAGTCATTACATAATGGAACAAGAGTTGGCATTGGAAAATATAAGGTTGCAGTTGCGAAATATACGGCCTCCAAATTGAGAGGAAATCGTCACGTAATCAAACAACAATATCCACCCTTAGCAAGGGTAAGGGTTCAGAAAGAGAGGGAGTCATCACATTGTTAATAAAAATATGTATGTATATAACATTTATACATATATATACACTAAAAGAGTATAACATTATGATTATTAATGTTTTTCTATCATTGTTAAAAAAAAATTATGTTTTAATTCTCTAACAATTATACTAATCACATTAGTTATCCAAATATAAGTAATTGTAAGTTAAACATATAAAGAATATTTAAAAAAAAAAAATCATTTGGCTTATTTTATTCTAAAAAATTATGTATTTATTTTTATCAAATTTTAAGATTTTTTTAAAAAAATAAATATCTTCTCATATTGAAGTGATACCTAATGTATTATTCTTCATAAAAAAAATTAAATGTATTATTATTCAAATTATACTATTAATTTATGTCATTAATACAGCCATTTGTCATACAACAATACAAGTAATCTAATCATTAAAAATAAATTAAATATTTAATTTTTATAGATTTAATTTTCTTTTTATTTATATATGACTTTTTTTTATTTTAAAGTTTAGTTATCAAGTTATTTATTAATATTTTAATATATCTAAACTATAATATTCTCTACTAATGTAATGTAAATGGACAAAATTTTGAATATATAAATTTAACTTTTAAATTTTTTTAAAAAAATTATTAACACACTTTAATTTAAGTCTTTCATTATCATTGTGAACAAATAATATATGATATTATTCAATATTATATAATTTTATTATTATATATTTGTTATATTTAAATTATAATTTTTATTTTAAAATAAAATAATTTAATATACAATATAAATAAATTTCTGTAACATATAAATATTTACTTATTTATAATTAAATTATTATTAATAATATTTATAATATTTAAAGACATATAAACTATTTTTAACTGTTATATTTATTTTTATAAATAATTTATTTTAAAAAATAATTAAAATTTGTATTTAATATTTTTATATTTTTGTTATATTAAAAATAATTAATTTTATATTTAAATACGAGAATTTAATATATTTTTATTCTTAAATTATATGTTATATAATTTTATAAAATAAAATATGTTTTCAATATTTATAAATATAGTGAATATTTTTTTATTCCTTTAATAGTTTTAGTTTTACGAAATATTTTTTTAATATATTATAAGTCTTAATACAATATATAAAATATTTTATATTTTAAATTTTAAAATAATAAATTAAATAAAAAATATATAATTTAATAATAAAAGTTTGAATTATAATACATGATATGGTTTCAAAAACATAAAATAGATTTATTCAATAAAAGAATTAATATTTTTTATCTTTAAATTATGTGTTATATAATTTTATAAGATAGAATATATAATTTTATTTTTTAATAATTTTTTATCTTAAAAAATTTTAAATATATTAAAATTTATTTATTTTTATTATGAATTTTTGTATATATGTTATATTATTACATAAGAGTATTTTTAAATTTTATAGAATTAAATTTATAATTTTATAAATTAAAATAATATTTGAGTCTAATTTTTTTTACTTTAAAAGTTAATTTATAAATATTTAGAAATATATTATAAATTGTAATGCAATATATAAAATAATTTTATTAATAATAATATTAATATATATTAATTAGTTTTAAAATTTAAAATAATTTAATATTATTATAATTATTTTTTAATTTTATAATTATTAATTATAATATTATATTATAACATAATAATTTATTTATGTATCGTACAAGATTTTTTTCTAGTAAAATTTGAAAAATAAAAAGCGTGAAATACTTTAATGAAGTGAAGTTACTGAGATATATTAATTAATTAATTTAAGATGAATAATTAAATGACAGGGATGGGACAATCTAAGGTAATGAATAAACAGTTGTATAGATTTTTTATGATCTAACAATCATGCAATGTGAATGTCGGCTACGTACCTCTGACTAAAAATAAATAAATAAATATGGAAGAAGAAGTGTGGTGGGGTCACAAAAAATGTAAAATTGTTTTCATCTTTGGATTATTCATTTTTCAATTATCTTCAACACTTTCTTACTTTCCTCATCCATCAAACCCTAGCCCTAATCCTCTCATTCTTTCTCAAACTCACTCGCAATTTGAGCCATGAATCCATCATCGTGAGGCATAGAATGATCGACTTCGTTTTCGGCGCTGTGAATCGATTGCATGGGTTTGGAGAATGCCGGAGCTTCGTAGTGGACCGCGACGACGTCGTGCTCCGGTAGGTCGTAGAAGCTCCGAACCACCGTCTCCGGCGGGAAAATACGTCAAGACTCGTGCTGCAGTCGCCAGGGAGGCAGCGGCGGCGGCAGAGAGGCCGAGGACTCGGTTGGCAACGAAGAAATTGGAACAGGAAAAGCCGGTGATCGTGATATCGGAGCCTGACAGCCACACGAAGAAGGATAAGGAAGAAATTGAAGGCGCGATGGGCGATGATAGTGGCGGTTTGAGTGCTAACAAAGGCGTTGCTCAAGAAGATGATACCAACGCTGCTCCTTTTCCCGAGAGGGTATTTGCTTCATTTTTTTGCTTTTTTGTTTTCCTTAATACGTAATTAGTGGATTAATTTATTAATTGTTTAATTTAAATTTTTTAAAAATATCCGAAAGGTTCAAGTAGGAGGATCACCTGTGTACAAAGTGGAGAGAAAGCTGGGTAAAGGTGGGTTTGGACAGGTTTTTGTTGGCCGTCGAGTTACCGGTGGTAATGACCGTGCTTCTGGTCCTGGCGCCACTGAGGTATGCTTCTCCTGTTACCGTAGGATTGTATAATGTTGAGGAATTTTGTGTTGCTCTGACTTGATTGCTATCTTTTGTATTTCAGGTGGCTCTGAAATTTGAACATAGAAACAGTAAAGGCTGTAACTATGGCCCTCCTTATGAGTGGCAAGTGTACAAGTAGGTGATCTGTTTATTGTTTTGTTATTGTTGATTGGCTTGCGATTATATGCTAGATTTGTGTTGTAATAAATTTGCCTGAGATTTGTTTTTTAATATTTTGTTTAAAGCACCCTTGGTGGCAGTCATGGAATACCTAAAGTACATTATAAAGGGAGACAAGGAGAATATTACGTAATGGTATGATCCACACAACATTAATTGTATTTTCTCATTGCCAACTTAACCATTAAACTTTTTTTTTTTTTTTGGGGGTATACATGCAGGTTATGGACATGCTTGGTCCAAGCTTGTGGGACGTATGGAATTCCTCCAGCCAGGCGTGAGTATTAGCTAACCTGTATATTGTATCTGGCTATCTGCTATTTTATTATAGGTCTTGTGTTTTAAAACAAGGGCTATTGTGATTGATTTTGTGTGTTTATAAGCTTTCTTTGTTTAGGTGTATGTTGAAGTTAGGTGATTCCAATTTTAGTTTCATTTTCTTCCACATGCATAGGTAACTAAATATACTAGAAAACTGGAGAGAAAAAAGTTAGAGTTGCAATAGTTGTAGATGATTGATTGTACTAAATTCTTTGTGGTGTCAACCTTTGGTTTTCTTTTCTCCATTAAGTTTGGGGAGCAAATATTGATTTCCTTTTTTGATGTAAATGATTGCATCATGGAATACTTATGAAACTTAACTTGAATCCATTATATCCATTAATGACATATAAGATGCGTAGTTTTTTGCTTCAAAGTTGTGTTTATGCCTTCTACTGCATTACTTCTGGGTGTGTCACTTTTTTTTAGCTTTTCCTTTTCTGCAGTGATTACTTTATTCCTTGTTTTTTCTTTGAAATTCTGTTATTGCTCGTCTTTTGACTGCATAGGATGTCTGCGGAAATGGTTGCATGTATTGCTGTTGAGTCCCTGTCAATCCTGGAGAAGATGCACTCAAGAGGGTATGCTATTTGCAAAACATATTTTATATTCAATCTTTTTCTACTGGATTTTTCATACCTTGAGTGAGTTGTAAGTTCTTATATTGATTTAGTTTGAATTTTTTGGTTTCTGAACATGATATTCTGGTTCCCATTGTTCATCATAGATATGTGCATGGAGATGTAAAACCAGAGAACTTTTTATTAGGTCAGCCAGCGACACCACAAGAGAAGAAATTGTTTCTTGTAGACCTTGGATTAGGTTAGTAGTTTGAATTCAAGGATGATAAGTTTCATTTGTATTTTCACTCTGCTTTTTTACCTTTCTTATGTAAGCATTGTTTTGCAGCAACAAAGTGGAGAGACAGCTCCAGTGGGCAGCATGTGGATTATGATCAACGCCCTGATATGTTTAGGTAACCTTTTTCCTTCTTTTCCTCGTTGTTTTTCTCTTAAATGCTACTGGTTGCTATTATCTTTTCCACTCCTTTTTTATTATGTTGTTTTTTTCTTTGTATTTCATTGGTATCATTGTTCTTGAGGCTTATTTTCTAAATTTTTGTAGAGGGACTGTTCGATATGCCAGTGTTCATGCACATTTGGGAAGAACTGCTAGTAGAAGGGATGATCTTGAATCTCTTGCGTATACACTCATCTTCCTTCATAAAGGCCGGTTACCTTGGCAAGGTTATCAGGTATATACATATTTTATATTATCATCATGTACTGCCTCCATTATGAGACAAGTGTCATTTTAGCAAATTTTTTTCCAAACTGTATTGTTTTACAGTGCCAGGTAAACACATTACCTTTTTCCTACTTTGTCCTTCTCCCTCTAAACTAGTGCTAGGTAACTATTCTTTGTTCAAGAAATGAAGTTTTAATTATTAATGACATATACACTCTAGAAAAGAATAATTTAGTCATATGGTCATGTTCTTTCGAATTTAGGATTTACTTAATCCTTCTGTTCTGATGCTTACTACGGTGATTGAATTTCTTGACATATTGTTTTAATCTGATATTATCTTTGTTTTAGGGTGATAACAAATCCTTTCTTGTTTGCAAAAAGAAGATGGGAACATCCCCTGAAATGCTATGCTGTTTCTGTCCTCCTCCTTTTAGACATTTCCTTGAGATTGTAGTGAACATGAAATTCGATGAAGAACCTAATTATTCGAAGCTAATATCTTTGTTTGATGGTATGCTTGGACCGAATCCTGCATTGCGGCCAATTAATACTGAAGGTGCTCAAAAGGTAATCATTAATGTGATTTTAGAGTCAGTTTTTCTATAAGTCTTCATGTCTTTTATTATATCAAAATATGGATACTGCAGTGTACAGAAACAAATTGGTTATTTTTCTTAAGCCATGTGGTCCATTTTAGGAAAATTAATTATGCACAATAAATACAGTAAATATGACAATTAGTTGCTGACTTGGTGCACTGCACTGACACAAGTACTACTAGAAAACTGCCACAAGGCATAATGGACATGGGCAGAAATTGCTGTAACCTTAATTAGGGTCAAATATCCTACTAATCGCTGCACTGTATTGCACACAGATAATTAGGAAACTGCCTCAAGGCTTAATGGGCCTGGGCTGAAGTTGCAGTAGTTCTTGTTCCAGATATAGAGAGAGGAACAGGAGATAAAAGAATATGAATACTCTGTTATTGATATTTATTTGATTTGATGTGTTACTATGTGATGCAAAGTATAAAGACCCATATTTATACATACTAGATCATAATATTAATTAAATTAAATAAGGAAATAAATCATGAAATATAAGGAAATGGGCAAACCAATCCAAGCGGACCAAGCAATATTAGTCAATATCGAAATTAACTGTTAGAGATAACCTATGATACTCTAAATTACTCAAATATACAGTCAAAATTTTGGATATTTTTTTATATTTTGGTACTGACCCTTTAGTTAAAGCTTACTAAGCTTTACATTTGTTACAAACATATAGTAAGATATATATACTGAAACTATGCTGTGCAGTTGCTAGTAGGACATGGAGCAACCCTGATAACAGTTGTTGCCTGTCCTACAAACATAGAGGTGTCTTATTTTTTGGCTCTATTCTTATCATCATGTTTTGGTCTCTGTATTTCTCATGATCCTTTATTCCTGTGAACAAAATTTATAAGGTTGGGCAAAAGAGGGGTAGATTGAACATTGAGGAAGAGGATGATTCACAGCCCAAAAAGAAGGTTCGTTTGGGGGTTCCTGCTACACAATGGATTTCAGTTTATAATGCAAGACTACCAATGAAGCAAAGGTAGAGCTGCATTTTCACTCTTTGTAGTGGTTTCTTATAATTGAGCAATTAGATCTCTATGCACTTTACATTATATTAATATTGTAAAAAATGTTTTTCAAATCAAAGAAATGTTTTTACTCTTATATTGTCTCAACCTTTAATATCAATTCACTTGTTCAATATCATATTTCAGCATATAATTACATCTAAATGATCCAGGCCCTGTTCTCTATTAGTGTATTTTGAAGCCATTTTTGATCTGGCAGTTTTCTTTGTTATACAAAAGTTGAGTCCTTCAAGTTGTTGAACTTAATGGGTCCTTCCATGATAATGTAGTCATGTAAATGTCAAGCTTCCTGGCAGTGGTTATGATTTTCATACATGCAATAGACTAAATGCTGCAGTATCAATAGTAGCAAAGTTCATCTTGCTCAACTCTTGAAGCTAGAATAGTGGATCTAGTGCTGATTTTACCAAGAGTGCAGTGCTTGATCTGCACAAATTTACAGCTTTAACTGGAAGGCAAAATTGTCCACTGCTTGGAGTATTTTGTATGATCATTTTGTTATGATTTTTGCATTGGTTTTATGTTAGGTATCATTACAATGTAGCGGATACAAGATTAGCACAGCATGTGGAGAGAGGGATTGCAGATGGCCTTCTTATTAGTTGTGTGGCTTCTTGTTCCAATCTGTGGGCACTTATTATGGATGCTGGAACTGGTTTTACAACTCAAGTTTATAAGTTGTCACCATTTTTCTTACACAAGGTGAAATTGTATGATCACATCATTAGATGTCATGTACTTCGTTATCTTTTTCATTTGAAGAAACATGCCCATGTGATTCTGTTTCTTTTCAGGAATGGATTATGGAGCAGTGGGAGAAGAACTATTACATAACTTCTATTGCTGGAGCTAATAATGGAAGCTCTCTTGTGGTGATGTCAAAAGGTCTGTTTGTTAAGTTGGTTTTTACAAATAATGAAACTGGATAAAGATCTCATGTGGTGCTTTAATTTGGATAAAGATCTGGGTTTATGTAGAGCCTTACATTATACAAAGATTGGTGTTGCTATATCTGATTTTGTGCAACTTGTCAAATCTGTGCAGGCACACAGTATACGCAACAATCATACAAAGTAAGTGATTCATTCCCCTTCAAATGGATAAACAAGAAGTGGAGAGAAGGGTTTCATGTGACCTCAATGGCCACTGCTGGAAGTCGCTGGGGTGTTGTTATGTCTCGAAATGCTGGATTCAGTGATCAGGTTTGCTGTTTATTTTGAACTCTACTGTATGATTTGTAACCAAGCCTTTTTGCTTTATTTGAGATTTGTTCTCCCTACTTTCAGAATGTTCTGTATTCTAGAGTATATCTAACATTGCATGGCCTAGATTTGGTTTCAAAGTGATATTCCAAAACGTGTACCCTGAAATCCTCTTTTCTTTGTATTAGTGCTACTTATCTAATAGCTCTCATCTTGTGTCAGAGTTTAAAATGTGTCCAAACTTTATAGAGCAGTTTTCCATTGTTTTTTCTAATGTTTCCAAACTTTATAGAGTTCTTCTTTTTGGATGAAATTGTCTGCACTGCAATGATTGGCTCCATGACATGCATAATCCTTACTGTCTCATCATCCACCTTTTAAATGTAGGTTGTTGAACTAGATTTTCTCTATCCTAGTGAGGGAATCCACAGACGTTGGGATAATGGGTACAGGATTACAGCAACTGCTGCTACATGGGATCAATCTGCTCTTATATTAAGCATTCCAAGGCGCAGGCCAGGAGATGAAACCCAGGAAACTCTGCGTACGTCTCAATTTCCTAGCACACATGTTAAGGTAAGGGTCGATGAACGAATTAATTGATTTTGTAAAGTCAATAGCATAACTGATTTTTTACATTTTGGTTCTGTTTTATGTTCAGGAAAAATGGTCAAAAAACCTTTATCTTGCTTGTTTGTGCTATGGGCGCACAGTATGCTGATTTCCTTTAGAGGTCAAAGTATTTTGTTGACTGTGAAATTATATATTTTTCAATTGCGTTAATTATATATAACTTGCTCTTTGTTTAAAGCTAGTTGTGTAAGCAGGGAATTGTATCTTTGCCAGTAATATAGTTGTATTTCCCCCCTCCCAATCCATTACAAGTTCTTTGGTTGGGGGATGTGGCTGTTGATGTATACAGCTTAGCTTTATATGTTCCTCCAATATGTATATGTAGGTTCTATCAAAATTTTTGTATGATTTTGAAGATTGTTTCCCTGACGAGTCTAATAAAAAAAAAAACTTGTATGGATATCTTTCATTGTGAATAAAGGGTCTAATATTAACTATAATTTCCCTTCCCATTCGCGGGGTATACTCGTTTATTGGGATATGCTTTTGTATGCTGTTACCCATTACCCATGGAGGGCATTAAAAAACTTCACGGGTATGTCACTGTTCGTGTTCATTTTACTTCTCTTTCTATTAATGTTTAACTCAGTTTCTTCTGGAGAATTATAACTTTACGACACATTTTGTAGGCAATATAAATAATAAAATATCAAGTAAATTGTACTTTCTCTTTTGAAAAATGCTTCAATTATTCTCTCCTGGATGAATTACAGTAAACCATTTCAATATAAATTCATTAGCAGTTACAAATAATTATGAAAGTATTTCCAATGATATTCTTCTACAAAAGAGTATTATGAACAAATTGTACGTTCTATTTTTTATTTTAGCAATTTGGAAAGTAAAATAAGTATTTTAAAAAATTTATTCAAATTTATATTTCATCTTTTAATGTTAAAATCAAAGATGTTTAAAATTAATCAAATTGTAAATAAATGTAATAGAAAATATAATGAACTTACATAAAAACTGTATCAAGCGTAATGACGTCGGGTGATTCATGTTATCTTTATATTTACGTAAAGAATTATAAGTAACTTTTTTAATTTTAAAAAGGAAAGTATACTTCAATGTGTTAGAATGTAGATTACTCCGACAGTATGTTGTCGATTACGAGGGGGGAATTCGTAAAGAATTCCTTTATTAAGACTTAATGAGAATTTATAGTTATTATAAAAAAATATTTTTTTATAACTTAAATTAATTTATTTTATCAATTTTTAAAACAGTTAAATGAGAATTTTCCAAATTTTTAAAATAATAAAAATATATTAATTGTAAGTTAAAAAAAATTATTTTTATTCTAATTTTCTCTCAAATTTAAGTTTCCTCACATAGTATACGCTTCATACCTTACCAACATCCCTTTTAAAGGTGGTCCAAAACCTGAACTTTCACCGTTGAGAATTTCAAGCTAGGCTTCCTGTGCGAGTGGTCTAGTGCCTCCTAACTCACTAAATACATGGTTAAGTATAGGATAGTTGAACTCAAGGAACCTGTAATTTTAAGAATGATTTCTTGCTCATCTAGACTAAGATTGAAATGAACATAAATCTTACAGTATACTCTATAATTTCACACTATTAAAAGGAGCAAATATCCAACATATACTTTTCTCATTGTTGAGGAATGAGTTTATCAATACAATGATTTTTATGTTTCTAGGTATCAATCAGCTGAGATCAAAAAGTGAGAAACAAGGTTGATTCCACAGGGTTCGTGCCCTTCCACATGAATCTCCGCATGTGCCTCTATAATTACTGTGTCCTGTTCAAATTTATGTAAATAAATCAATTTCTAGAAGGAACTATAAATACAGTGATGCTGCAAAGACAATATCCCTTTTGATCTTGGATACAGCTTCTTCAAACTTCTCCTCAAGTTGAGTTTCCCCAATTGACTTTGCTGCTTCTATTAACTGCTGAAGAACCTCCTCTAGTCGTCTAATTGCTCTAATCAAGCTACCTTCAAAGACTTGTGTGATTTCCATGATCTCATAGAACTTTGAACCTTTCGCCCAAGCATACACAGCCTCCATAATATCAGGCCTAAACGACTTAACAAAGCTCTCAACATCAATTTGCACCTGATTTTTTTTGTGTTGATAAAAATGTCAAAGAAAAAAGAACTCGTTAAAGCATTATACCACTAAAAAAATGAATACACTTTAAAAAGCAACAAGACAGCAAACAGATATGGTGAAAGGTTACGAGTTGGGCAAGATCTACAGTGTTCAAGGAAAAGCACCGTCTATTGGACACCAAGTACAGCAAAACGGATTATATATAATAAACTTGCTAATACATGAGAAAGAAAACTAAATACCTAACTCAAAATTAAGTGCATCAAAGATGAAAGCACCGTCTATTGAGCAGTTAGATGCCAAATATGTAATGAATTGATATTCTGCCATTACCTTGCACTCTAGCTGAAGTTGGGCAACTCTCCGAGCTGTGTCTTGTAGTTGCACAAAAAGCAGATCAAGTTCTTCTCGAGGTTTGGCAGCATCATGAATTTTTTCTTGCCAGACAAAACAAGAAAGGAGAGAAACCATCTCCTCCACCTTTATGTCCTTCAAGACACCATTGAACATTAGTTCAGTTAGGGTCAATTCATCTGCACTACTAATTTCACAAGCAACCTTCCCTTTCAACTCCACCACATTGTCATTTGTAGCATATCTGCAATGAAAACCTCACGTGAATATCATTCCTATCAACAAGTGTCAATCAAAAGGGGCTGTTGAAATTATGATAGAACGAAGCATATATAAAATCCATAAAGAATTTGCTAATCCACAAATTGGTTATTAATAGTTGGCTCCGCAAGATTAAGATTCTACCACCAAACACATGGAAACTTTTGATATAAAGATGATTTGGTCTCTCTAAATTAATGATATTAAAGCAAAAGAAAGTAATTACAAGAGCAGAAAAAAGAAAGTAAGGGATGACAAAAAAGAAAAGGATCAAGAGGTATAATGAGGTATAATGTTGTATTTGCATAAAAAAACATTATAACGTTTCAAGATAGAAGATATAAGATTCCAAAATGACAAAAAAGAACAGGATCAAAAGGTATTATGTTGTGTTTGCGCAAAAAAACATCATAATGTGCCAGGTATAGACTTTCTGGCATAAAACAGCTCAGGAGGAAAACAAACAGCTATCCATGTCCACGCTTGAAGGTCTTGCAGCAAAAAGTAATAATAATAGCAAGGGTTGGCAGAATAACAGAAGTACTTGATAAGTTTCATTACCCTAGCCTCCTAAGAACTCTCTTTCTTGCCTTAAGTTCGTCCTTGAAGGCTAAAGCAGTTGAAGATCTTAATGTTTTCTTAATGGCTTTTATCTTTGTGGATAGTTCTAGCTTCCTCTGTAGAACTTTTAATTTCTGCTTTATAAGTGGTGATTTTGCAATTTCATGCTTTTCAAATAGGCTCTCCAAGGCCTCTATTCTGCGAGATGCTTTTCTGTACGAGCTGCTCTGAATCTGATAGCAAAAAGAATCAAAATAAGGATAAATTAATCAAGAAAGATTCAAGAGGAAGATACAGAAGAAATTAATTGATGAGCACTACACCTTCATGTCTTCTTCAGGATCTAGAAGTGGCAATCCTTTGTCACCAAATCTAGAAAGTGTTTCCAACACTTTCTTCAGCGTGTTTTCTCGAGCTTCCAAGGGTAAAAGATCCTTTGGTATGTATAGACGCAGACTGCTTATTGTATTGATCTGTTAACAGTAAAACAACATAATTTACTAATCATAAGTAAACTTAAAAGGCCTACAACATTTTAACAATGGTTAGTTATTCAACCATAACTAAACCATACAACAGATTTGGAAATATCATATGTTGAAATGCAATCTGAATAAAGTCAAAATTTGGAGTAACAACCATGCAGCATTGTTTAACTGTTTAAGAGACTTTACCTGAGAGAGAGGAACTGAAACCACTAAAGGTTCTCCAAGTTCTTTCAGAGGGACAATCTTAACCGATTTTTTTCCAAGTTTATCTTTCTTCACCACACATCTTGTAAGAACATCAACATTGTAAGATGCATCTTCTGGTTTTACGCTTGCATCATCTGAAATTGTTTTGACTTTTATGATAAACGGACTAAAATTTTAATATACAAGACTATATATAAATCAACATAAGCCATTATGAATTCTCACCTTCAAAAATACTCTTAACCCTTTCAAAATTAATGACCAAGCCCCAAGTCAAGTGGTCATCAACAAAAATGGGGCAAAGATCCTCATCACTTGAAGTGCGTTCAAGAGAAACAAGCCTCCCAGGCTGTAGAAAAGGTAAACAGTGCCTTGGAGAGAGCACAATGTCACGAACCTCCTTATTCAAACTTCTATGCTGCTCCAGCAGATTGAAATAATCTGTTAAACTACTTTCTTCTTCAATTACAATCGATTCCCTCTCTTCTTCAAGAGCCTTTATTTGTGTCTGTACATAAAACACAAGAAAGAAAGAAAGATCATTCTTTTATGGATATAATTTCCAAATCATCAATAAAAGGAAAGTTTATTATTTTTTTTTCAAGAACCAACTGAAAATAGAGGCACATCAATTGTTTTATTTTTTATGTAACTAGTATGCTTCTTTACACAACAATGCCTTGGACTTTAAGCATGGACAAAGCAAGTTCAACTAAAAACCTTTAACTAAAACTGTTATAGACATCCTAATAGACTAATAGCTTAATTCTAACAGGTCTAAAGTGGGAAAAGAAGTATACAACTCAGATTGTTGCCACAGACCCTAAATCTTTAAGCTGAGAAGCTTATTTGTTTTTGTTGTATAGCTCCCCCTTTTGACAAGGGCTCTTGGAGAACAATGTAGCACATCACACCCTGGGATGCAGAACATTGCATAATGTAAACCCAATGGGCTGATTTCTGTTAGTTTCGGGAGTGAATTAGTGACTGCTATTTACTGCTTCAGAATGGGAGACAGACATTAAAATTATTGGAGAAGGGAGGGGTCAACTGCTGAAATATTCCCTTTTCAAGTCAGAGAAAGGATTTACTTTATTGGGGAGGAGGAGGGGGAATTTTCATCTATTTTCAGTCTGAAACAAATTAACCAATCTTGACTTTCGATGAGCACCAGAAATGTTTTATTAAACCCACAATTGTACAGAATACCATATGGATAAGAGGTAGCCCAAAATATTATAAAGATATAAAAATGATGTTCATAACCTCATCAAACTATAGATTACACACACACACAAAACACTCATATTTTGCAGCTTTCATAAATTTAAACAAACCTCAAGATCAGGAATGGCACGATCAGCTTGGAACTGATAAAAAGAATTACGGAGCATGTTTTCAGGATCACCATCTTCACACCGCATTTGGTTCAAAATCATGTTGTAGCTTAAATGAAAGGCACTGAAATGCAAGGTAAATGTA